TTTTTTTTATATTTTTTTATATTTTTATAATAAATATTTAATTTAAAAAATAAAATTTATTATTATTATTTTTATAAAATTTTATTTTATTATTTCTATTTTTAATTATTAAATATTTTTTTATAATAGTTTATTTTTTTTATAAATTTTTTTTTAAATATATTTTATTTTTTTTAAAAAACGTTATATTATATTATACGTAAATTATAATATTATTTATATATGTAAAATTAAATTAATATATTATTTATATATATTAATAATTATAAAATATATATATATTTATTTTTTTATTATTTTATTATTTTATTTTTTTAATATTTTAATATTTTAATGTTTAAACCTATAAATTGTTTTAATGTATTGACGGTTTGGCGGTTTTTGCCTTATCGCCCGCCGTCTATTTTAATATGAAATAATTGGAACGTGGTAGGGCGAATGCATTTGATATTCGCAGCAAGCCAAGAGAGATCATGTTTAGCATCCTCTTCTTTCATGACCAAATGCGGATCTGAGTCATGTATAAGCAGCCATTTGACGCAGTCCATTTGACGTTTAAGAAACGCGAGCCAGGTTCTCCAAGCGCTTTGAATCCATTCCACAGTCTGGACCCGAATCATGCTTGAATCCTGTTCATTCGTGTTGAATCTGAATTTGGATATATCCAGGTCCACACCAACTCCGACATGTCGATTGCATTCGAAAAAAATCACTCCCCTTTCTTCTACGGAAAGGCTCTCGAACTTTCTGTCCTTCTGATGGATTTCGTCAAGAATCTCCACGTCGCCAAACTTAGCGTTAACCTGTAGGACGGTTTGAAGGAACATGTTATTCATATCCGCCGGCGGCATCCATTCCCGATACCTCTTCCGTCCCTCACTTCCCAACGATTCCAAAAGATTATAGATCGCTGATAGTCGAGGGGATTTAGTAAGATTACTTAAATTATATTCTGGAGCCTCAGCAGCAAGGACATATGCTGCTGCTCCAGCAGCATTAGGATACGCAAGATGCTTTGCAATGATTGGTCTATCGTCATAGCTCATAATATCCTGGCCGTATTTCGTTTCCGTGAGAAATTCGCAAACTGATCGATGAATGAAAGAGACCTCGTTATCAAAACTCGAATAAATATAGATACCCTTTATCAAAATTCCCCTTTGTCCGGATATCTCGAGGAGACCGGCGCTTCTTGCACAGAGCCATGTTTCAAATTCTTTGCCCATGCGCTTCGCGTCTTCAAAGCTCCAGAAACCATTATTAACTATGAGCTGCTGCAATTCGCTCCGGAGAGCCTGGTTGGTAGCTAATAGAAAAACCAAGAGAGGTGACTCGGGAGGTCTGCGTCCCAAAACGGACTGGAATAATATGGCAGCTTCCCGTTTATGAGTTGGTAGATCCTGGTTCTGCCTAATCCACATTTGCTCGTATAATTCGTCAAGGTTGGGAGGGTACATTTCTATTCGTTGCTTCAATAATTCCCAGGAGTCTCCGTGCTTCTCGACCCCTCTAATGAGATCCTTGAGTGCCATGGCTACCCATAGGAATACTCCTTCCGACTTTCTTACGATGTGCGCTGGAAGGCTATCGTAGTCCGATTCAGACACCTCGCAAGCACCTTCATATTTTCCCAAGGCATTTTCGACGTACGAACGTATGGCCTGCTCAGTGAGTTCCTGAACTCGAAGATATGGGTGTTGTCCTAGACTCTGCACGAACAATCTCTCTGGACGACTTGTCACACAAGCTTTCACACTTGGGATAGTCTTAAAAAACTCCACCAATTCGATAACCTGTAGTCTCTCATCATCTTGTATTTCATCGAGCCCGTCAAGGAATAGGCAAGTATAGGTTACGCCATGGAGACATGTTGATAAGGCATTAAAAAGTTCTTGATAAGGCCAATCGTGCTCCGACGCTTTTCCTTTTACCTTTGGCTGCTCTTCGAGCAACCGGTTTAAGGTACCGGGATTTTCGGTAATAACCTGATATAGAAGAGTGCGCAGACAACCCCGAAGCTGTTTCTGCAGAGGGTTTTGGCCTAGCGCGTAGAAATAGAAATGAAATATCTTGACCGAGGGATCCCAAGTACGGAGGTATTCGATCGTCTGACTACTGTGTATTAAATATTTTGTTAGAGTGCTTTTGCCACTCCCCGGCTTGCCGCTAATCCAGAATATCGGTGTGTCTGATCTATCTGATCGGAGCCAATCCGCAAAATTGGAATCTGGGAAGATTTCGAGTACGATATCATCAGAAGCCTCCTTAATTGTATTCTCTCGTTGATTCATCTCAGGGAACCATAACGTGGAAAGAATCCGCTTCCGCAACTCTTCGAAATCACGCTGGGTCGACTCAGACAGCAACCTGGAACCTATCGCATCTATTCTACCGCGCGTATGTTCCGACTCTGCTGTGACGTGGACCCTAGTTTTCTGTGCTTCGGTAACGAGTAGTTCTGATATGATCCTTTCCCCACTAGACCAGCGGACAATAAACTGTTTTATGTCGTCGTGAAGATTTAAGTACATATCTTCTGAGAGACAATGGCTTGCCTGCGTTGACGAACTAGGTGGATTGTTAATAGGTACCTAGGTCATTGGAGCAATTATTAATATCTACCATATTCTGCTCAGGAGTTCCGAGTCCATGACGCTCCGTGTGCCATTGATTCTCCTTTCTAGTGAGGAAATCTGGGAACTATAGCGGAACTTGAACTTTATAACCGTTCTTAAACTGCCAAGCTTCCCTGCTGAAGCCGTTGTCGTGACCTTCTCAAGCAGCTTTTGTAGTTCCTTAGTGTCTCGAACTAGGTCAGATGTTAGGCTCTGAAGCCTCATTTTTGCTTGTTGCTCTAAACCCTCTGATTCATCTCTAGTATTGGAATGAATGGGATAGTAGTCCTTAAGTCTTTCTTGCAAAGTTTCCAGAAGCGCTGATAGATGCGCAGTGTTAGATGCGAGGCTCGAGTCTGGTGAGTGATCTCTCATGGTGTCACGGTAGAGTCTGAAAACTTCTCCGGAAAAAGAGATTACCTGCATCATATTGCAAACCAGACTTAGCGTCGCGATCGCTTCTGCCATGTTGACCTATATTGGCGGTATCATAAAATTGCAATGGTAAAGTAGCACGTATGGACAAGGTTAACAAGGCTCCAGATGATGGAGGTGTCTAATGTGATTGAGCAACTTCTCACGGCTGGCTTCTGACATAATCAGCTTGCTATTGGGCGCCATTTCGTATTTGCTTCGTGATACTACGCGCGGGTGATTTGTGAATCTGCTTGTAGTTGAATCGGTTGTTATTAGGTACCTACTAAGACTTATGTTGAACCGAGTATATCTACCTCATATCGATTAGGTAAGTATAGGAGGTATTTATGGAGTTAACTAAAAGATACCTATTATTAGACGCTTATGAACTTTCTTATAAGAGGTCGTCATACATAGTGAGTTTTGGTTGTAGATGTAAACCTCATTGACAGGTATATACCTAGGTACATATGTACCTTGGTATCTTGCCAAATTATTGCCCCACTGTCACAGGAGAGCTTCAAATGGTTTACCTTAGGTAATGACGTGTATGTTGCCCCTCGTTCTTCCGTTAGCGCCTTTATGCGGGAAATGAATGGAATTGGATGCCTCCTAATATTGATACAAGCTTGTGACACGTCTACGGCAAAGACTAGAATCAGGTGTTGATTTAAATAATCGATTGGCAGGCGCACGCGGTCAAACGTTTTAACTCAGGCCTCCAACTTTCTCACATTCAATATTTACAAATTACATCTTCATTCTTCCTAAACTACCTAGGTACCTTATATCTCTACGTTCGACTCTATAATTTCTTCGTACTCGTATATTATATTACCCCTCAGTCCTATTATTCGATCATCATGGCTTCTAACCGCACTGTTCTGGTGAAGAATATTAGCGCAGACGCGAGTGACAGCGAAGTTAAAGACTTCTTCAGCTTCTGGTAGGATCATCGATTATTATTTCACCCTACTACTATCTACTAACTCTTATTAAATAGTGGCAAGATCACTGAGATTAAGGTCACGCCCGGCGAGGGCAATACGAAAGAAGCCAGCGTCACCTTCGAGAAAGAGACTGCCGCCAAGACTGCGCAGCTCTTAAATAATACCCAACTCAAAGGATCGCAGATTTCTGTAATCCCCGCCGATGGTCAAGTCGATGATGGCACCCCTCATACCACTAATGTCGACCGGGATGCCGATGAGATTACGCAGGAAGAGAAACCAAGAAGCCGTATTTTGGCTGAGTACCTTGCCCATGGTTACGTCATCGGCGATGCTGCTCTCCAGCGTGCGATCGAGCTTGACCACACTCACGGCGTTACCAACCGTTTCATGAACACCTTAATGAACCTCGACAAGAAGTACCACGCCACTGAACGTGCCAAGGCGACTGATCAATCGTACGGTATCACGAACCGGGCCAGTAGTCTCTTTAATAGCATCAACTCGTACTTCGAGAAAGCGACAAACTCCCCTACTGGCAAGAAGCTAGTTAAGTTCTATACCGAAGGCCAGCGCCAAGTGCAAGACATCCATGCCGAGGCGCGCCGTCTAGCCGATCTCAAGAAGCAGGAGCATGGCGGCTCTGCATACAAAGCCTCAGGGCTTGAGAGGGTTTTCGGCAAGGAGAAGGAACAGACAACACAGCCGACTTCTTCCGGCGATGCCAGTGCGCCGACGGACCCATGTGAGTATCTTGATTTAATGCGGACGAATAGTTGCGTTGAAACAACGGCTGACAATGACGTTTAGCTGCAGTCCCCGCGCCCGGACCGAAGGCTGGCACGGAGCAGTCTACCCCTCTGAGCACGACGGAAGCTATTCCCTCGAAGGCGCCTGGAGATGAGAAGGCCTAAGGAGATAGGATGTGAGCAATCTGATGCCGTTACGAATTACCATGACTCGGATACTGGGTTTAGTGTAGCTTTATATTTGCCGGGTATGGTAGCTTGATTGCTTTGTCTACACTTCATTTCCATGATTAACCAGTTCTTCATATTTCTATGTTGTATGCGGTGGAACGTTTGTGATTTGTCACTTGATATGTCAGAGTCGGTACAACCGGCGCAATGTACCCAGTGTCAACAATGGTCTACTCGCTCCGAGTTGAATTGCAGTGGCATATGAGTGAATTATGATTATGATGAGAACATGCGGACATGGATTGACGATTTGGCAGTTTGTATGGTAAATTGTTTACATCCAACCGGATAATGTAATGGCGTATGTGTTAAAACTATGCCGTACATATTCATAATATGATATCCCTTCTAATAAAATAACATGTTGCTTGCTATACAATCCCAAATGTCCCTCATACCAAAGCCAACTACTTTATGATGGCTTTTCAGTTTTCTTAAACTTCTCCGTGACCGCATCTTCGAGGGGTCCCTTGGGGTTTGAAGCTAGGTTCTGCGTGATTATTCTATGTGAGCCTAATGTTAGGGTATAATGATTAGAAGGTATTTACTTACACTTAGTTGGTCTTGCATATTTTCCTTCTTGTTGGGGGCTTCATCTGTGCCTTGTCCGGACGCGGGCGTCTCCTTTAACTGCCGGCCAGTTTGGCTCTCAGGGGGAGGAGATTCACGGCCTACGTTTGGTACAGAGGACATTGTTGTGTTTGGTGCAGAGGACATTGTGTATGATGTTGAAGTCCAAGGTTGGTTTAATGAATCTAATTAGACGTTAACAGATTGAACTTTATCAAGGGGTTGGGTAGCGTAGTTCCATACAATTTATAGTGGCCTGTGTAGTTGATAGATTGTGGGTTGATGAATCTTTAGGGTTTAGAAGATAGAGAAGCAAGACAACGTCGAAGAAGGAGTTAAATACAACTCAGGATGTCCTAGATATGCGTAAGATCGAGCGTTACATAAACACGCATCTATGAGGTTCCTAAGACGGACAGGCATTAAAACGCAGTTTGACATCATAACCGTCAATGCCGTCATGTCCTCCTCATATTCAATTGTCGAACAAAGAGAGCAATCTACGTCATTATTTTCCTTATCGATAATCGATGATGAAGCTTAGGTGGGGGTCTCATCCGGAGCTTCTAAACCTTTTCAGGCTTAAGTGTAGACATGTATCTAAGTACCTCATATACTTGGATACTTCATGCATTTAGATGCATCCATGTGAGGCAGCTCAAGCCACGACCCATAATAAAGTTTCCTATCAATAAGGCTGAAGGACCCCGCAGAAGCTCGAAAGTTACAGGCGCAGACCACTAAACGCGACCGACTTCACGGTAAACAGATTCCTAATATTCCCAATATTCCCAATAACTTTGCCCAAACAAACACTAGTACATTTTCTCGTGTCATCACAGGAATCTAATAGAACAATGTAACCACTTTTTGACGGAACCGTATAGGGACTAAATCTTCCGTTATCTGTTGTGTTGATATTCGGAGTACGTACTCTAGTAACTGAACCCTTCTATGCAACCAGTGCTTGAGGCATCAAACAGTTTAAGGACATCAAACTACTTGGTATCATAGCTTGGCCAACATGCCCGACCTTAATTCAGTCCCACCTTCTCCCCACGTCCTTGCGGCTTCTCGAAATTCCTCTTCCAATCATAATGGGCAATCACATATCCCGGCACCTCCAGCTCCCATGTCCCCTTCTCTAAACATTTTACCTTCGAATCAACAGACTGTCAACCGGACATCCTCAATTTCTCTCCCGTCACCACCGCTACCGGGAACTCATACCATGTCTGCTCCGCATTCCGCTCCCGGACGAGACGACACTGGTGTCGGTGCTGGTCCTGGTCCTTTGCGACACCCGCGACCTTTAACGGCTGCTGAGCTGCATTCACAGCTAGAACAGGAGCAAGAACTTTTAGTATGATCTTTACTCGTAACCTCTTTAACGACGGTATAGCAAGCATTCTAACCTGTACGGCATAGGTAAACCGTTTGAGCCGCGATTTGATCATGCTGCGCGCTGCACAGAACTCGTCTGTAGCCTCAAATGCTTCGTCTACAAGCGCGTCGACCTCTGCCGATCAGACCCACCCCTCTTCCTTCACCGATACTCACCTCCTATCCGGTCCGGGATTCCCTCTCCCAACGACAAGCGCAGACCGTCGACATCATCGGACCAACTCAAGTGCTAGTACACGCAGTCTAAACCAGTCTGCTACTACCCAAGGCTCGATGCCTGCCCCGATACCAATCCCGCAACCTCACTCCGGGAGCGCTGCTTCGGTATTAGAAGCGGCACGAAACCCTCGAGCGGCACCGGGAATGAGTAGACAGAACAGCACTGCTTCTCAGAGAAGCCAAAGCCGAAACCACTCACCCCACCCGTATCATGTTAGCACTAGTCTGGGTTCTTCATATACCCAGTCATATGGCGTCCCATATGATTATGGATCCGGTTACTTCCCTCGGGGCTACACGTCTTCTAACACGAGCGTGCCAGCTACTCCCGGCTCGGAGCTCTCGCCGGGACTCTTGCCGGCCACCCTACGCTACGAGGAGACAGCTCACTATCGACAGGAGTTAGAGTCGGCTAAGCGTGAGAATGAGAATCTCAAAAGGCGAGTTAAGGAGTTAGAACGGGCTCTACGGGATCGCCGACAGAGCGATGCCAGTCGCGCTGGCGGCGGAAGGGACCGAAGCGAGAGCGCCAGCACTACAGCCAGCGTCAGCGTTAGCGGCGCGACCGGAATTGGAGGTGTCATCGGGGGTGGTACCACCATAGCTGGAGACCGGCGAGGAGAGCGTAGAGCTATAGAGCGGGGTATGAGTAATTTGAGTATTTCTGGGAGCATCGGAGCTGGTGTCCCTGAAGATGAGGTGAAGGTAGGCGAGAGTGCTGCAAGTGCCGGTTTACCAGTAGCAGGAGAGCAGACTCGGGACGCAAAGTAGGATGTTTATTTAAACATCAGTCCCTAGGCGGGTAGAGTGCAATTTGTGCAATATTACCGAAAAGAATTATGATTAATAGGGTACGTTATAAGGAGAGTAGGTGGACTAGCTGATGTGTGAATGACTGAATGAAGTCCAATTTGTTATTGTCTTTCAATATTGTCTTAACTAATCTTTTCCCCTGTTGATTTAGACAATTGCACTAACTGAACGGGCTCTACCCGAATGTCTCGGTTGTCGGGCTAGCTGCATTTACTTACTATGGTATGCTGTAAAGGTGTCTAAGACATGCTAAACGTACTTTTATTCAACGTATGTTATATTGCGATCCTTTATTTGGTCTACTTGTGTCTATAGGCTTTGTTCGTCTATGGAGTATAATGCCTTGCTAGTTCCAGTAAAACCTGATAGCAAAGCTGCTCCTATTTCTTGTCTATAATATCTTGTCTACAATAAATCCACTGCAACTATAGAATTAAATTTGTCAGTCAAGTCATCAACTACATAGTATTTATTATATAACTGCTTAAGAATATGACTGCTTAAGAATAGGTATATATTGAGGCAAATACCCCGGATTGCCCGAGTGTTGCCAAACTGGGGCTTCTCCCCCTTTATTATTTAGCTTCGATGGCGCAATCCGGCTAACGGGTTTCGTCTGCACATTTCACCGAGACTATGCCGCCACATAGGAGGAATTCTATGTAGAATTGGATTACCTACACATGGTTAAATGCGGCTCTCGGAACTACTATGTATTACTATTCCAACTCTATTTGCTTACTATGTTTACAGGAAAGATATGAGATTTAACAATAGATTATCATATATTTTCTATCTGTCACTCTTAATTTAGCTAAACCCTCGATTCTAAAAAACATGAAAACTTACAATGTCCGCTCTTAATAAAGATTTAAAAAGAAAAACCTCCATAATGGAAATAAACTGGTTAGGTTATAATTCCCTTTAAAACGCTCACTAACGATATTCCGCGGCCCTAGACGGCGATTTGTCCTAGTCAGTCTACCGGCGCCCAGTCAAATTGTCACCGCGTCGCGCTATCAGCGAAAAAAGTAGGGATCCAGACAATCACGCAATAGACAATAGGATCCACCCGAAAATTTCGAGTTCCTTTTGGGCCTTGGTCTTATTGCACTACTATGTATTGCGACGACTATGCGTGTATATATATAATACCTACGTGCTCTCGTGCACTGTCTTGCTACCATGGGGTTACTCCGTGGAACAAGACTTCGAATTTAACAATTTGATTTGCCGTTTGCCGTTCTCTTCGGTAGCAGAACTTGCTTCCTCCCAAGTTATACTTGGGTATTGACGACGGATTTACATATTCCTTAGCAGTTATACCTGGGGATCGACGGATCGTCAAGGAAAGAGAGAAATGGCGTCTTCGACTTCGGATTACGCCGAACACCCGGAGGATGGTGCTGTTACGTCTGAGGCTTCTAAGCCGCTGAAGCATTCCATCTTCCGGTCTGTACCCTTTCAGATTGCTGTCGCGTGCGGTGTCTCTTTTACCGCGCCGGGTATGTGGGATGCCCTCGGCGGTTTAGGGGCTGGCGGCGCAGCTGAACCATATGCTGTATCAGCAGCTAATGCTCTTGTTTATGGTCTTTTCTCTATCGTCTGCGTGGCCGCGGGAGCCATCAACAATCGCATCGGTCTACCGTACGGTCTTGCTCTCGGCGCTATTGGTTATCCGCTCTACGGCGCCGGTCTCTACACCAATAACGTGAACGCCACCACCTGGTTTATGCTCTTCGGCAGCGCCCTCTGCGGTATCTCGGCCGGTTTTTTCTGGGCTGCTGAGGCTGCTATCATCATCGGCTACCCGAGTCCCAAGGATCGTGCTTTTTACCTCGCTATCTGGCAGAGTGCTAAAGCCGCTGGTCCTATTGTTGGCGGCGCTATTAACCTTGGCCTCAACGCGCAGCGTTCTTCTGCCGGCTCCGTCGGTTCCGCTACATACATCGTCTTCATCGCCATCATGTGCCTGGGCCTACCTATTGCCCTCTGTCTTAGCCCCGCGGAGAAGGTATGGCGCCACGACGGTACCCGCGCCGTCATACGCAAGGAGGCGACCTGGAGCGCCGAATTCAAGGCTGTAGGCAAATTACTAGTGTCACGACGTGTATTGCTATTGCTACCAGCTTTCTTCATCAGCTATTTCTACAACGGTTTCGTTAGCACGTGGCTGACCACATACTTTACTGTCCGCTCGCGTGCCTTTTCCTCCTTCTTCACCAACTTTGCCGGTATCTTCAGCTCGTTTATCATTGCCTCTCTGCTCGACCGCCAGAACATTCATATCCGAACCCGTGCCCGCATTGCTTTTACTGCCATTGTCACCATCCTTATTGGCACCTGGATCTGGGCAACGATCTTACAGAAGCGGTTCTACGACGCGCCGGTTTCTCCCGTGTTCGACTGGTTCAAAGGTGGCTTCGGCTCTGCGTACGCGCTCGTTTTCTTTTGGACCTTCGGCGGCCAGGCCTTCCAGCAGTTCCTCTACTGGCTTGTCGGCCAGTATGCGACAGACTTATCGTCGCTTTCGCGTCACACTGGTATCCTACGAGGTGTTGAAGCTCTCGGACAGACGGTTGCTTGGGCGTATGTCATACCTTCCACCCCTTAACTACCTAAGGTACCTAAGTATCCACATGCTAACTATCTTGTTCACAGTATGCAATCTGAAGGAAACGCCAATCACTTCGTCAGCATCGGTCTCAACTTCGGTCTCACCATCCTATGTATCCCGTTCGCCTGGATCGTGCTCTCGGAGCTCGACCATAGCCACGAGGTCAAAGTAACCGAGGAACAAGTTATCGTAAACGACCCGGATAAGAAGCAAGATAGTGCTGCTGCATCGGTTTAAATGCTTGGTTTTTAATATTGTGGTAGAGATACTTGAAAGTAATTGGGGATTCGAGTTTAACGGACTATGCGAAGAATCTTATAGAAGAGCGAATGCACCGGCAAGAGGAGATTAGGAGCTTTGGATGATACCCTAGTTGATAGATAAATGGAGAGCTTTTTCAGGAATATTCCGAATAATGACGGTCTTAAGTACCTACCTAGTATCATGAGATCCACCAGTGCTGGGGGTTGTTATAATAGGTAGCTACCTACGTGCCTGGTAGAACGCTTCTTTTGAGAGCCTCGACGGTCTAATCCGTTACTAGCCCAGCACCGAGAAAACAGTTTAATTACCTACCTAGGTAGGTACCTGGGCTCTCCTCTAGTTCCTATAGAACCTTAGAGATATCTATTTGGACCCCCCTGCGTTAAACGCGTATTCTTTCCTACTACGAAATATATTAGTTGTTCCACATTGGACTACGATGCCACGACACGTGGGCCGTCTGATGGTAGCACTTCGTGTAAGAATAACAATGCTTATAATAGGTTATATTCGGCTCAAGAGATAATGTCAATTGATTCTCAAGCGCCTTCTCGCCGTCAACGCTACTCGCGAAGGGAAATAGGTTTTAATTTTATGAGAGACCGTGTCTCCGCGCATAGACTTTGATCAGACTATGATCATAGGTTTCGGATGCTCGCCGAAGAAGTGTTTAAGCGAATGTCTCGTCAGGTTCGTAAACGCGATTCAATATAATATGGGGGATGTGGATACTTTTTATTTATTTATAGGAGACCCTGAACCGTTAATTCGGGTCTTTGCCGTAGTGCCGAAAGCGCGGAGTCTATATCGAAACTTACCTGGAGAAGTATAGGTTAGGTAGCTAGCATTATGGGTTCTCGCCTTAAATGATAGCTTATTGGCGATGCATGCGTTATGGGATGGTATTATCGCGTTGCTTGATTGGTTGTTTTATTCTTTCAGCGCCTTAGTTTTAGTCTTTGATGCTTCTTGAATATAGCGTCAGCAGCTATAGCCTATATTATATGATCTCCTTCACACGCATATAATAGGGGCCATTTTATCCTTTATAGCCCTCTAACCACGGAAGTGCACAGGTAGCAGTATAAAAAGATCTTAAATCAGCATATGATCATATCTAAGAGCCAACGTTAAACCTTTGTAGATTATCTTGAATTACAAAATACGCGTGAAGTTAACCCCTCTTCATTTCATATTGCTTATTCCCTGCACCTATCTAGGTTAGGAATTAGCTCGGGCCAGCTGGTTCAAGTTACTTGCATGGAAAAGGGTCCTTTAAACCCCTGTTCGCTTATAATGCAACACTATTCTAATCTCACCGTTTCGTTTTGTTCTTTTCATTCGGTGTTGGGCCGGAAACCAACGTAGTCCAACGTTATCCAGCATCTTATGGCATTCTTTCGGTGTGACTCAAAGCCAGAGACAGCTCGTATATAATGAGTTGTCTGTGTCCCTTGGCTTCCTCTCGTATATTTGTGGTTCAAGGGCATTAATCATATACAGAGAGCACAATGGCCAACGAAGAGCCACCGGCAAGCTACTACCAACGATTGGCGAGTGCTTTTGACCGACTTGTCTGGACACCTTCCTGGGTTAAATGGGATCCGGAGGTGAATCATGATCTCAGCTGGGGAATGAACATCTTATTCGGACTAGTAAGTAGATTTATCACTATCCTGCTAGTGATTAAACTGGACTCTGGATCTATCGACATGATAAGCCATACTTATGCTGACTCCTATTTAGTCTGCGTCTTTCAGTGTAGCGAATCTCTACTACAGCCATCCCATCTTAAATATTCTTGCGGACGACTTCGGTATCTCAAACCAACGCGCCTCGTTGGTGCCGACAATGACTCAAGCTGGATATGCTGCTGGACTTCTTCTGATCGTGCCTGTTGGCGATATTGTTCGGCGACGGCCTATGATTCTCAGCCTGATATTCATAACGGCTCTAATAGTAAGCGCGAAACTTTGGCTGAGGTAACCCTTGTTAACCTATCTCAGTGGCTTGGCTGTACTCTTACCCAGTCCTTCTCGCCATTCCTCGGCCTTTCGTTTATCGTCGGTCTCCTTACTGTCACTCCGCAACTTATGTTCCCGTTAGCGGTCCAATATGCTCCGCAACGGCATCGGACTACTATGATATCAGTGGTCATGTCCGGCCTTGTGTTCGGTGTACTCGTTGCGCGTCTTCTTAGTGGTATTATTACCCAGTATACGTCGTGGAGAAACGTCTATTGGATTTCGTTCGGCCTTCAAGTGCTGGTGTGGATACTCCTCTTCTTCACGATGCCAGATTATCCCACCCTGAGCCCTGGCACATCTTATTCAAGAATTCTTCTGAAAATCATCACTCTCCCTTTCCTCAAGCCGGACCTTACTCAGATGGCGCTTATAGCCTTTTTGACCTCGGGGATGTTTACATCTTTTTGGACGACTTTGACGTTCCAATTGGCTGACGTTTTCCACATGTCAACATTAGCGATTGGCCTCTTCGCTCTTATCGGCATCTCACCGGTATTTCTTAACCCGGTCATCTCTCGCTTGTTAATATCACGCCTACATCCTCATGGTACACTTATAATTGCGCACCTCGTGACTCTTGCCGCGATCTGTATTGGCACATTCGTCGGTACGTTTTCACTTGCGGGCCCTGTCATTTGGGCATTCTTCGGAGATCTGGGGATGAATACAATTATTGTTGGGAACCGTGTGGCCATAGCAAATGTTGATTCTAAAGCTCAGAATGCTGTGAATTCTGTCTACATGGTTCACACGTTTTGCGGACAGCTTTTTGGTACAGCTGTCGGCAATGCGCTCTACGCCAAGGGGGGTTGGACATACTCTGGTGCCTTCAATATTGCGCAAATGGTAGCTGGGTTATTGATACTTTTTGTGAGAGGACCGCATGAGAGACGTTGGTTGGGTTGGAGAGGTGGATGGGATATGAGAAAACCCAAGATAGAAGAAAACGGCTCAGCTTGCGGGGCGCAAGCCGACGTAGAGGCAAATACAGAAGACGTAGCTACTGAGATCCCGATTGAAGTAACCACAGAAGATGAAAGTCCTAAGGAGAAGGTAGAGGTTGGCGATGAAAGAACATAGCTGTCTTGTAGGCAATCAGGGAAATTAGACGTTCTGCTTAGGAGACTGTTAAATATTTATAGTAGATGAAATGGCTATTTATACCCAACCTGACTTCTCATACTCTCCTTTAAATCCCCGCGTGCCTCTAAGTAGTGATAGAATGTGTTCCCTCTATGAATTGTAGATCCAGATCCTCTTCTTTCGTGGTTAAGCTCTAACCCCTATTTTACAACCCCTATCTATACGAATATCAGCCACCGAAGCCACATGTCTATACTGTTTTTATACTGTTCTCCTCACCGTGTGGTCACGCGAGGACGACCTCATAGGTGATACGTGATGCATGAGCAACTTGAATGGCTCAAACGTCTGTCTTCTTATCTATAGTTTCCGTAGGTACATATATGTCGCATTTAACTGAGCGTGTTTACCTATAATACGATGTAAAGTAGATTTCTATATCTGAAATCTATAGAGTAGCAATTATAAAGGGAAACCTATTATTCCCCCATACACTCGAACCTCAAGTTTCAGTCCGTGATTCTAATTGAAATATCGGGTTTAAACGGTGTCAAGACATGAATATCTCATTGCACCGAACATATTCCCCAGTTACTTCGAATAAGATATATCTTTTTATTGCTCTATATTAGACAATGGACCAACGCGCCGCAATCCCCGTTACTCTACCGAGAGAGAACCCCACCCGGAGCTACTGGCAGCTTGAACCCCACGAGATCGCCGACGTGCGCACGACTGATTTATTGCCGGGGAAGGCGGAAGTTGTAATTATTGGAAGTGGGATCACAGGGGCTGCAATGGCTTTCAACTTGCTAGAGAATGGTACTCGCGACATTGTCATGCTGGAGGCTCGACAGGCATGCTCGGGCGCAACAGGACGGAACGGTATATTCTTGTTTATATTCTTGTTCCGGAATACTTATAATATGTTTTCTTAAACTGACCTTACGTGTTATAGGCGGCCACACGAAGGCGGCGTCCTACCTCTCATTCCAAGAGCATGAGAAGCATCATGGCACTGCTATGGCTGTCAAGATCTCTCGTCTCGAGCTGGCTAACATTCGCGCCGTGCACGCGTTTGCAAGGGAACACGGGATTGAGTGCGATAGCCACCCTTGCGATACAGTAGACGTGGTTTATGACTCAGCGCGATGGGAGTTCGACCAGCGCGCTGTTAAGGCTATGCAGGATGCCATGCCTGGCGACGATGCCTCTGTCTATGCTTTGCATAGTACCGAAGAAGTACGCTCCAAATTCTTCTGTGGCCAGGGAGGAGATGAGGAAGTATATGGTGGCTTATCGTATGAGGCAGGAAGTCTGAATTCCTACAAGTTTACTATAGGCGTGCTGAAATTGTGCTTAGAGAAGGGCCTTAACTTGCAAACCAATACCCCTGCGCTCAATCTGGAAAGGCTCGAGGGTGGTGGTTGGAAGGTAGAAACACCCAGGGGCTCTGTAGAAGCGCAGAAGGTTGTACTGGCTACAAATGGATATACCGCGAGCATCTGGAAGAGATTCCAAGGAGTCATCGTTCCGCTACGTGGACATGTTACTGCGCAGCGACCCGGTTTAAGCATACCGAAGGATCGCCTAGCAGGCTCATACAGCTTTTTCAGTAAAAAGGGATACGATTACATGATTCAACGACCGCGAGGCACGCAGTTTGAGGGGGATATCGTAATCGGCGGGGCTCTCTCTAAGGCTGTTGCAGATGGTCTCGAGGAGTATGGGACGACAAATGATACTACACTTAACAATGACATCGTAAAAGCTCTTGAAGACAGCCTACCGAGATACTTCGGTGATAACTGGGGTAAAGATGACCAAGAAGGGCGAATACGTAATGTGTGGACCGGTATCATGGGATATAGCCCCGATGGTTTCCCTTTCGTCGGTGAGGTTCCGGGAGAGAAAGATCTTTGGGTCTCTACTAGTTTCCAAGGTCACGGCATGGTTCTCTGCTGGATGTGCGCCCGCGCGCTCACGACTATGATGAATGGTCGTTCGGATGAGAACAAGGGGTTGAATTCGTGGTTCCCTGAAGTATTCAGGATTACCGAAGAGAGAATGCGCCTGATTTTCAAGGGTCGCCTACGTAACTGAACTGGAGTACTGATGTCGACATGCTTTATGCTTTGAAGCCTGTTGTTAGTAGTGAAAAGAATGGTGAATGTGTGAGATGGACCGGTTTTGCTTCGTTATAAGTGAAGTGGGAGGTCTGTCCTACCTTATTAAAATTCTTGCTGATATTTTTACCTGGCAGCCGTCCCTTAACTGCTCATTTCAACATTATCGGTGGGGTATGCGCTAATGTTACATCAGAATATCTACGAGGTAGGTAGGCAATGCAGAAGATGAGGCGACTATCCCCCATTTCCTCTACCTTGCCAAGACGATCAGCTAGGCACTAGACGTTCCAAGCTTTACGGGACCCGTACACTAGATCCGGCATATGGCCCCTGTGGCTCCTCTTTTAGTGCATACCATTTCGTCCTTGTTGTTGCTGCTGGGTAGACATCCTCGCGTTGTAGGTTTTGGCGAAGAGACGAACACACCCTTCATCTGATGCAAGATAGGTGGGCATACGGGGAAATAAACACCGTAAGACGGGTCTTATGTCAACATAACTATCCGAGCTCTCCGAAGTCCCAAAATCAGATCCTACCTTGGAACTTCAACATGATGCTACCATTATTAGTTAGAGTCATACCGAGATCGAGTAAAGGATGGAGCTGCTGGCACTTGATATATCTACGCAACTTGGCATGCACATGAGGTTGACTAATTGAATGTCCAGACCGCTGGCAATATGTTACAGACTCTCGTTCTCGTTCTCGCTCTCGGCACCTACTGGAGACACTAAACCCGGTTCGTTCGGAGCCATTAGTGCATAGACTTTACACAGACGCGGCCAGTAGACTACCTATTACTCTAGTTAATGACTTATTGGTGGGGTTGGGCTTAACTCCTTACGAATTGTTTAAAATTTGACTCATTCTGCGGTCTAGCTTCCGTGAACTATGCAAGCTGCCTCGTCTGATGTTTTGCGGTGATGAAAGTAGGTTCGGACGGTCGGACGGTTGGTCCTGAAAAAATATATCCGAGTCCGTATAGTATTCGGGGATACAAATTACTTCTTTTGCGCTTGGTTAATCGGTGGATATGGGTGGTAACGGTTCACATTTAGGCTGGGGCTACATAATATGAGCTATGTATGGACCGTGCTTTTCGGACTATGCACTACAAGACGAGGGCCGAGAAGGCCTAGCTTGCGGAGCCGAACATATTCGCTCGACCCCGGTATACACAGACGTATAGACATCAATGAAGATGTATAGATATCTATATAAGACTACGCTCCCGCATATCTAATAATGACACTATATCAACCAATTCTCTTGTTTTATCAGATATAGTTAACCGATATCTATTCCTCCTTTCTTCCCCTTTTGAACAAACCGGGATAAATATAAGTTTCTACTACACCACCTCTAGGTACTAACCCACAAGTGATAATATACTTTCGACGATAATGCCGCTCAAGGTCCTCATCATCGGTGCGGGTATCTGTGGGCCTGCCTTGGCGACGCTACTGCGCCGTTCCGACCCGGAGAACAGTATCACGGTTGTGGAACGATACCCGGGAATAAGACATAACGGCTTACAAATTGATCTTCGGGCATGGGGTGTGCCGATTATGAAAAGACTTGGGCTTATCAACGCCGTGAAAGAAAAGTGTGTGCATGAGAGTGGCATAACCTTCGTCGACTCCAAGGGCAAGCAACATGGCTTATTCGGTGTTGCGGGGACAGAAACCGGTCGTAAGTACCTACCTTCAAGAGCTTTGATTAACTCCTTTTTGGTCTATCGCTAGAGCATATTATGAGTTGTTATTCCCAAGACACACTTCGGTCATCCATATTCCTTTCATAAACGATTGCTTGCTAATATCCTACTATAGAGCAGTCTTTCACTAGCGACTTTGAGATCCTGCGCGGCGACTTGTCTCAAATTCTCTACGAGGCTAGTCTCCAAGATTCAGATGGAAGGTTAGATACTCAGAAGAAGCAGGAGAGTACTCCTGAGGGCGAATATGGACCCGGCGTCAGCTACTTATTCGGCACGACGGTTACGCGACTGGACCAAGATGAAAAGGGTGTGGATGTAACTTTCTCAGATGGTCGGACGAGGCGGTACGACGTAGTGGTCGGAGCCGATGGCCAGTGGTCGCGAACGCGGCGCATGATGTTTGGCGAAGAGGCTGGAATCGACATGTTCAAGCGCCTGAACGTCTATGTCGCGTACTTTACCATTCCAAAAGAACCCGGGGATGACGACCTGGCGCGTTTTTTCCACGCAGGAAAGGGACGCGGCATAGCCACGCGCACGGGAGACCGGCCTTACACTCAAGTCTACCTGATGGTGCGCACAGATTCAGAAGAGGTGCGACGAGGAATTGAACGGCAATCCGTCGAGGAGCAAAAAGAAACTTTCGACAAAATATTCCGCGGGTCCGGGTGGCAGATGGATCGCTTCCTCAAGGGGATGGCCGAATCGACTGATTTCTACGCAGACTCTATCGGGCAAATCAAAGCGCCTCATGTGGTCAAAGGTCGCATCGCACTGATGGGGGATGCGGGCTACTGCGCAGCGCCGGTATCAGGCATGGGCACAACAGTCTCCCTAATGGGGGCCTGGACACTGGCTGGAGAGCTGGCGCGACACAGGGGCGACGTGCCGACCGCTCTAGAGGCCTACGACGTGAAAATTCGTCCGTACGTCGACGCCGCCCAAAAGCTTATGCCAGGTGTACCCGGAATTATGACATTAGAGTCGAGCTGGGCTATCTCCCTTCTGCACCTCATCGTGTCGATTCTTTCCTTCTTCAAGATCGATAAGATACTCATGCGTCTCGCACCCGAAGAAAAGGGTGGCATACCGCTTCCGGAGTATCCAGAGCTGAAGGGGGTGTATCCTGCGTGAGATGGGAGCCGGAAATAGAAGAGGATAACCTAGATGGCGATAGAACCAGGAAGATATTTAAGCCTTGTTTCTTTGATATCCGTAGATTGGAGCATCGGGCTTGCAGGTAATGGGATGGGTAGAGCTTCTGGTATTAATTCCCTTGATTTGTTTAATTAGTATTTTAATTAGTATATGTACCTTATATACCAAACAAGATGCAGCTCCTCTGTATTTAGATCTCCAATTTACACCATATAACTTTTGGCAGGGTCCTTGGTATTTCTTTTTTTTCTTCGCGTTTAGAGATTGTTTTCTGGAATATGACGGATCTACGACACTGAACCGCTGGCTCGGATAAAATCGATCCATGGTTGAAAGAATAATATATTAACAATATTTTGACGTCGGTAAGATGTCATTACGACAAAGCAGTGTGAAAATAAAGAGATATACCCACGACTTTCGCGAAGCCCTGACTGGCTTTATTCGTGGGTGTCTTACTATAGCAAGTGACTGTTAGCACTCACCCCTTCAGGCTTCTTCCAGTGAGCCTGTAGGCCACCCCAGCTCTCTTCGTTGTAACCTTCCTGGACCTTTTTACACGTTTTAAGACCCCATGCGGTGACGCCAACCATTAAACAGCTTTCAAACATGAAAGCACAGCTACCTTTACCAACCAAAGCGGGTTTGAGCTCAGCATTGGAGGCGCCCTCGAAACTCTTGGCATCCGGCCCATGCCCGCTCATAACGTTGTGCAAGCTTGCGCCACCAGGCATGAAGCCGCCGTTCCCACCTTTTTTCGCATCGTACTCGCCGGCAATGAGGCCCATAAACTCAGACATCGTGTTGCGGTGGTACCATGGTGGCCTAAACGTGTTCTCGGCCACTAGCCAGCGCGGCGGAAAGATAACAAAATCGGCGATAGCAGTGCCAGGATGGTCTGAAAGAGCCGAGAGCACTGTGAAGATGGATGGGTCTGGATGGTCATACGAGATACTTCCAATAGTATTGAAACGGCCAAGGTCATACTTATACGGATAGTAATTTCCATGCCAAGCAACTACATCAAATGGTGTATGAGCTTGCTTAGTTTGGAAGAGCGAGTTATTAAACTTGCTAGTGATCACGTATATATTGGGGCCTTCGGAAGCGGTAGTACCAAAGTCCTCGCTAAATGAAGCAACGGGAGCCTGGAAGTCGCGGGCGTTGGCAAGGCAATTCGATCCGATCGGACCTAGTTCTGGCAGCGTAAAGTGGCCCTGATAAAGCTCAAGTGCATATCCACGGACTGCACCGGATGGTAGATGAACTTGATACCTGATCCCACGAGGTATCACACAGATCTCCATGGGCCGGACGAGAAGCCATCCTAGCTCAGTTCTGATATCTAAAACTCCATCCTGAGCGACTATCAGAAGATCACCATCCGCTGAGTAGAAAGCAGAGCGCTCGTCCATCGATTTTCCCGCGGCGTAGACGTATATTCCAATGCCTTGTTTTAGTGTTGGATCGCCAGCTCCGGCGATCAAACGCAGACCTGAGACGAAGTCGGTCTGGTCGTCGTGATCGAAAGGATCCCATCGCAGTTGATTTGGTATGTATTCAAGCTTTGCGGGATCAATCAGCTTATCAGACTTTGAAGCACTGTCAGCAGCAGGGGAAAATGGCGGATGTGCACACGAAGGTAGTATGCGATAGAGCCATGACTGCTGATTTTCGTGCCGTGGGGCCGTGAACGCAGTACCGGAAAGCTTCTCGGCGTATAGTCCATACGGAGGTTTCTGAGGGGAATTTTGACCAATGGGTAGAGCACCCCAGATAGCCTCAGTCCTAGGTTATTATAGCGTAAGTAATTTGGTGTAAGTGGTAATAGGATAAGGCCGACTTACTCAAAGTAAGACCTAAAGCCATTTTGATACCGATACTTCTCGGCAAATTCGAATGTAGTGACGGGCATCGTGAGTGGTTTCAAGGGAGTTAACTCGTATATAATTTACTTTAGGTAGTTAACTAGTATAGATTAATATTGTACATCTCTCAAAGATAGTTGGCGTGAGATGGATCAAATATTGAACGTAGCAACATGATCGCGATCTAAGCAACTCGGAACCGGATGCGACTTGACGGAATCGGAAGTAATTTAGGTAGGGATCAACGGCTACTGAAGGTAAACGCAGCGGAACGAGTAGAAGGTTTTGAAGGAGGCATTCCGAGACATTAGGTATGCACCTAATGCGCCGGTATTACAGCACGCGCTGGTAAGCAACGTATAAGCGACATAGGGCGATGTTTAGGGTGTTTAGGGTGCGTGTGGGTGAGTTGTCAGGGGAGAGCCGACGCTAGAATTGGAGAAATGCGGAGAGTGGGGATAAAGGTTCCAACGCCTCCAACGCTAAACGTCATGGAGATACCGCTAATATCCAGCAATAGCCGCTTAATCCGCTTTGTCAACCCCGAGATTTCATCACATGAGGGCACCTGTAAGATGTACCTCCTATGTACGTCTATGCCACGTTCGGTCATGTTCTACTATGTTGGTTCCGGCCCGGAGGTGAACCCCTCGCCCCCTTTTGTGTAACCCCGGCGGGTTAGAACCGCCCACCCTATTAGACGCCATATTCCTATAAATTCAACTCTATAACTCGACCAATAACTTTCAACTACAGATTTCTTCAAACGTTTACCAAGAAAATGTCTCGTATCAATTCAGTATATTAGCTAAGTATTTTTCGCTGTTTATGAGACATTACCTAAAGTAAACATTCTAGCAACCTAACTGTTCCCCTTAGGATTCTAAATGAGATATCTAAAAGGATATGTTCAATGTAAATAACCACAGGCTCTTGTGATTAGACTAGATTTCCTCACGGAACAAAGAAGTTACTTCCATGCTGTTTGGTTTCACCTCACGACAGTTTCTCAATTATTTACCCCCACAGCTGTCTCCCCTCCTTCAATATTTGATAGAGCTAGGCTTTCATTCGGATGCTCCTCCTCTGATGTAGATCGTCTACATGTGAGAATACCGAGTATTAGAAAGACAGCAAAGTAAAGTGCTCCGCAGAACATACTGACCCTGAAGTAACCGGCTGGAGATTCCAAAATTGCTCCAGCAATAGGCGGTCCAATCAAGAAACCGACTCCCTGAAACCCTTCAACGAGACCTATTCTAGCTCCAATATCTTTCGAGTCTGGATCAAGTTGTCGGACTGCTGGTGGTATTAAAGCAGTTAAACCGCCCACAAGGAATCCGTAGAAAATCACGAAGGCAATTATTCCTGTTAGCGTTTTTATAACCGACCAAGAGAATAACAACACGCATGCCCCAAGAATTGTGAATTGCCACGTAATTAGGGGCTTGGAGAAATTGGATATCCAGTTGAGAAAAACGCGGCCGAATAAAGATGAAGCATTGATTCCCGCAAGTAGAGAGTCGCCTACTGTTGGAGAGAGCCCTAACTTTCCTTGAACGAAGGTGGATATGAAGTAGAAGGGCACATCGACCCCTATATTCAGGAGCAGGGCACAAATACCCAATAATATTAGCTTCCAGTCGTAAAAGGCTTTAAAGTTGAAAGGTCGCGGTCCTTCATTGCTTTCTGTATCCCGTAGCTGCCGAGGTTTTATTAATAGGCATGATGCCAGCAAAAAGACTCCATTTGCTAGAGCAATAACACGGCATGCCCACGAGAAGCCAAACCTATTTTCCAGTCGCCGAAATATTATAGGGTATATTATTCCGCCGACGCTCGATCCTGTCATAGCGATGCCTGTTGGTAGAGCGGCCTCTTTTTCGTCAAAATAGGCTTGCACCACTGCTTGGGATGGTACGTATACAGCACCGGACCCCAGACCTATGGCGAGGCCAAATGAGAGAATAATCCACGCGTATTGTCCTGCGAAACTGGTGCACAATAGGCCGGCAACGTTCAATGCCCCACCAAAATACATTAGGGATCTAATGTAGCCTTTATCGTACAGCGGACCACTGATGATTCCCGATATACATAATAAGAATCCTTGGGTCGTTCCAATCCAGGTGATGTTGGAAGGTGAATATGAGTTAAGGAGATTATGTTCGAAGTATGATTGGAAAACACCAAAACTGTTACTCAAGCCCAGTGTACACAGTTGTACGAGGAAGGCTGCAGCAACCTGAGACCATGGCAACCAGTCTCTATTTGAAGACTCTTCTGCTGACATACTTCGTTTGGCTGTGCTTGGTCCTGTGGGTTGACTTGCGTTAACAATGCCGGGATCTTGGTATGGATCGTAGGAGCTAACGGACTGGAAGCCTTCGTAGACAGGTAACCAGAGAATCCAAACCCAAGCCCGTTGTACCCAGATAAATAAAGATTATGGGTGGTATTTATTTGCAATATCTGGATAGAAAACATGGTAACTGTTTTAACTTAGAATGATACAATTCTCAACAAGCCACGTGAATCGGCCTTTAAATGGCGTAAAGAGCCATTAGGTCCATCTCTGAACAGCTGCAGTGTTTACATCAATACCCTATTCGAAAGGTCACTCAAAGGTTCTGCAGTAGCAGTCACGGATACTTATCAACGGAATAATACTTAATCTTGTGCCCCTATATCGGAGCATGGCCTGATTTGACTGTTGTGGAAGACTTGAAGGTGCAGTAAAGGATGATAAAAGAGATGTTAGTCTGGTTAAAAGGTATAGAAAGACATTCACTAAGAAATTTAGTATTACCTTTGCTAAGAATCACTTCACAGGATCAACTGCAAGTTCCCGTTTTTAATAGTAAGTAGACAAATTGCATGGGAAATATGAAAAGACTACGGGGACTTCGTTACTATACACTGATACACGCTGATCAATATATTCGCTGTAAAACACATGTCTCTTGCGCTGAATTAGGATTATCAAAGTCGAAAAGGGGGTTATTAGTTTATGATACACTGCATTGCTGAATTGACAGGTACCTAAGTGAGGTATGTAATCAAAATAGTTCACACAATCACAATATTTTGAAATTCGCTTATGCCTTCTTGAAATGCGTCGATGGCTGTGATGTGTACACAAACTTGTCGAAATTCCACAAGGCGGGCTTGGAACGACTCCCAGCTAGGTTTAATCCATTCGAGAATAGCAATTCTAGATTTAACCATATTGTAGAAGGTTTCGGTCCCCAAGGTTATTAGAGGGTCGTGAAGGGAACGTTTCGATGTTTCAGCCGAGCTCCTTATGAAATGAGTGTATAACCTCCCCAATTGGGTGCGCTCGGCTACACTTAGCTTCCCATCTTCACCCTCGTAATCTATCCCGGGAACATAGCAGCTAAAGAGTTCCTGTTCAAAGTCTACTTGGTGCATCATCTCTATTGACAACTTCGTTAGGGTAGATACTAACGACGAGAGGGATGCGCAAGAATTTGGAAGGCCAAGCCTTGTAGCGGTCTGGGGTTCTATGCCGTGGGCATATTCGTGGCAATCGATAGAGCGTGCTGTATCGGGGTGATCATTCACATTCTTCGTCAATGATCCTTTTTCAATAGCCGCAAGGACTTTCGCAGCTTTGTTCCAGTCAGACCACATTTGGCTCAACATGTTCATCGAATCCATACAAGTCCCGATGGAATCAAGGGCCTTCCAGGTGGTATGCCGGGTCCAGAATTCGAGCTGCTCTGCCATTATAACACACACACGTTTGATGTATTCGGTATCCCAGCCTCTAATTGCAGTGACCTTCCATCCCGAACCGGTTTTCCAGAAGGCTGATATCCCAATTCTATCTTGGAAGTATCTGCTAAGTACGGTTGTTCGCAAGTTACTAAGACTCGCGTCTTGAGATCTGAAGTAGGATATTATATGCATTCCGATTCTACTTTCAACAAGATCAACCAGAAACTCAATGAATGACCGGTCGAAACCGTAGGATGCGTGGAGGCGGTTGGTGTTACATTCTTGGCTAGAAGTATTTATGTCGACAGCGTTGGCAAACGTAAGATTGCGAAGTTTCACCGGTAAATCCAACGGTATAGTTTTTACAGTGCTTTGACGAAATCCCACTCGACACGTACCGATAAGACTATAATCGTCGCTAGTTGAGCTTCTTCGCAGGTGTAGATATGAACTGCAGCCCGGGACATACACCACGACGTCAAGCTCTGCAGTTGCGGGGATTTCCGTCCTAATTATCCACTCGAAGTCGCACTCGAGGCCTGGGAAAGAAATCCTTTGAATAAAGTCGCAGTGATTAACTTGGAAGAATGACTCGAGACTTGTGACGATGTAGCTTTGTATGCTTAAGGCTCCTGTGTGCGCATTGACACTTGATAAGGTGCCGGGTATCCTTTCAGTATCGTCTTCCGTCAACGATTTTGAGAAGTGCCGGATACGAGGAGATTTCTCAGGACTAGTCGTAAATAGCGTCCAGGTAGTTTGGGGGCCTACGAGCCATACGATGTTTTGAGTTTTATTCCCCCTCCTAGGGAGACTTTGAGAATATTCCACTTTAAAACTGTCGTCGTCTTCATAGCAAAGATTGGACTCGTCCTGATCTGCCATTTTTGACTGTTCCAGTCTAATAGCAACGTCGGATAGAGATATGCCGTAGACCGTGTTATTCTCGCAGCCTTCTAATGGTATCTTGGCTGGACGGTAGATAGACCAGTCCGGAACCCACGTAGGAAGCGAGTTCGGTGGATTTTTCTTCGGATATAATAAGATCTCGGTCTTGCTGTGACGTATAATAAGGTATGATGCAATGCCAATGTAAACCTCTTCCTTTGATAAGAGGTAGTCAGGAGCCAACCCCTCGAAGATACTATTGCGTAGGAGGCCAAGTACGGCGAACACGTTATCTCTAGGGTCAGAAGCTTGGCAGCTTGAGGTGGCATCTAAGAGCTGCAAAAGACCATCTAACTCACTCATTCTATTGTCATTTCCTTGGCCATATTCTAACAGCCAAGGCACGTTGTGAGTATAGCGGTAGGGTACTTTCAGGTCGCCAAATGACGTCCAAGAAACGCTCTTATCCCCGCAGTATAGAGTAACCTTTCGAGCCATAATAATCTCTTGGATGACCCAGACGCGGGAGAAGTACCGTCTTTTGAAAAGGCGCTCTAGACCTAGTTTCTGAGAAGTGCTTAGATCGGGTTCTACTGCTTGAGAAAGCATATTCAATGCATCCATTGCATCGTCGCTGTCATCTGCAGTAGGTCCCATATACACAAGTACTTGCGAAGCTTTAGAGTAAATATCACGCATTATAGCGACTTGATGTGACCGTTCGTAGGGGTCTTCCTGGTTGATACAAATAGAGTCAACCCATAGATTTGAATGGCCCTTCGAAAGTAGAAGTCGTAAAGCCGAATCGCAATTCCTAGTGATGGGAACTATGTCCCAGAGTGTTCCTATGAATATTGACTTTGTTTTATCATTGTTGTTGGTTTCTCCTGCCCAGCAATATGACAGTGCTTCAAACGAGTTAGGGTTGGTTAAATCGGCAACATCCAAGTCGCCATGGAGATAATCATCCGAGGACGTAGTAGAAAGCCTGAGAAGTCGAATGTCGTATTTTTGAGCCAAAGAAGGATATAAATTTCCATCGGAATAGGACCTAGTAGCGGACCCATTCTCCCCAAGACACGACTGACTTGATTTTGGTATACCAGTAGGGCGTGTCCTTGAATCTTTGGCTAAGGCTTGGCGTTCCAAGACGTTGCTACCCCTTTTCCTGTCCGTGGAATATTGAACCGACAATGGCCACCGGAGGTCTAGAGACTCCAGGGAATTGCCTTGATGACTAGATTGGGTTGAAAGACAGGGTATTTGGAAGGTTGATAACTCTATTACCGAGTCACAGCTTGAGCAGAAGAGCACGGTATCAACCGCACATATATCAGGCCTTCGACATGTTGGACGGTGCCAACGGAACATATTAATAGCGGGGAATGAAGAAAGGAAACGGTAAGGTTATTTCGAATAATTTATTGCTTTCAATTTCATATAATAGAATGGAATATGTAGAAGAAAGTATCAGACGTTGGGTGTCCTTGCTAATATCTAAGTACGTAATGGAGCATCAATTGAGGTTGACGACCCCAGCTATGCGCGATGAGTACACCGGAACATATACAGATACTTAGTTGACTATCTCTTAGAGTGACACATACTCAGAGCTTACATACCTAGGTCAAGGGGGTAGAATTGGATTAGGAAGGGGGGCTATGGCATACCATCAAACAGACGGCGGAGTAGGACGTAGATATTGTGGCGATGAACGGCGTTAACAGCACTTGTACTTTAACAGGCTGACAAGTCGGGGAATCGTAGTCGGATCAGGATTAGTTGACGATTGGATCAACGAATTAATGCCACCAAGTGAAGTAACATTGTGGGAGATAAATCCTGAAGTGCGTCGAAACTTACCTAAGAAATGCATGCTTAAAATCCTAGAGACGCATAGCCACTCTAGCAATGTTACGCTGTTGGCATCAAAGTCGTGCCAAGACATTTTTGGGGGATATTTCGGCCAGGGGTTCTCTAAACCAGCATCGGAATAGGCTGACAAGTAGGTAGTAGATAACTGCGACAAGTGACATGAACTCATGGTAGTTGAAATTAAAGAAGACATATGTATAATCCAAATTTCCTTATATTAAGAAACCTATGTCCTCAAGTTCCAAAGGGCTATAAAGTATACTGCACCTACGTAGGTATCTCCAAAGAATTATGATGAATTACCTGAATAACCCTACAGCCTCCTTATAATAATCTCAATTCACAATACGACTTAGGATACTACATTTCTTACGCGCGCACACAAGACGGCATGTAATATAAATCCATTATATTACCTAACATTCATGCAACTGAGATTGGAGGCAGCTTGCTACACCAATGAACTTGTTAACTGACGTTACACGACGTTTATAATGCGCCTCTCGCATTATTACGACAGTAAGATACAGAATAGGCAGGCAATACAGACGAGGTGGTATCGCTGTACACGTACGATACGTGAGGCTCTTCGTGTGGGGGCTGAGAGGGATCCTCAGGGGCTGGGATTTTGGCGGTACATCGGGCTGAAATAAAGTCTGCCTCCTTCCACAGCTTAAGCGTTCCCCTTCTCCTAGTCTATATTCGTAATTCTTAAAACATTTACGTTGCTGGGTAAGGATAGTCCAGGAGCCCACAGAAGTCAAGACAGCGCGCCAAGGCTCGACCGCTGATCCATCGAGGTATTGAAGCATGGGCAGATCATCGTCATTATTTTCTTCATCCAATAATGATGATTTTTCACTCTTTTCGTCTTTGTCCGATAGCGACGATGATGTAACTTTGGTCTCTAGTGATAGAGAGGACACCAGTTCGGCGAATCGGCGGAGGAGGAGCCATAGGCATGAGCATAAGCATGGTCATAGTCATAGGAAAGGGCACGAGCATGGAAGACACGCCACGAGTACGTCGACTAAACGTCCCGCGGAAGGGGTCGCAACGAAAGACGATAATATTTGGCCTCGTGAAAAACGCTACCTGAATGTACGCTTTCTGGATGGTAGCCACGAAGAAAAACAACTAGTCGAGAGTCTTGTCGTGAAGTATTACAACGCCATTCCGATGCGCATCCGATTTAGCTTTCTCAAGTCCTACGACCCCAGTTCTTCTGACATCCGTATCACTTTCAAATGCCGGGGTCGCCCGTCGAGCTTTATCGGCCGCGCGAACGAGACCATTGCCATTGATCAGCCTACCATGAAATTGAATATGGGACGAGGCCGTGATCAGGTACAATCCGACATCCTACACGAATTCGGCCACGCGCTGGGCCTTGAACACGAGCAGAAGAATCCTAACTGTAAACTCGAATTCAATCGTGACGCGCTGAAGAGAGATGGGTACAATGACGACGATATCGATCGTAACTATGGAAAGAGCCGCGTTATTGGGAATAGGACAACACCTTATGACCCACATTCCATCATGCACTACCCCGTCCGGAAAGGACATACGGTGAACGGTAACACGGAGATCGGGCTAAACACCGTCTTGTCGCAAGGCGACAGGCAGTTTCTCATGGAATTATATCCTGTCGATCCCGAACCAAAGCATAAGCATAAGCACAAGTCCAAACCCAAGTTGTTAGAGCCCGCACTTGTCACCGAACCTACTACAACAACCGTCGCCAAAAGAACCCGACACAGGACCAAGGAGCATCACCGACCAGACCGACTTCAGTCAGTGAGTGAAGTTGTGGGTAGCGTCTACGTCGGGATCAGCATGACCAATGTCAACAGCGTAACGATATCGGGGTCCAGGAATGTGAATCGCAATGGAAACGGAATTGTATGCAAGAGTTGCAGCAGCACTTCCGTGTGCGTAAAGTGCAATGGCATGGTTACGGTCTCTAGTAGTACGTCGTTCAGTGCAGTATACTTTTGAGATTGCTCCGTTACATAGGTACGCGGCCATATATTGGGGGCGAAATTTGTCAAGACAAGGTCTGTCAAAGAATAGTAGCATGAAGTAAGTGAGTTGTCAGTATCGCGTATCTAAGCAGCGCTTTGATATTATTTGCTATTTATCTCTTATGTTAGGTTAGGTACCTACCTACCTCTTATACTTACATACCTGTATACCCAGTTTAGTTGTTTTCATTCTACAATATTTTGAACTATAGTTGCAACGTTATATTCAAGAATCCAGTATATGCACCGCGCCTTTTGGCTATTATAAGACTAAATGAAAGTCCCTGTCTTGAAACATCCCTGGAACATTGTTGTTTTTCTTCAAATCTAGATGGTTGGCAATTCTCACCAGTCAACGTGCATTATGATCTTTCAATAGTAAAGAGGCGATTGTTAAAAGCTTGTTGAATTGCATATTAGTTTTACACTAATACGCCGTTACACTGTATAAAGTGCTCACGATTGTAGGACTTATGTTATAAGTAGTACTTATCCTATAACTAGAGCACGACAGGATTATATTTACGCGCAATACGTATGAGAAACTGGGGATAGTTAACTACCTCCTAATAATAACTTGAAGTATGCGAGTCTTCACACGCTACCTGATAATAATACATAAACTCATATTGACCCTCCATATCTCATCGTAGGTACTCATTACATTTTACCCCATCTTAGACAATTTTGCTTGATCATATTTCGCCCAAACTATAATGAACGTGTATATCTTTAGGTGATTCTAGGATTAGAGTATGGTACATGATAGTTCATTTTTATTGTATTTGTTATAATGCGGCCACGACACCAACGAGCCCCGCTGCCGCCGCTGCGGCTAATGCGAAACCCGTCTCTTGCGGGTACGCCGCTCCCCCATCAGAGCTGGATGTGGAAATAGAAGACTCCTCAGATGAAGATGCGTCGGAAGTGTCTGTTGTGGACGATTGGGCATCGGATCCCGAAGTCGTAGGGGAGACAACACTGGTGATGCTACTGATTACTGTATCCGTCTGAATAGTGGGGGGAAGGGACGTGTCGGTCTGAATGGAGAGCGAAGCAGGCGTGTCGGTTTGAGCGGGAGTTGAAAGGGAAGTATCGGTTTGAATAGACAGGACGCCGGTTGTGCCCTGGTCGGCTGCGGAGCTTAGAGACTCAACGGGGCCACCCGGATTTAATGTTTGGCGTGGTTTTACATTGCGTTCCGCCACCTTAATAGGTTCCGGGGCATAGGTTGCGGATGCTAGACTGCCTGCCAAGGCGAGGGTGGTGAAGATAAATTTCGCATACATGACGATTGGTTTCCGTCTGGTTATGGTGTATAATGTTTATGAGATAATTAACTAAAGATGAAAACTGTAAGATAGGTAGGCAATAATCTCTAAATATATCTTAACTTCAAAATAGTTGTCTTCCTCATCGTGATCCGAATTCGTGATGCGGGGACCTTGAGGCGACACGAATCACGTATGGGGCCATACTACATGACGTCGGCGTAACCAGGGGGTGCCTGATTACCCACGATGATGAATTCCGGGGTAACACGGATGATTCGTCAACTACACAGCTCTAGCAGCTGAAAGGCTATCTCGGCCCGTACCTAGGTTGCATCGATTTAAGGAGCTGCCATCAACAGCTTAAAGCTGTGTCTATCATCGCTTAAACTATCGATATTGACGTATGCACAGCAGAAGCTAGGTGTTTCAACTAAAGTGAATCTGGAAGTTACCAGAGAGATAATTGGATACGAGAGGTCTACCGTATGCCGATGCAATACGAGCTCAGCTATGTATTAAGTAGATACCTAACCTAGGTAGCTACACAAGATCGTCAACAGAATAGCTTATGTCTTGGAATTAAGTAGCTTAGTATTTACTGAAGCTCTTTGCTAGTTAGGGATAGGATATATTCAAGAGTAGTTGGTACAATACTACGTCTTAATAATGCTTAACTAAGCTGTAGTTTTTTCCAACGTAAATTACCAATGGTCGGATGCAGAAACATTAAATGCGATGGAATAATTCATATGATACCTACCTGGTTTCCGCCCCCAAAGCTGGCGGTCAGGCCAGGCGGTTTGGGTATTGCTTGTCGATCCCTCGGCTTCGTGTTAATACAGTGTTTAATCATGTATATACTGTATACATCTTTCGCCGTGTTAACCGTCACGGATTGTTGTGTCCACAGCCCCCCATCTTCAAGTCGTTCTTGATTGTGTTAGCTGGTTAGTTGACAGAGATACCGACTGATCCCAACTCAACCACACTCAAGTCATGGGATATTTAACGGAGGTCATTATAAACTATATTGGTTTGGTCTTCGTTAGAAATTTAGGTAGTTGAACGGGCAGCGCCGCCGTAGTTCTACTACACAGCATACCTGTTACGCGCGTCGTATCCGTTGCAAGCCCCGCAACGCACTCGTCACCTCACCTGCCTCCTCGGTATATTTTTCATTATGTTCTCGCCTTAGACACTTCTTAATGTAGCTGCCTTGCTCCCTCTCCGCTTGTGCGTAAGACTATACCTTTGATAAGTCTATTGGTTGTTCTATGCGAAGGTATTCACTTTTTTAGTAGCAAGATTCATAGATTACGATCTTGTCAGATTTTGTTGCTACGCTAAACAGTAACTCAAGATAAGTATCATTTCCTACCTATCTTCAAAACCATGCCCCTTTCTAGGAAAATTCAACATCAACACTCTTAACATTCATCCATCTAATAACTATAACTACCTCCTAGTAAAACAAGAAAGGACAAGAGGAACTCTGGCTTGACTGTCTTTTCATATGCTTGAACTAAGACCTCTCACAATATGGTTCCAGTCAATCCTTGACAATCCGAATTGACACTCCACTATAAGCGTTACGCCTCAGAAAATGAGTTTCAATCTTTGCTGTTCACGACGCCTATCCTCCACCCCGTTGGCTTTATTATGCCATAAACCTCGCAATAACTTCGAGTTTGTTTTAATTATACTAGGATGAATGAAACAGAAAGACCTTTCTAAGATTTACTATACTTAATATGAACTTACCAGCAACCCTAATAATATATCCAGAGTAAGACGGATCGCAAAATAGAACTCGATGAACGTAATAGGTTTAGTGATTTCAAATACCCTACCCACGTAACCAGAATAGATGTTGGGAGAATTGATGTTGCTACATAGCGGAAGCAGACCCTGACGTTGCTAACCAAGCGTCTGGCCGGTCAGCAGTAGAGAAGGATCAAACTTAGAAGTACAAGGCTGCAGTAGGTAATTTCACAAAGGCTTACGCGCCTCGTTTTGTTCTGTACCACGTCATTGCATGTGTAAATATGTAGGTAGGTTGGTAGGTACTCTTCCAATGAAGAGCCTCAAAGATGTCGATAAGATGGTAATACGGATAGCTTGATGACGCATAGACACATCCTAATGCTTCCTATGTATATATAATAAGAAAAAGAGATAGACTGACGTCGAACATATTACTACTTGACCGGCCGTTCATCTTGCCCGTCTAGCCGTTGAGACATATCTTCCTATTAATATATTTTTCTATATCATGTGTTAAGATATATCCCAACTTGATCCTCGGATATTAAACTTGTTCAGCCGCACATGACGTACTCCGCGCGATGAATTGCGTTGTTTTAAGCCAAGACCCGATAGCCTCGTCTGTCAGCTATGGACTCTCTTACATACCTAAAGTAAGCATGGGTTTGAATCCAGCACAGGTCCTCTAGGTATTTTCAGTAAAGGTCATGTGGCGCCAGGACAGGTTGGCGACGTGTACTTGAGTAAGATCCAATTGAATTCCGAGAGGTATGGTCGGGCGCTTATAACGAAGGTCGTCGGGCTCCATGAATAAGTCACCCCTCGTTCCCGAATCCCCGATTTCAAATCGGTGTCTCAATCTAGTCTGATTAGTTGATCGTGGCTGTGCGACACTCATTGCGTTCTCTTGGCCCCCCCGGTGGCTTGTTCGCTTATATGTACATGTAAGTAGGTAGGTCATGTAGGTAGGTTAGGTAATTATCAATCCTGATGTCCTTCGCGTGATGCTCTCCGCCGACCCCGGCCAAAGGGAACGCCTCAGCGCCAGCCAGCTGAAAGGGTTGGCACCTTGAGCACACGTCAACTCACCTAGTGTATTCCAAATGACTTAGTCTTCGCCCGGAGAGAGTAACTCGGGTATTTCATTCTCCCGTGAATCTTTTCTCTCTCTCCTTAATAAACTAGCGTGCCAAGGAATCCTGTAGTTAGCATCATGAGGCCTCATATTTGTTAGGAAGTATATGGTCATCTACAAACCCTCTATTAATTACCATTTGTCTTTGCCGTCAACATCTTCTAGTAGAGCAATAGCAGTTATATGTATTATTTTATGATGCGTTTACTTTATAACCTATTATGGCTATCCATCCATTATTTACATTTGGCCAACGGCCAACTAGATATTCGCAACTCGTCAACCGACCTCGTTCCTATCTATCAACCTTACTTATCGAGCCTCAGACAGAACCCTGCATTATTTAACCCTGCTCTTGGTGGACAGGACTGGGGGATGTGTTGCAACTTGGTTGTTAACGAAAGCCTTGTTATCGAAAACGACACACTCTATATCCGGCCTGGGCAAAGCTTTTTCACGGGCACAATAAATGATCTTGAAGAGTTTCCTACCAGGTTTCCTTGCGGCGCAAAATATAATGGAACTTTATCGGCGCCTCACCAACAATTTTGGATGCCTTACTCGTGGTGTTACAACCATTGCCCTGGATGGCCTGTTACAAAGGCGAGCGATCTCGGAAAATGGCTGAAACCCCTGATTGCGTTCATACTACCGTCACTCATTTTTTGCCTTAACGTTCCTCGTCGTCGCCGCCTTGACCTACCGACCGGTTTATTCTCTGGTGGATCTATCGATATATCAAGTATCCCTCTATTTATTCTTAAAGTCCCTCTTGCTTCATTCATCGTCACTATAGACATCATTATTTGGACATGTGTAGTGTTTTCAGTGGCTAGTCCAATGATCACATCGGGTATTTACGAGGCGCTCCTTGATGCTAGAGTCTTGTCGTATCTAGAAAGTCGAAGCAAAGAAAACTCTCTTTCCGCTAAGGAGAAAGCTCATACTCTCCTTTCTATCTTGATAGGCAACCTTGATATTCAAGCTTGGCACTCAAGTAGCCTGTTCGTACACAATATTCCTGGGGGCGTCTTTCGAAGAAGACCCGGTTCTCAGCCTACGAAAACAACTATCGAATCGGGGAAAGGGGTTCCACGCCCACTAGACCCAATCACGCCAAGCCACTCCCATGATGCCAGTACTTCGAATATGCCAACAAAATTCCCCCCAATAGGGAGATTTAAGCAGTCATCGTATAGTGTTCAGCAGCGTCGGAGTATTGTTGCTACCAAATGGCGGTTGTCAGCTATGTTGGACTCGCAAATTAGCTTTGGCACTTCAGTCGGCGCACCAGTCCTTTTCTACATTGCATCTTTCATCTGGTCGGTTTACGAAGTTCGCGAAGAACTAGGCTCCTAGTAAGTTGCTAGATAGCACTTCGCTGACGACCCTACCTCAGGTAGGTATGCTTTTTATCTTCGAAACACTAACATCTAACACTAGTGTTACGGCGCATCAATTGGCTGCTGGGATGTTCTGGATGACGATACCCCATGTCGCTCTTGTTAGCTGCCTTCTCCTTGCCGGCAACAACCCGAATATATGGCAAAATGCTGTTGCTGAATTCCTACTTGCTTCCAACCCCTTAACCTCTATAGATTCCTTAAGATTGATAGACACCGATCTGGAGTCTGATCCCGGCGGGGCTCGAAATCTTCATAGCGCAGAGTTTACTTCGGAGGATCCAAAAGCGATTAGATATACCAGATCAATTATATCTAGATTGGTGAATCGTATCTTTGGCTTGGCTTACGAGGAGTCCAGATTCAAGCCAGCGTGGATGTGGAATAGGGGGTCCAATAAGGCCATGTGGATTGCGAAGCTCGGCGATGAATATCCGCGTCTCAGGGGAATGCGGGAAGAAGTCCTAGACAGAAACTTCAAAAAAGACCTCTGGACCTCGGCCTTTTATGGATTTACCCTTTACTTCGTACCGACATCCTTCAGCGTACTAGTCAGGTATTATCTTTGGGTCTATTCTCTATAGTTTCTTACTAACTGTGTTCAAGCTATACTACTCCTCGGCCTGGATTTGGCTGCCGTTCCCTTCTCGTCTTTGCCTACGGCATATCTCAACTGATCCTCCAGCTTCTATGGTTGCTACGGTGGTATTTCTCTAAACATGGCACGCGCGGCAATTCTAATAATACATGGTGTACGGCAGCAAAGTTAACATCGATCTACCTATGGTACTTGATGTTTTTATTCGCGATCTTTATTGGGACTTTCACTAGTATTGGTGGGACGAGTAAGTCAGACACACGAAGCTATACTAGCTCTACCTAGTTGTCATAAATGACGCTGACCTAGATGTAGTATTTGTACTTACGAATGTCTTAACTAATTGCTTCTGTGCGATTCCGGTATGTAGACATGAGAGGTATCTAAAAAGGGAGATGCTAATTAAACCACCCCACAGGCTAAGTACTGGCGAGACCGTTGGACAAATCCTGATGCGCTTATATTTGTTGATGACTCTACGTGGGAACAGTTATACTACGCCGAGAAGTGGTGGTTTCCAGCTGGTGTCGTTGGCGTTATTTTCATGACAATTGTTGCTTACATCGGATGGTGGTATCAGCGGAGTCTGCGCCAGCGCTATTGTGACTTGGTAAGCAAGATCGACCACGTTAATGAGGTCGAATATGAAGACGAAGAAGTATACGATACCGACGTCGATCGTGTGAGGGGGAATTCCACTGATAGGATCCATAATACTTAATGAAAAATGATACAATTTACAAGGTGAAGGTAGTAAATTAGCATTCTCACGATGATGAGCGGAACATGTGAAGATAAGTCTATTATAGCCCCTGAACGCAATTGGACCGATGAACGACTAGCCTGGATTACTATATTACAACCCACTCGCACCCCCTTTCCTCGAACTGAGACTCATGGATAGGATGTTGGACATGTCGACTCGCATGCATATTGTTGCAATCCCCGCAACGTGTCAACGCCATTAGCCAATACACACCCCCTTCCCCTTTGAACGCCTCAGTTCTATAAAAGCGGGTTGGTCGACGGTCTCCATCATCGGCACTTTCTTAAAATAATTGAACCATCCGGACCAAGGCCGTGTTTTTTCATTCACCCCCATCTCCGAAATTCTATAATCGTATCCCGAAGACATAATTAAGGTGAGAAATCTACGGCATGGAGAAATGCCAGCAAGAAAGAGATTACTTACCCCCCAAACGTGTTATCATCGTAAGCTACGTTTAATATTTTAAGTACCCATGTTTCAATGTTTGTGCATGTTTATGACTTTGAATAGATCGGCGGGTCCCTCTCCGGACTCATGCACGGCATCGTGCTCCACCGTCTCGGAAGCACAGTCCGAGTCCTAGAACAATCGCTCGCCAATACACCTATCTCTCACATGGCAGGGGTATGCCTCGGTATCGATGTGCAACGCCTTCTGGAGCGCTTTGATCGTACCCCAGGAATTCCCTTGGGTATTTCGGCTGTGCAATTACAGTCACTCGATAAACAGGGCAAGATCAACCCTTCTGTACGAATCAATCGGATCATGTCTTCATGGGATGCACTTTATTTCCGATTAAGAGCCAATTTCGACATGCAAGCAAGCGACTATGTCCCGCATCCGCCTGCATTGGATTTAAGGGCAGATGAAGACGCAGATGGCGCTAAATCAAGAGCAAGATATGAAATTGGAAAGCAAGTCATAGGTATAGAGCAGTTCAAGAACGGTCAACTACTGGTTCGCTATAAGGATCATACGGATGGTGGCGCAGATTCACAAGCACTGGCAGACCTAGTACTCGGTGCCGATGGCCCAAACTCAATAGTCCGCAAGATCTTTTTAGAGTCAGGTCAAGCAGATCAGAAATATACGGGATATGTGGCATGGCGCGGTATAGTTCCAGAGGAGCAAGTGAGTGAAGAGACGCGAGAAGTATTTCGGGCAAACATAACATATTCGATATTAAAGGGTGAAGGTGGCCACGTGATACTGTAAGTTGAAAGCCTTTATATTAAAGCTCATGAACTTTATAGTTACTGATGTCGCTACGTAGTTACTACATACCAGGAAAAGGCGGTTCCGTCGAGCCTGGTAAGCGCCTCTTGAACTTCTGCTGGTATACTAATATTCCGCTTTCCTCCCTGAGTACGATCATGACCGACATCAATGGTAAGCAGCACCATACCAAATTACCACCCGGACAAGTCCGCCCCGAAGTCTGGGAGACCCAAAAGGCTATAGCCAGAACACAATTCGCGTCACCGTATCTCGAAGTCATCGAAAAGATCGGATTACCTTTCCTACATCTCATCACCGATTACTGCTCTCCACGCGCCTCCTTTATGGGAGGCAAAGTCCTGCTAGTAGGAGATGCGGTCTCCCTGCTGCGGCCACACACTGCTTATTCTACGAATCAAGCCGCATACCATGCCCTCTTGACCGAGAAACTGGTCACTAAAAAACTGACGCTGGAGGAATGGGAATACCAAGTTACGACCGCTGCATACGTGCATTGGAGGCGAAGCGCGTGGTTTGGAGACTACTTTCAGCGACCCCTTTATATTTCCATTAGAACCGCCGTGCTCTTCTGGGCAACATCTGCACTGGCAAAACTGAGGGTTTGGATGGGGTGGTTACCACCGCAGGTAATTTAGTTACCAAGTGAGGAGTAAGGAGCGCTGGTTCTTAGTTTCTCTTATTGTCTCCTATCCTACTTTGAGCACCTAGCCTACCTGCCACATAGAGCACCTAAGGCAAAGTGTAACCTCCGTCAACTATTAAGTCGGCACCTAATGGGAACTGTTAGTTGGAGGAAGCTGAAGTAAACACGAATTACGACTAACCTGTTACATAACTGCTGGCGTCGCTAGCTAAGAAAACGTATGCCCCTTTAAGTTCGGATGGCTTGCAAAACCTACGCCCGGGAATCATCTCTATCCACTTGCTTCTCCATTCCTGAGGATGAACGTCGAGCACTATATATTCGTCAGATGTGGTAAATCTATTCGTATAACACTACCTAAGACTTACTGTCTGTTTCGATGAAGCCCTAGTTAACGTAAATTATGGTTAGATTGAGTTGCTTGAAGCCTTGGATATAATAATAATGAGATCACATACCGGCGAAACATTGTTAACCCTTGCGTAATCCACCCACTCTACGGCCAGCGACTTTCCAAGATGGACTAGAGCAGCCTTACTCGCATTATATGCAGCTTGATTTTGAGGAACGTTGACGAGTGTTGCCGACACCGACCCTGTAAATATGATGGAGCCCCGGTGCGGTTGCCCGTCCGCCTTGAACTGTTTCTCAAACACGCGCGCCGCAGCCTGCGCCGCCCAGAACGCGCCGTTCACGTTTACGTCGAATAAATCACGGAACTTGTCTTCCGGGTAATCTAGAGCCGCGATATTTGCGGTGACGCCCGCATTCGCCACTAGAATGTCTAGCCGGCCGCCACCGACCTCCTCTGTAACCGCGTTCACGACGTCTTCGATTTCGGCCCGTGAGCGCACATTGCATTTATATGCTTTGACCAGTCGACCCTCGTTGGCGGAGGATACTTGCGCAGCTATCTCATCCGCTTCTTTTGGTGGCGTGCTCGAGTAGGTTATCGCCACCTTCGCGCCGGCTTCGCAAAGCCCCCGCGCAACTTCAAGCCCAATTCCTCGACATCCTCCGGTGATTAGAGCAGTCTTTCCTGTGAGGTTGAAGTGCGATAGCACCGGGGCGTCTGGATTAGGATGAGGTGCGAGAACCATATTTATTAAACACAGATTATAAATTTAGGATGAAATGAGAGGTCTGTGCAACTTGATATGTTACTCTTAAGATAGAATTTAGATAGAATTTAAATACGCACGGGGTCTGAAGCCCGGCATCACATTTTAAGGGGGGTAGTTAAGGGGGGTAGTACCGGATGGGGTTTGGGTCAGAGGTGCTCGGCTCGCATTCGTGCGGGTAGTAGACTGTGGACTACATCATCCCGAAACTTAGACTACTAGGTTAGACAAAATACTTGATCCTCTCCAATCAAATGATCCAAATGCCGAAGCGGCTATCGGGTAGAGTGGGACTTGGAAAGCATCGTCGGTATTCTCCTCACTAAAGTGGCACTGGGGGATTGAGTAAAACTACCTACCTACACATGAGGACACAAGACCGGAATAGGATTAGTTACAAAAAGGTGGTAACCAGAAGGCTTTATAGAAAGTCTGATTGGCCTAAACGCCATTCCTCATAGACACACAAACGTACCTAACATGCCCCTTCTTAATGAGTGCTCTGATTAAGGTATATATTTCGATGCCCGTACGCTCGAAGACGGGTTCCGGGCGACCTCCGTAAGTGGATCGTGATATTCTCAGATTTCGGCTCCGGTACCACTTGACTTCTAGCACTCACGGATATAAGATTCAAATTCCTAACCATCAATTGAATAAGTCCTACTATCACGACTCTCACAAGTACCGAAGAGATAAATCGCCTATAAAATAAAAATAGTTGATATTACAGGAGAGGTTCTATACTAAGGTAACGAGTAGACTAGGTTTTACTTTTTAGGGCGGGATAAGTAGGTATGGTTCGTATAAGTTAATGCATCATGATGGCCGAACAGATCCGGTACCAAACTCCAAGACCGACAATTTATATTTTCTTTCCTTTCCTTCTTTCCATTATATCGTGGAGTATCATCACATTCTATATGCCTTGTAGCTGGCATCGCTCGGCTTGTGATACTCCGACAACCCCTTATTCCAACGAACGAGCTTGTCGGTAGACTCCGAGGCCGTTGGTTTGCCCGCCTCGTACATAGAGTCTAGTCGAGCTAGCGCTTCGTCGTTGCCGTTACGTCTCTTCCGCCATACGCATCGAAGGATCAAAATCACCATGACGATCAGCGCTAGACCGCCTCCGCCCCCGGCAATGCCCGCCACGGCTGCCACTGGGAGGTTGCCAATCATTCCAGTATTCCCATTATCTACCGTCTGTGCTTGGGTAAGAGTATTACCATTAGAGTCGGCTATGGCGCTTTGCGTAGCGGTGGAGTCTTGCTGGGGAAATTGAGTGACTTGGGCCGCCGGAGTTGAGGAAAGTTGTGTTGGGGCGTCTAGTGTACTACTGGGTGTTTCTGGGATGTTGAGACTTGTAGCCACACTTTCGAGGATAGAGCTAGATGGGTCAACGGTAGGGCTTGATGGCTCAGCGATAGAGTTTGATTGTTTAGTGGATGTCACGAGGGTAGTTGGCGGTGCTAATGTTGTTGGGATTGATGCTTCAGAAGGCGAAGGCGGAGGCGGAGGGGAGGGCGAGGGCGAAGGTGTTGTTGGTGGTGGGCTGGCAGCTGGTGTTGTAGTCGGCTTAGGACTAGCAGTCGTCTCCGGTGCGTCGGGAGCCGAGGAGTCTGTGTTTTCAGCAGCACCGGGATTGAGTGCAATTGCCGTAGTCTGAGGTGGTAATTCCGGCAACCCCGTAGCAGAGGTCTTTAGAGTACCGGCGCTCGTGGGTTGTTGACGTTGTGGTTGTTCGTCATCATCGTCATCATCCTCGCCGTCCTTATCCTTCGAACTTCCAGGCTCAGGTGTTGCTTTTATTTCGCCGTCCGAAGTCGCAGTCGCAGTCGCAGGCGCAGTCGCACCAATGTTAGCTTCGGATGTAGTTCTCTGGTTTGCGTTCCCAGTATCCTCCGCTGATGTCGCTATCTGCGAACCCCGATCATTATCACCGTCATTATTCCCACCCAAAAGACCTCCGCCCAAACCTCCCAAAGTATCACCCAAGCCACTCAAAAGGCCAGCCATGGTAGAATAAAAAATAAAATAAAATAAAATAGAACACCAGGTTCAAAGAAAGGAATATTAGAAAATTATGCGATGCTATCACCAGGACTCTCGCATCGAATATCGTTGCTTAAAGGTGTGAAGGAAAATCAAAAATACCTTCAAAGGTTTCTATCTAGAACCCAGGAAATGGGGACTCCATCCTGGAAGTACGAAAAGCGTCGCGCTGACACTCCCCAGATAAACCCCTCGGAAAGGGCTTGGTCTGAAGTCATGATTCGATTCTTTGGCACGGTCACAGTTTCATGTTCCCTGGCAAAACCGTCCCTGGATTGGTGTTTCGTGCCGCGCTGAGAAGGGATTGATCTTCGCTTGATCCGCAAATTGTAACACCCCTGTTGAGGCGCTCTGTGCATACATACCTGACATACCTCATAGGCCCTGCATTGGGACCCTTGGTCGATCAAACAACGTCAGGTATTTATGGGTTTAATTCGTTTCTTCCACATCGTCTTAGTAGCCAGAGCAGTCGACTTTGTTTCTCAATGTGACGCAGAGCCCCTGTTGATCATGGGTATGCGACAATAACCTAGGTACGTACGTACGTAAGTCGGCTATCCTCGACGTCGTCGGAATAACGGCAAGTTTTCAGCTGAATTAGGTACGTAGAAGTGTTGTAGAACGGTGCGGTATAACAGATTTCTATTTCTAACTTGGAATTATATCGTACTGTATCAATCATTGTTGATTAGACTCTTATTTGCATGATTACCTCAGTGTGTAAAAGTGACTTCATCTTCATAGTCTAGATCCAAGCCAGATTCAGAGCAACTGTGAGAGTGCAGCGCCCAATATATAAGTTGATCTTGCCTAGATTATTGGCAGATGAATTCTATGATCACTAAGTAGCATTTTACGCGGAGGCCTCTTAACGATCTACATATGGGAGGGCTTCTGTTGTGGGGATATCCACTTTGCTAGCCGCCGTTCGCTTGGTCTTCGTGATAATTCGAAATCTCGACAGCGGTAAGAAATGCTGTTGCGGAAGACGCGGAAGGACGCTCACCCGGATATTCATTCTCGACAGCGCGGTAAAGTTCACGTTTAACGTCAAGGGCTTAACCGAGCAATGGATACCTATATCAACGGCATCGTCAAGACGATATGATGTTGCTGATTGATTTGACATCAAAATGCGGCGGTTTGATCCTCGGCCATCCGTAGACGTTTTATCATTATCCGGCCGATGTGCTCTAATACAGAAAGATCGGTCTCGCTAAGGGGCTGTTTTAAGTGGGAAATGCCGGTAGAACTCACCGGAGAAGCCGATTCATTCTATTCCGGGCATTGAATATTCTCTCGTCTACTTCCCTGAAGGGCATGATGAACTATGCGTACTACCAGGGTTAGGTTATTGACAACGTAATATATTCCCGTAAGGTACTTATTCCCACCTCATCCAAAAGGTTCATCGAATTTGGCTTGTCACCTGTGTTGAGACAAAAAGAATTCCGTTAATGTGAGTCCCTAAAGTATAGGGTTTCTAAAGCACTGAATAATACAGGAATAATTCCTATATTATTCAAAATTATATTATTCATCCCCAAATCCTACTATGGTAGTCCTGAACGGCCTGGAACCACTGGCTATGTTTAATGTCCGCCTTCCCCAACGCTCTGCTGTCGTACTCGCTACCCATCACCTCCTGCTCGAGCCACCTTTCCACCTCTGACAAGCGGTAATTAATCTCACGCTGATTTTCTTCGTCTTTCCAATATCTTCCTGCCCACTCGAAGAAAACAAAGAACCGTCCTATACATGTTAGCGATCGAAAGGGTAGCAGAATGTCCACATAGGTATTCAGCGTCAAATCTTCGTTGTTATCCAAGATGAAATTGCCCTCTCCAAATGCTTTATTGATTACCCTCTTCCGACTTCCTTCATCTATCCTGTATGTATCCGGCTCAAAGCGAGTCATATAGATGGCTATCGTTAAGACGGGGAGATTCGCATGGGTCCTAAGGGAGTCGACGCTATCCAGCCAGTGACAATACGGTACGTGATCCGATGATGACGAAGAGTCACGCGTCTCAAAAGGTGCACATACTAACTCCAAGTAACGAAGATAAGATAGTGTATCAGGGTTAAGAACCTTCGTGACGAATATATAGGTTTCGAATCCAGCTAGAAAGTGTGAGCGGCCCTGCCATATTCCCATGATCGGGATGATAATTATGCGATTATAGGTATAAAAAACGGCTCGAGAAGATTCATACATGGCTCGACTAACAAGGAATAAGGCCTGCGGGGGACGCCAACATCGGCAGCGAGAGGAGTAAACACAGTGCTCACTCATGCAAAAACATCCAAGGTTATGATGATAGTCTGCGCATATAAAACGGCCGTGATAGGCCGTCCCATGTTCTATAGGATACTCAAAGTAAAAGCCACGTTGTGGATTCCACCGGACTTCATTTGTAGGAGTGATCAGATCGGTGTATTTGAGTATTGATTGTTGGAGGTCTTGTGGGAGATCAAGGAACCGGAAAGGCTGATCGAGACGAGTAGAAGGACTGGCCGACACTATGATGGCTGCTTGTCGGGCCATAGAATAGAGATCATCTTTGCCATGATTATCTTTGTCGTGTTTATATTTGTTGTTGTGATTATCTTTATCGTATTTATATTTCTTGCGATTGAGACGCAGTGCGCAGTCTTTGATACTTCCGGGGGAATCATGGAAAGGTGCCAGCACATCAGAGACGATAGATATTTGCGACTTCAAGTCGCAGATAAAGTGCAACCTAAGCTTTTGAGGACTCGAGTGTGTGAGAATATGCTTTGCAGTTTTTTGCCATGCAGCAATGCGACTTTTTCGAATAGGCTCGGTCTTTCTACTGTCGCGGATATAACCTCCGGGACAGTAGCCACCAGTCATGCTGAGATGTACGTATAAGTTGGTCAGCTTGCTACAGGCAGAGGGAGTAATATTGCCAAGAATACGGAGCCCATCCTCTACAGCCCCGTCGGGAACGACTAAGTCATTCTCTGAGTAGACAATAGCGCTAACTTCGGTATAGACGGCTTTGCAAGTCTGAAGGAGGTGAAATGTGAAATGGAGCTCATCACATTCTGTACAAGGGTCACTTTCGAATCTTTTTCTAGCATGATTAACCCCTTCGAAGTCTTCGTGAGGTTGTTTTAATGAGTGTATGTAGACCGATCTTCCGCTAATGAGACCTGCGTAATCATATATTCGCCGTCGGACGGAAGCCGGTAGATCGAGGAATGTCCGATTATGCGTGCAGGTCCTCCGGCCAAGCCAACAGCATATTCTTTCCTGACGCATGACTATGCTATGGCTGAGAGGCAGGTATCGTTGGGTACCTAAGGTATTGTTAGGTAGGTTAAGTTAAGTGTTGAGGGGCATCAAAAACGCACATGTCAGACTGTCAGTGCGGCTCGAAGCTAGGTGGAGAAGTAGAGGTAGGTAGTAATTTATACGGATCCGTAAAAGCACTGGACCGCCACAGGGATGGTAATGATGGGCACTCAAACAAGCCAAGACCAGACATTGCGGTCTCTAGTTCTCCAGATACCCCGCGTTTAGGCCTACTCTACGGTATAATTTCCAACCGATTACAGGTCTAAAAGCCGTATTAGATGAACTAAAATAAAGGCTACCTAGCCTAGGTACTTAGTAGTTAACTGTTGACGTAGAGTCTTTATATTCTTCCCTTGATCATTTGTGGCGGCGTGAATAACGTAAAGTTATGAAAGTTATCATAAACTAATCTTTAAGAGGTAGCCACATAAGTTAGAATCGTGTGAATATAAAAGGATACCTGTTAAACATGGCCAATGTTGATCTTATAAAGAAGATGCGAGAGGCTGTCAGTTTGACAATCGACCGCGCAAGCCAAGACTTGAGGGAAAAGATTAACCGAGAATTACATCAACATCCCGAAATAGCATATCAAGAAGTGTTCGCACACGATACCATCACGCAATTTCTTCAAGAACGCGGCTTCATCGTGAAGCGCAGTACTTATGATCTCGCAACGAGCTTCGAAGCCGAGATTGGCTCTTCTGGACGTCTAGTGGTAATCTGTGCTGAATATGATGCACTACCTGAGATCGGTCATGCTTGTGGCCATAATTTAATCGCAACATCATCTATTGCTGCCTTTCTCGGCGCTGCTGAGGCCTTGAAAAAGAGCGGTGATGCCGGACGACTCCGAATACTCGGCACTCCAGCCGAGGAGGGCGGCGGTGGAAAGGTAAAACTAATCGGTGCCGGAGCATTTAAGGACAATATTGCTGCAGCCATCATGGCCCATCCAATGCCTATTCATCAGATATCCGGCTCCAATGAGCCACACGTATATGACGGTCTAGCGGGGTTAAAGATGATAGCAAGTCATAAGTTTCGCACCGAGTTTCGTGGGAAAACAGCACACGCTGCTGGTGAGCCGTGGAATGGCGTCAATGCCCTTGACGCTGCCGTCGCAGCGTATAGTAGTGTCGGACTTCTTCGCCAGCAAATCCAGCCCGACGAACGTATCCATGCTGTAATTGAGGTGGGCGGGACGGTGCCCAACGTAATTACAGATTACACGCGTATGAACTGGAACGTTCGAAGTCCGACTATTGCCAGAGCCAATAAACTGCTTGCCCGCGTGAAAGCGTGCATAGAAGGAGCAGCGACTGCAACTGGCTGCGAGCTCAATTATATCGTGTAAGCTTCCTAGATACACGCGAGACCATGGTTAACAAAAGTAGAGCGCCGACATACGCAAACTTGACGGCAAACAAAGCTCTTTGCGAGGCATATGCGGATGAGATGGGACGTATTGGGGATAAGATTATATTGCGGAATGAGAAGCCCGTAACAGCGTCAACGGATATGGGTAACGTATCCCACATTATACCGAGCTTCCACGGCGCGTTCGCAATATCGGCGCCACCCAACACTTCGCTCCATAATCCCGGGTTCGCCGCAGCGGCTAGCACCGACGAAGCTCATGAAAAGGCACTACGATGTGCGAAAGGGATGGCGATGCTGGCCGTTCGGGTACTCTTGGACGGAGAACTCGCTTTTAAGGCTCATTCCGACTTTCAACATAACCATGAGTGGTGATTGCACACTCGACCGAGTCTTCAGATACCCGTAGAAACATTCGTTATGATATAATTAAGTGAATATGGTTACTACTGGTACCATTTAATGACGATTTTAAAACCTATCTATTATTCCTCAAAACCCATACGCCTTCAGCATTGGATCCTGGAGAAATCGCTGCATCGTTTCCTCCTCTAAACACACGCTGATGTCAAAATCCCCTGTATCCGCAATGTCCATGACCTGGACAAGCCCGTCCATTCGCGGCATCACACCTTGCACGTACCGAGCTAGTTTATGCGTCGCGCAGAAGTCAACCTCGTATGCCTGTGCTCGTACCCATGAAGTAACGAGTGTATGTTGGGAGCCGAGGAAGGCTTGCCATAGTCGTTGTGGGCTAACCTCGTAAGCTGCATCGTGGATGTATGCTGACACGGCGTCAGGAGTGAATAGGGACATTGTCTGCCTAATCGAGCCGGCAATTGAACCGATTGTTGCAGTGCTCACCTCGGAGCCGGGTTTGGCAACATAGCCTAACAAGATCGGAGAGCCTACGAAGGCATCTGGTAGCGGTGGGTCGACCCGATTGCGGACCCCAAGGGTGATGTCGATATATACCTGCTCTTGAGATCTCTCAAGCCGTCTTGCGCGGTTGATAAGAATCCAGATGTGCGCCAGAGCAGCGTCAAGCCGTGAGACGCGGTACCCCCTAAGGGGCTCTGGAAGGCTTCTCTCAGCGGCCTTCTTCATCGCAACAATGGTTTCCGCCGTGAAACGTATTTGTACGTGTTCCACTGGAGAAGCCATATCCCATGTTGGCCAGGGTGGAAAGGAGGAAGGGCTTAGCTCTGAGCGAGCCAGTTCCTCCGGTGGTGGTCTTGTGCCGAGTGTTGACGCTTCGGCCCAGGGAGGATAGCCTGGTGCATCTTTGGCCCACCAATCGTATCGATGCATGGGCAGAGCTCTCGCTATTCTGACTTTCTCTGGGTCTGGTCCTGTGGGGGTAAGACCGGCGCGCTGGTCCAGCTGCGAGGGGTCGAACAGTGGTGCAAGACGCTTTTCCCCATCGGATTTATCACCCCCAAACAGATATCGCGACTGCGCTGCCCAGCCATGGGCGAATTGCATAAGACACATAGCATCCGAGAGGCAATGCGCAAGCTTGATACCGATCGCAAATCCGCCGCATTTGAAGCTCGTTAGTTGGATAGCAACGCCCGGCAAACCCTCAAACTCCGACAAGCTCGAGAATGCAAGTTTCGTTTTAGCGAGGAGGTCATTCTGAGGAAAGTCTGTCGCATTCCATACTTGCTTTGCAGCTAACCGCTCATCTTGGCTCGGTACCACAGCACTGAGCTCTCGGCTGCCCTCTACAATTGTCAATTCCACCCCAGGATCTCCTGGGCTACCATACACAACCACTGGTCGGCCAATATGCCGAGAATTGACGTCTTCTTTCACGAGCTCCTCAGATGCCCATCGGAGCTGGCCTGCGAAGTGCGGGTAGTCGTCTAAGGTCTGCCTAAGCGCTTTCTCCAGCCGTTCGAATAAAGTAGGATCACGCGAATCGGCGTTTTCAGCTTGATCGTAAAGCCAGATTGCGCCGCATGGTGCAAATCGCGCGACAGATGCGTCAAGGACAGACAATTTCGTTGTTGTTGTCTGTTTTGGGCCGTTCAGGGGGAAGACCCTCTTTGTGTGTTGAATTTGATATGTTGATTCCGTCATGACACTCCGAGCTTCCGGCTCTTTGACGTCGTCTCTAAATCTCGTTAGGGAGGTTGTGTTTTACCCCCTTTCCTAATGTAAGATTCAGCCTTCCACTGTCGGTGTTAGCCTCTCACTTCCACGCGCGTAGCTAAAATGACTCTGCCCATTTGACCGCCACATGATTCAAGAGGATTGGTAGTGCCTATTAAGAATACTACTTTATATAGGGTGAGCAGGGATCCGCTATTGAATCTAATTGAGTATAAGGAATATATGCCTTAGGAGTGCCGTGAGAACAACGAGTAAGCCCCTATTGGGAAAGTTATTGATCGGATAAGATCGGGTATGAATCATTATGAATCATAATGATACGTGGCTGTGCCGTAACTCGCAACCAATGTCCATATCCTATTACCCTCGTCCTCCGCCACAGAACGAGTGGATACTTCTAGTGGTAAAATATCCCATAGTATCTTGGCGAATTAGCATACAGTCGGCCCTACCGATAGAGCCTCCGCAACCTGCTGAGCAACTACATCATGGATAGGATAAGTTGGATGTAAGTTATTGAGCCAGAAATATTCGTTCACAGCAACTCCACAGCTAGGGGTAAACGTGTCGTCATCGGGCGTGCCACTGGGATTGTTAGTACTTCGCTCGAATATAGCACGAATCAATCATTCGGTGCCCCTGAGGAAGTGTATCTTACTTTTGATACGCATCGCAATAACTGGTGGTATTCTTAAGGCCAGCAGTTTGCGCGTATGTGCTCGGCTTATCCAAAACCTCGGAAAAGCTCTTATTTGAATCATAAACCCAGACATTGACTTCGTCTGTGTGGTTGCTCTTCAATGTAGCGGCTGTATCTGCTACGCGTTTGTTCCAATCTGCGATCGCTTCTTTCTCCGTCTCCACAGATTGTTCACCCTGGCCAACTGTTAACGGACTGCGGTCCACAGGCGGGACGTTGATGAAGACGAAATTCCTGGCGCCACTGTCATAGAGCTGATCAACTAAGCCTGAGTAAACATCAAAGATCTTAGTGTATAAAGGACCCGAGGACTCTGACCCAGCCCAATACGAGTTCCCAACATCGTTGATACCAATCCAGAAGGCAAATATAGAATCGGCACTTGTCCATTTAGGTGCAGATGGCGCTGTAGCAGAAGCACCCGTGTAGCCCGGGATAAACTCTTCCTGTACTTGTTGCTTAACCGACAAGACGGTAGGTGTATAAGGCTGAACAAGATCTGAGTCGACAGTCGCACCTCCGTAAGCTAGATTGTAAGTTTGTAAGAGTGACGCATTGTACTTGACGGTCAGATATCCAACCCAGTTGGGCCCATTCGACGACGTCCATCCCGGATACTCTGGGTTCCCAAACGGATTAGAAGGTGAGGGAGGAGTTTGCGTGTAGTTGAATCCTACAAGCAAATGTTAGGACTGGTTCCCTTAGGTCAGTTCATCTTTCTTTCAGTACCTGTCTGTGTATAGCTATCCCCACTAGTAGTAAGTTAGTATATACTATGTAGAATCTGATCAGAAACGCTAACAAGATGAAGGCATGTTTGATATCCTTCCAACCCGTCCATTCTGTCGTCACCGCGCACTCCTTTGTCGCCGAGGGCAGCGCGTACGTACTCGTCGCAAGGCATGCTAACGTTGCAACTACGAAGTGAGCCATATCTTGCTAGCCCAATGCTGAGATTCTACTGAGCCCGCACTGCCTGGTTTAATCTAAGTCGCAAATCCGATGCCTATATCTCCTAGCCGTGCATTCGCGATGGACTTAGAATAGACCCTGGCATGGACTGAAGAATGGAATAGAATTGAGTTTTGAAAACCGAAGGAACCAGACTATGGGACGTTATTATATATTAGAGGGCTTATTTTAGAATTCACGTAAGACATTTTTACGGATGGGTGTACTTGAAATTGGGGGCGGCCCTTTCGCTGTATTCAGCATTCAACAGCACGGAATGAATTTTGTTACCCATCATAGTATGGTCCGATTTGATACTGGCCATCCAGACTCCATCGCTAATCGTACGATTTAATACACGCCTTGCAGTTCCGCAGAGGAATGTTTTCAATGCTAGCACGCCACCCCCAGCACGAAAAGTTGGAGAAGACGGGGCATCGAGCGCCGCCCTTTCAAATCCAGCATTCAAATTCCGATGTGAGTTCCCACCAATTAAAGATGAAAAGGTCGCAATTCAGAGCTGCCTCATGAGCTTATACGGAGGCAGAGGTTCCGAACCACGATGGGATAGAGGTACCTAAGTGGGTTAACGGGACACACCGAAGTTATGATGCTACGCCGGTCAAGAACTTTATCTGAGCTTCGCGTGAAGGAAAGCTAATAGTATCTTAATCGGAAAGGAAGAAATACTTACCCGGGCGCTAGTTGAGAGGTAAAAAGACAAGCCGTGAGGTTGCTGATGAATGAGTCCATTGACTTGATTTTGTACTGTGCGTACTGTGCGCTACCATCCTCCCATCTACCTATATTGCTTGGGATCAGATCTAAGTTAAAATATTTCAAGTTACTCTCCTCACATAGTCAACAGACAATTTTATTCGACATTCTACATGCAAAAGAAGTGATAGAAAAGGAAGAATACCCTTAATGGCGGCTGTGGCATGATTCAACTTCGCGATCGTTACCCTGATGTACGATCTTGAACGCCCGTATATATACTACAATATGATAAATGTCTTGATTCCGTTTGGTCAAGTTACCGGCCACTTCCAATGGTAAGAGATTAATTACACTACAGAGGCCGAGGTGAGGGTTAAATATGATGATAGAAAGCTATCGGAGACTTATGAACGCCATTTCATTGCGGCCATATCTCAAAATAAGCCTATCATAGGAAGCATTGCTGCGGAGATGATGAATATGGGGGAGCTATATAGCTGTGGTTAGTTCCGGAATTATAAAAAGATTAAACAAAATTACTTCGACTTTATCTTAACGGGGTAGATATATTTATCCCTTTACTATTATAACGTGCTAGAGTTGATCGCTTATATAAACGCGCAGCTCGTCACTAAACAAGGCGAGTGCACTGGCGCTTCTTGCGTCCCTATCAAATAGACTATTTACTATGTGCCGCCATGGTAATATTGGCTCTCCTTCATATGGGCTCTTTGCTGAATGTATAAGGCATGGCGTTGTACTAACAAGAAAAACCATGTCCTGGTTTCCGAGTATTGGTTAAGCCTCATCTAAAGATATCAGACCATTAATAATAACTCAGTTCCCTTCTTTTATGATGCAGTTTTGATGGCCTTCCGCTTTTAAATCCAGATACGGGAAGCAGATGTTACTTTCATTAGGTTGAAACCATGGGTAGATGTTGCTACTGATTATATCCGTTCCTAGTTTGGGGCCTTATATATGCCATTTTCTGTAGTTTATATATACTTAACGTGTAACTTGTATATCTTTAGGAATATCGTTCCTCGGGATAGCATCTATTACGTCGAGATGTCTCCGAGCCCAACGAGAAGGCACATGGTTAAGCACTTCGATTCGATTTATAGGGAGCATAGCGTTCCGAAGATTTGCATGCATTATGAATTCCGAACTAGTATTCCTTCCTAGGATAAAGTCTGAATTATCATCTATCGAGTAGATTTTTGCCTGAGCTGGTAAGGCTGGGTCATCAATATGAGCTCGTCGAAAGTATACGGTTGGATTAAGGGCGCCGTAGGAACCGTCCAAGGCGTTTCTTTTCAATAACTCACTGAATGAAATCCAGAACATGATTCCCATAAAGGTGACTTGGATTTGCTATTTAATAGTATTTTGTATATAAGCTGTTGACATATATTAATTTTGGCAACTTAACTAGGTTTATCCTTGCTTTTCATGAATCGTGGAATAGTCCATTCTACCCCTTTTGGTACGTACCGCTTTCATGATAGGTCACTTATTTTTCTTTTTTTTTGAGCTCCGGCGTCGCAATGTCGAATTTCTTCTTCATGCCCGGCTTCGGGAGGTTTGTTGTCATCGCCCTCCCAATCGACAGGTCGTCAAATATCTTTATTATTGGTTAATATGATGAAACCTCACCACAACTCGGAGTTGTCGAGGGACTGTGCTAAGGCGAATATTGCCCTTGTAGCTGAATCGCAACAAGCACCGCGATTTCGTAAACGATTGACGCGTCGCACGCCAATTCGATCTGCATCCCGCTTCGTTCCTCAAGATCCCAACGAAACACCAGAGCATCATTTTCCCCTACAAACTATTTCCTCGCGATTTGCCCAGTCTCGCTTCATCAACCGCTACGACAGCCGTGAGATATTGATTCTTATTGACGGGAGTTGCATCAATAATGGAAGCAAGAATCAGACTGCCAAGCCATCTTCCGGTGGGTGCAGTTTCACATTCAAAGGGCCAGGAAGATACGGATCCGAAGTAGAACATCCTTTCAAGGATGCTAATTACAATGACGGTGGGATGGTCGGATTTCCTCTGGAGAAGTGTGGACCTAGAGGCGAGAATTACGATGCGACAAGCAACAGGGCAAAACTTAGAGCAGTAATTGCAGCACTCGAATTTCGCGACTGGCAAGAAGAAGGATGGCGGCGCATCGTCATTGCGACCGACCTCAAATACGTTGTTGACGGCGCAATAAGCCATCTGCCAACATGGGTTCGACGCGGTTGGCGGACTAGCAAGTTGAAGAAAGTAGCTAACCGAGACCTGTGGGAAGAACTCAATGGCGTTATTGAGAATTTGCAAAGGCGTGGTACCTCTATTTCATTCTGGCTACTTCGTTCGGGCAGCTTGGCTAAGACTAAGTCGACACTGGTACGTGAGACTAAAGGTGCCGCAAGAGAGGCCGCTATTGAGCATACTGATGAAACTGCGCTGGAGTTTACAAGGCTGTGTGGCATCATGTTATAAAGCCGTGATCTTTCGATTTTGGGTCTTTTACGAGGGCTCCGTATCTGATGATGTTATACCAAGCATCATCAAGAGAGAACATTTTGTATGGTCAGGATCTGCTGTGGTACTACACTTTGACTCTCATTCCGAGTTGCAAACACAGTTCGCAGGAGCTTGGCAGGAGTCTCGGTTAGTGTCTGGGTTTTGGGTATGCTAAAGCTGCTGGATCTCGTTAGTATGAAGGTGAAATAAGAGATTGTTAGAGCAATGATGGAGAAGCCCTGTACATTCGAACTTGCCGGAGCATAGAAACATAGTATTCATATGTGGAATGCTTCATGGCTTGAGCATTGTATCTTTATTCATTATCTCCGTATGCTCTTAGATGATCCATCAACCAATCAGACCTCTCTAATAGGACCTTTGTAGTGTTTCTTCGCCCGGAGCGGATACCATATAATAGAGAACAAGATAACGACACAAAAGGGTAGAACGCTCCAGTTGGTCGTCTCCGCCGTCGGATTGTTCGTCTGGGGCCAGAAGGACCAAAATAACGTTACCACATTATATACACAAGCAAATATATTATTGATAGTTCCCAATGGTTCGGGAATTCGCCAAGGTCCCCAAGTAACTTCTTGATCGGGTTCATCTGTTTCTCCTGAGTAAGGAAGCATCTTCCCTGTAGTACGGCGCCAAAGAAGAAGAGCGCAGGGAACCATGTAGGAAGCAAATAGAGCAGCTACCGACAAGGAGCACAATGCCTGGAGGGCGACGGCAGACCCAAGCGCAATTAATGATAAGAGTACGGTGACAGCGAAGGTGGTAAAGATCGCATTCGTCGGGAGGGTGTTCTTAGTGAGCTAAATATACCAAGTCAGCAAACATGGATTAACTCTTAAGGCACATATACTCATTAGGTAAAATACCTTTACCAGGTGGTTTGAAAATGGGACGCCTTTATCCCGAGAAAAAGACCAGAGCATGCGGGCCGTCGAGGCATATATACCAATGCTACCCGCCACTGTCAAAGCGAAGATGACACCCGCCATGAGGCAAGCACCTGTGGTCGACTTAACCGCGGAATCGGCTATCTGGAGGAAAGGGTAGAACATGGTATCGACAGCTGCCACTGTACACGGTTTACTGTCAGTAGTTGCACTTAGGCAGTCGTAGGGGCATTGGAGTGTCCATAGAACTACACTATAACTTACTTGCTGCATCCAAGTCGCTAATACAAAACACCATAGCGATAGCCATACCCAACGCAAGTGCCCCGTTAATAAGAACCGTATACATCAACGCCCGAGGAACTACTAGGGGAGCTGATTGTATCTCTTCGGACATATGAACAGCACAATCAGCTCCGACTATAGCTGTAGCAAGTGTCGGGAACCCAACAAAGAAAGCCATTGTCTCCGTAGGCCAGTTTCCGTTGTTGAGGAACGTTGTAAAAACAAAGCTCGGTTCGTTATGAGGTGCAAAATATACCACTTCATCAACTAAGTTAGCAACGACATCCTCGAAGTTTCAGGGGTTTTATAATTCTCGCTAGAGTAGCAGCTCTTCACCAGGATCGATTAAAAAGTTTGGCTCCTGAAAGAGGCCAGATAGCAGAGGAAAAGGGGCTTCTCGTTGGTACATACTTGGGACCAAAACTCCGAAGAAGCCGGTTAAATGGAGAATGAGAATAAAGGCTTCCAACTTTGCCAGTATACGGCTCGTGGTAGAATTTATAAAGGTGGTAAGAAGAGCAAAAGCCCATATGAGTAGTACGGTGTGCCATGCCAGAGGTACATATGTTGGGTGAGCTAAGACGATGATGCCCTGTAGAAGAGTTGCGACAAGATAACTGCACATAACAGAAATTGCTTGCCATGCTAATGTTGTGAGCCAGGCAGTCATGTATGATAAGAAGGTCGAACATGACTTTGGACCTAGCATCGAAACCCAGTGGTCTACGTAGTAAATGGGGTTAGTAGATGATCAGACCGGGGATATTGTAAAATTTCTTCATACATTGACCAGCAGCAGTCGGCGCTGTCGAAGCCAACTCAGCTAACGTCGCATACATGGAAATAACCCCAATCCAATTAACTACGAGCCCCCATATAAGACCGGATGGTCCACTGGTTCGATTAGCATTTGTTAAGCATCTTGACAGCGTTCCATTAGAACTACACTAGTTAAGTAAACTTACCCTATAATAAGGCCCGGGACGCTTGTCAGGAGAATGCTTTCCCACGAGCATAATGCCGAACAGGAGAAGCCTAGAATTGACATAAATCCAAAACTTCGAGTCAGCACTGGCCGTTTCCCAAGCCGCCGGAGGACCGCATCGTCATCGTAATTGTCACGCTTGCGATAGCTTGACGACGATTCGTCGCGGAGAAGATTTCCGACATTAAGCTCAAGCTCGTCTTTCGACATAGCGATTGATATGCGCAAGGATATACGCAATACCCTGATATAGAACGATAAATAATGCGCGAGGAAGAAACCGATAATATCGGGACCCGAGTGGGACGACAATAGGTCGAACTGAAGATCGACTTCGGTTGCCCGGCTGTGGAGAAAAGAACGTGATGGAGGTGAGACTGGACGGGTTGGACAGGCTGACAGGATAGAACGCGACCCCCCCTCTAACACGCTCTATTAGGCCAGCTGAACTTCACCCGGGATTGTCCCCAAAAAGTGGCTGCTTGGCCCGAATAGACACTCAGACACTGAGTGGAATATGTAGACAGTGAGGCACAGAGCTAGGGGGCGATAAGCGAAAAAGCACGCAACCAAACAACACAAGGGAGTGGCCTGGGTGGCCAAACCCTCTCGTGCAAAGACACGGCACAGCATGTCAAGGATGTAACATCACATCCCCGCACTCGGTGTGTTTCTGATCCTCCCAAGAACCCGTTACATTTAAACAAGGTCCTACATATGTATCAGTGTATGTAGGCGTATTGAGCGGACCAATCGGTCTACCTACCAGCCTACCTGAACCCCTGGTAATAAATTGATATTATTGAAGCGTCAAATCCGACTTAAAATGGCTATCATCGCCATCTATGTTATCGATACAAGTTCTACCTACCTCACAATCTGTAACGCTTTTGACTCCCGACATTTTGCTGTCAATAATCGATCCCCATGTGCATATTGGTATTATCATATAGTCGGCGACCGCGTCCAGTTCATTCAATAGTGTCTACGGGTCATAATTCGGTCCCGATCCAGTGCCGTTAGCATGCGTTCCTGATGACGAAACTCCTACGATGCTCTCCCACGGTGCTTGATTGGTGGCGTCGTTATGGGGACATGGCACCATCTCTGAGGATTTTGTCTTTCAAGTTTCCAGCTATGGTCCTATACTGTAGACTAAACTAAAGACGTAGACATCTCTACACAATAACTCAGTGATCTTACTAACAATGCACTTCTTCAGAGGAGCAGCAGACAACAGAATACCATTGACCATATAATTATAGCAATATCCTATATTCCCGGAACCATTCATCGTTTGGTAACGCCTTTGCACCTAAGTCCGCTATCCATCGTAGCCGTGAGACCATAACCCTATGTAGTCGGTTTCCTAATTCCGTCGCTCGTGTTCCGCATCAACGACCGCTCCAGGGGTGATGATCACATCCGAGGTAAATCCACCGCGGATCTCCTTCTTGCCATCGCGGGCCCCTAAGTCGTGTTAGTTGGAAAAGTAAAATCTGCGGTAGGCTGAAGAATGAATACCTAGGGGGCTTGCAGATGCGACGGTGCTGAGTCCCAGCAATGCCGTGATGAAAGCCTTGTAAAGCATTTTGATGTAGATAGACGATATATTTGTATGGGCGTAGTTTGTTTTTTAGACAGTATTGTGGTCTATGGAACTAAAAGCCCACCTCTCGTAACAGGCCGGTCGACTGACGGGAATTTATAAGATGAACAGTCTGATATCAGATGAAAGGAGTACCCCACTAATTGATATACAAAGTCAGATGCAACATCGTTAGGACTATCGTTAGGACTAGGTACGATCACACAAGAGATCTAGACTACGAAACATGATTGGCTCAGTCGCATCTGACACAGTAAATCACAGTCCTACGTAGGAAATTAAAAATTCAATATCACATCCGCCACTTTACAGGGTATTTCACATTGCCGGCGGCTGTATCGAGCGGTGAATGCCGTAGGGCTTTCAAGCGGGGTGCCGAGTTAACTGTCTGAGCCATGGGTCGTGCATATCTGCAACAGGTAGTGGGCTGGTGGGATGATAATCTCATAGGCGCTCGATGGTGTAGGTTGCATTGGAAAGATGATACACATACCTACATGCAGACATTCAGACATGCAGACATGTTGACTACCTCATACATAGAGCCAGATCTGACGCTTGCGTATCCCAGTGGGTCATAGCGCAATGAAGTCCTGCATATCTATATCCGTCGTACGACCTGTGGAAGTCATAAGGCTGAGTGAGATCCCTCTGTCTTATATTAATATCTGAAATTGGGCTCTCTTCCTTACCCAACTTCAAAAGTCTCTCGCGTCCTGCTAGCAACAATCATGGAGAAAGGCTCGACAGAATCGCGAGATCGCCTTCTCGGTGAAACGGAGTACATGGACGCGAATTTCAGGAGCTCCGATGAGTCTAAAACATCGATACGCCGGTGGATACGCAACAATGCCTTTCTACTTGTGATATTTGTGCTCCTGCTATACATCGCCATTGTCCTAACTATTGACTCCGCGGCGAGACTCGGGACGCAAGAACAATGCCTCGGAGTGGATAAGCACTTTAGTATGGGTTAACCATCTCATATTCTAGTATGAAATTCTACTAACACTGTATAGGGTTACCCGGGAATGCTGTACGGTACGAAGAGAAGCAGGAATGGTATACTCTTCGGGAACCTTGGAATAAGGAGCCATCAGACGAGCTTGATGATCTATGGGAAGACTTGTTATATGGTTAGTATCCCTCAAGCCAGACTCTTATCGACGTATACTGAAATTCTCTAGCCTTGAATATCAGAGTTTCCCCCCATGAAATGGAACAACTTGGTTCAAATCTCACGAATCGTATTCAAGTTGACGGTGGGGACTATCTTGGCGTCATGGGTGTATATCATCATCTTCATTGCCTGAATAATCTACGGAGGATAGTCCATTGGGATTATTATGAGTCCCGCGTGTCAGATCTAGGCCCTACGGGTCCTTTTGGAAAGGGGCACTCAGGTAAGCCAATTGATCTCCTAGTATCAAGAGACCATTAAGCTTATATTTATGACCCCGCAGATCACTGCATCAACGCAATCCGTCAAGCCTTGATGTGCCACGCAAATACCGAGATACACACAGGACAATGGATTTACGACCCTGATAGGCCTCAGGCTTCGAAACTGGGATCGCACTCGATAACTACATGCGTGAACTGGGATAGCTTGAATAATTGGGCACGTAGCAGAGCATTGAGAGCGGGTGAATACACTTACAGACCTGTACCAATCGATGAAACCATGTCAGATTAACTAGAAGATAATATGATAACTTATGTATAAACGTCTTTAAATTCATCGTCTGACATGCATCAAATACTACCCCGTTCAAAGCCATCAGATCTTACGTAATGATTAACTCCTCGAGTATAGGTAATTGGAATTAGAGACAGACATATCAGCTCTATCATAGTGAATTTTCTCTTACTTATGTCACCACTGTGCACGCAAGGAGGGTATTTCTGATGTATTTCCACCCCGCACCTTGAAGCGGCGTCAGCCACGGGTATGTAAGGAGTTTCCAAGCGCTTACGTCTTTGTCTAGGCAAGGGGATAATGTAACCGTAGCAGCAGAGGTGGACTTACTCGAGGTACGGCAGAATCGGTCCGATCTATTCTGAAGCTTAACCTATGGACCCTTTCGTAGCTGCGTAGCTAGCTTACAAGAAGCCGCATATCCAAGTTTCATTCTCATTCTTCAACGGTCAGTCCAGTTTTTTTTTTAGTTTATGAGCATACGTAAGGTACTAATTTAAATCGCACATTTCGCTCCTATCCGCTGGTCTAGACCCATCAACATGGCAGACTTACCCGTCTTAGAAAGTAAAGTGGCTTTTGATGCGCCCAATGCGGGAAAGCCATCCACCACCTGGTACAAGGTCGTCGGCGACCTAGACAAATCGTCAACCCCGGCCTTAATTGTACTTCATGGAGGACCCGGTGCGGGACATGAGTACTTGGCTCCTTTTACGGATCTATACACGCAATACGGTATTCCCATCGTATTCTATGACCAGATTGGATGCGGGAGGTCCACTCACTTCCAAGAGAAGATAAGGGATGATTCATTCTGGACGGTCGACCTTTTTATTGCCGAGCTTGACAATCTTGTTGATCACTTAGGATTACGCGAAAAGGGCTTCTTCGTCGCCGGCCAGAGCTGGGGCGGCATGCTGGCAGGATCGTATGCATCCCGGCGTCCTCGTGGCCTGAGGAAATTGATAGTCGCCGGCGCGCCTGCTAGCTTCCCTCTTTTCGTGGAATACGGTAAAAAGCTACGTGCCGCATTACCAACGGATATCCGTGAGATACTAGAAGCCGGCGATCGAGATGTGAGCTACGAAACCTCAGAGTACGAAAGGGCCAGCGCCTGTGAGTAGCATCCGGGATCGCTTATCGGTTATATTTTATGCGCAATGATATCTTATATTGATTCGGCAGTCTTTTATTCGCGGCACGTCTGTTCGCTCGACCCCCTTCCTGAACCTGTAAAGCAGGCCTTCGTAAACTTGAAGGACGACCCGACATCTTACAATACTATGTATGTACCCCGACGAATCAACTGTAGTAGACTTATCAGGTATTAACATGTGATCTTATGTACCTAGGCAAGGACCTTCTGAGATAGTCATCGATGGCAACCTCAAGGACTGGGAGGGCTGGAAAGATGCCCATAATATTCAGGTCGACACATTGCTTTTGAACGGGAGGTATGACGAGGTGGGGGAGCCATGTGTAGAACCCTGGGGTATGTACAAGAAAACACTAGTCTTCTGCTGACCACCGCTAACTACCAATAGTGAGTATAGTTATCTATTTTCGCGTTGCCTCATTCTACTAACCCCTTAAATTCCATGGATTATGAAACACGTCCGTCCACCATAAATATTACTTTCAAAGGCTAATGAGAAACATTTCGGGATACTAGTTTAGGGTAATTCCGAGGATCAAGTGGGTGGTATTCGAGAAATCTAGCCATATGGCGCACTGGGAGGAGCGTGAACGATTCATGCAGGTAGTCGGTACCTTTCTTATAGGCTACTAAGGCCACTCGCTTGATCATGTTATCAGACGTACCAGCGGACATATTCGTACATGTATGCATTCTTGCTCCTATGGAGGAAACCTGGGGTTATGACTCTGAGAGCTGAAGGTGGGTGAGTGTCGTAATACTTTCTTAGGTCGGTGCTAAAGAGTTACAACAATGTAAAGAGGTTAGCAAATCAGACTATGAGTTACTCAACCAGTCAACTCCATTCGCGGGTTTCTAATTGATGTATACATCCTTCGGTCCATAAACCATACTGCGGGTAGATCCGTAAGATTAGGTTAAGACTTGCGAGCTTGTCTGCGCCGTATGACTGCATCTCATAGGCATGTCGATTATACCAGCGGTGCGCGATAGCCGATACTGATGACTATGTCCTACATATGTAATAATGACTGCTTGGTAACGGCTTTCAAGTGGTCACCCTACCTCCTTATTAGCGCTCCTTATGATAACATCATAGGTATGAGGTGGATGGTTTAATATGTGTCGACAGCCCCGCTCAGTTATACGACGTTATTAGTATACATATGTAGAGGACAGAACGCAGGTGGTAAAGAGCCATTCTTTTGTGTAAGCGAAGAATTATCCGAGCTAATTTCTTGCTCCATCAACGCCGGCGAATTCTTGCGTTAAGAACCTTATTCATAGGGCTGCATTTAACAAGGTACGCGAGGCGGGAACTAAATAAGACCCCAGCTAGTAAGTTGATCACGACGATGCTTAGGTAGGTATCTTTCATATGTACATGTATCTATATTATAATAGCCTTGTATTAAAAATGTGCCAATCTCCGGCCTACATATTTACTCCCTAGGCAAGTAAGCCTTTACATCATAGCTATTGTAGATATGTTTCTTCCCTCCTGAAGACGGCCTTATATTCACCAGATTCCCTACTTGCTATTTAAAAATATTGCTCAATTGCGTCCCCACTATCTATGTTCTTTGGAAACTCAACATATTCCAAAGGAATGATAACCGTATGCGGGAGTCATACAACCCCCCCCCTTAAATGAGGATAAACTCAAAATAACTGCATTACTCAAAATTTAAATCAACAGATCAGGTACCGACGACTCTGACATTAATTACGACATACATATGTATACCTATTGTCGTGGCTAAACCGATGATAGCTCCCATAACGCCTGGCTAAAACACCTCCACGGTATAATAGCTCCCCAAACTTACCTCCTATGTACATATTTGAGGTAGTTATAAGGATCAAAACGTCGACTTCTGGTGTTCTTCGACGAACTGGCACCAATCATCAACCTCCTCCACATAGTTCTTGCTCATGTAAAAGAACGACCCTTTCTTGACAAGATCCATATCAAGGCAGCTCTCTATCTTCAGGGGTTTGGCGTCCGCCTCTTGCCTACATGTTCTATGCAAATTTTCCTCAAAATCTGACAGAAATGAGTTTGGCTGGTAACTTCTATTCGATGACTTTGAGGATTCCATAGATCGTCCTAAGCTGGGACTCTTACGACACTCGTCCTGTTTTTGTTGGAGCGCTACATTCCTCTGTTCGGCACGCACTGCGGCCTTCTCGATGGCAATTCCTCTGCTTACCCTCGCCATGGTCCTGCTGATATCTTCTTGAGAAGTCTATTCTATTACAGAGTCTGGGTTCGTCTTGCCGAACCGTTAGCTTGTGATGTTGAAACGCGGATCCTCAGGGTTCTATATCCTTTCAAAGTATGTAATATATCGGTGCCTGAATAATGCAAGTTACCCAGGTAGTTTTCAACTTATATATTGTTCGTCCGATGGTTGGAAACAATCCCATTGATAATGAAAGGATTGGATGAATAATATGCCTAGAGTCTTTAACAAAGCCGAACAATTCATTATATCAAAGGAGTAGTAATAACAAATGTAGGCTCAAAGGCCGCTAGAATATCTCGTAAAGCTCTCGAAGTCGCTTTTCAATACCGTGCTTTATACGTGCTTGGTTCGTGTTATGATACTGATGCTCATCCTATTACTCGGCATATCGTAAGTATACACAACATACGACGGGGTATAAAAATTGTTGATCAAATTGTTGGTCTGTGAAGTGAATAAAGGTCGTTATTCATTGATGATTTCCACTGTAGCCAAGCTATTCTCTAAGACCTAGAGATATATGATATATCAACTATCAAGATGACCCCTTGTATCTGAAACGCACGAGGACAGAGAGACCCAGGGTTTGGCCAAATGTATCCAGTATAGAACGCCCCTTTAACCTGCCTAACAGGAGAAACTGGTGCCATCAATGTAGCAGAACGTGACACATGATTATAATGACATCTCGAAAGTAGTAAAACGCCAATCTTGTCCATAGATGATGTAAAGCTCGATGTCCTTAACCCTTAGACTAAAGTCGATACCGAGATTAATTAGACCCATATTTATCTTCAACATGCGAAAGTAGCCAGCGCAAGCCAAGCTTAGGACGTTACTAGGTAAGAGTAGCAAGCATAGCTCTCATCAAACCAGGCGGCGGTCCTACCGAAGATAAACATGTTAGCTAAGGCTCCTCCACTTTCAGATAATAACAATCGAGAGCGAGTATAAGCGCACCTTCACCTATCGATACTTAGGCACGCTAATGGACATCCTACCTTTCTTGTCCTTCTCAATGCGCACCCCGCGCCGTGGCTCCTCGATCTTCTCGACCTGTTCCTCATAAAGGACGAGCTCACCCGTCGGTAAGCGTTCGGCCGACACCAGTTCTCGATCGGTGCTGCGACTATGCGACCGGTGTCGGGAGTGGGAGTGGTGGTGGTGCCGTCGGTCTACTTTCAGTAGGTCGCGCTCCGCCTCTAACCGAGCGATTTCCATCTTGATGTCTCTCTCTGATCGCCGCCGGTCACTGACTAACGCGAGAGGTCCTACGGCAAGTTCTTCGCTGTATTCTCGGGGTTCTATGATAACGGGGGTACGAGTTGTAGAAGTAGAATGACTACGGTGGCTCCGAGTGCTGCGAGTAGGAGTAGGCGAGCTCTCGCGAATAAACGTCTCCTGGACAACCTCAACGGGGGTTTGTGTAGCTGGTGCAACAGGTGCCGCAGTATGGATAATTGCTGGGGGAGGAGGAGGAGGCGCTGCAACTGGGGGCGCTGCAATTGGCGGTGGCGGAAGAGTAAACACCTCTTCTCTTCTTTCTTCAAAGATGCCCGCGGAAACAGAGCGAGCAGAAGCAACTTCTCGTTCGGATTTCTTGTAGTCTTCGCTCAGCTTAAGTAAATCATCGATATTCTGTTGGCCGAGAGCCTTTTGCACAACAATGACGTTACCCTAAGATAGTTAGATCAATGATAGGATATTGGGTATGTTCTTGAACTTACCTCTTCAACAAACGGATAACCAAGGTCAATGAGCGCCAGCTTTGAAACGAGTCGGACAGGGATTCTCGTCTTTCCTTTCTTGGGATACTCGCTCTTAACGCTCTTGACAGTAACGCTGGTGCCTCCAGTACTGCTCGAATCATCTGATGAGACGGAAGTTCGTGAGATGCTTCTGCTTCGAACACTGCTGCCACGACGCTTATCTCTCGATGCACTACTTCCGCGGCGACTCTTCAATTTAACAACATCTCTCTCGCGAATACGCTCAGGATAAGCATGGTATTCTTCATCGCCATAGCGATCGGGCTCAGAGATCTTGATCTCATCGAATTCTCGCTCGGCATATATCCTCGGCGGAGGCAAAGCTCTTGATCGTGGAAGGGGAATCGGCTTGTACGGCTCAGGACGGAAATCGTCGCGACGGGAGTAGGTATCAGATTCCTCCCTATCAATGAATCGTGGTAGAGGCCGTCTATCAAATGTATCAAGAGACGACTGCCGCCGGATTAGCTGACCAGGTCGTCGTGGAGGGGACGGAGGACGGAATTCTCGTTCACGTTCCCGCTCAGCCCGTTCACGGCCGATAACAAGACGCCGTTCTAACTCAGGAGGTGGGGAGCGACGAAAACGTGGGCCTTCATCGTAATATCTTTTCTCGCGCGGAAAATCCTCTTCCCACGGACGTGGTACTCTTCGCTCGAATCTTTCATCCACAGAGGCCTCACGAACCCGACCTCCTGGGCCGCGATTATAGTAACGGTCGTGTTCCTCAAAGCGATCTCTTTCGGCACCTTGCCGACTACGGTCACTCTCAACAGCGAAGCGACTCTTGTCCCACCTCTCGCCATACGAGTCACCGTAGGCGAGATCGTCATCTACCCGCCTATATGCCATAGTAGAATGAAGAAATTAGTAATAAATTATTGAATCAAATAGAAGGATATCTCGAATTAAATAGTTTGATGAACGAGTATAAAATGTGATGTTAGGCGATATCGAAGCGTGAATAAAATCGGGCGGAATTAACGTCGTCGTAGATTTCGGACTATGACGACAACGGGGAAACGACTCCGAACTGTCAAGGTATTAATTTGACAGGTTTATAAGTGCGCGCGGGGCGGCTTTTCGTGATGGATATAATCGTTGCACTACGCCGCACAACACAAAGTCCAAGTAGGTCGTGTAGACCGTTTTTGTTTTCCTCGGGGGTTTCGCACGTTCCTGCTGCGTGTGACTTGGCTATGCGACTATATATGTCGCGGACTGACCGATGAACCTGATCAGCAGTCCAAAGGCGATGTAGTGCCCTCGCGGGTGTAGGTGTGTGACAGTTAAGCTTGTGCTTCCTTGTGTGTATCTGTATACAGATACTGTTGGCTCGGTGAGAATACTGTTCGGTTTATAATATATACTATAGTCGCGACTAAAACTTGGCAAAAGTCTTGACAGGAATTAGAAGTGGATGAGAATGACGACAAAAAGTTCGTGGAATTGAGTTTGACGATTTTGGAGGGGCAACCCGGTTCTTAAAAACGATCATTACATCAGTGAACCAGTGAACATGTGGTGATGGCTGAGCCCATCTGTCCATTAGCACTTTAGCGCTGCATGAAAATATAGGCCAATACAGCCACCATGCACCCAAAGGCCCCACACAAGCAATACCGGGAGGGAACCAAGACCAATCAACCAAACTGAAGCAAGAGGGCGTGACTGCTGGACTATGCTAGTGTAACATCGAAGCTACTACCTATAGTAAGGTTTTATCATAAAAATTCCGTCACTAGAAAATTGCAAGGGCCGTACCTAATCTAATGCAGTACCTTCCCCTTAGGAGGTACCTATCATATAAAACATCCATCATATTATGAGGAGAAGGACAACTCTAGAAGCAAATAACAAATAGCACAAAGGCTTCGTACTCCCTTCAACTCCTTGGCGGTAATTGAAAATTGGGCAGCGCTTGGGTTGTTATATTCGTCCTAATCCAAGGCCTCAGCAACCAGTTACCCATGGATCTGCTTCTTCGTACAACAGTAAGATTTATCAAAGTTGCATTTCACCAATATGACCATATCTAGCCAGCTAGCCCATCCAACTTGGATGATCCAAGTACTGAGCCAGGTACGTTATGTATCGTGAGGGTCCACCAATACAATGCGTGCCGATTATCCCTGGTATCCTTGGTGAATGGGGCCGGACATGGAAGACGCCGAGACGAAAGTACAAGTTTGACAGCGTCGGAGAAAGATGATGTGTCCCATAAAGATATTAGTGCTTGTTTTTCGTGGATCTCGACGGGATCTAGAATTTCGTGTTGCGATGGGTGGAGAAGTTCCCAAGCTTCACTTCCAGGATATTAAAGCCAAGTCTTTGATGCAGAGTGACGTCGTTCAAATTCATCAAGCTTTCGAATCGGGCTTATCAGGCTTTCTCGTCCCGCTCACTTACACTAGCGACTTACATATCGCAGATATCGATAAACTAATGTGGTCCGTGCTATCCAACCTGCCAACTAGACTTTCTATCCTCCACAACGCGTTAAGTGGCTGAGTAGTTTCCCCTTTTCAAGTCTGCATTTCTCAACCATACAATTTCTAATTCGTAACGAGATACGATGTAGTCGCTACGTTCAAATCCCCAGATGGCTTAACGAGTCAAGAGCCTACTTTTCGCGCTTACGTGCGTATGTTCGTACGTCCTCCCGCGACCGTGAAACTCGAAGCGCTGGGTCATATTTTGTGGACAACCACGCAATTGCTGGTGCCCAACCAACACAACCAAGGCTGGACCTTCAACCTACTTCGCCTTGACTCTAGTCAGGGGTCCTCGAATTAAGAAGAAGCCTTCACTGGACCCTGAATCTGTTTCTGTCAAACTGTCAAAAAATGCATCACCTATTGATTGGCCGGTAGATGGCTTTGGAAAGTTCCATTACTACCCCTACAAAGTCAAGTAGAAGTGGTTCACATGGCCGCGGCCCGTCTGTTACTATTTTTGATGTTATATATACGGATTATTAACAACAATTAATAACAATAGTCGTGGCTCTCCATTTTAAGCTGAAATCCGTATTTTGAACACAAGAGCTTGGCTATCGAGATTATAGCCGCTCGCGTCGGAATACGGAAGCTTACCTCCATTCATAAAGCCTTTTTGAGTGATAAAGTCATTATCGCTTAGACTAAAGACATAGAATTCTCCATTGGAGACACTGGGATCAACAGGAACTTTTCCAATAGACTCCCATTTCTCGTTCTTCATATTTTGATAAGTCAGCCCTAAGCCGCACCTGAGCTTACGTTTATGAGTAGCGGGGATGACATACCAGTAGATATTGGTCTTGGTCGCCACCATTGTGGATGCCGAATCGGTTTAGTTGCGCATTAACATTGAAGTCGAGGAAGCTGCAATATTTCGCTGCCGTGATCTTCTTCTTGAGCTTCCCACTATCGGACTTTGCAACGTTACAGCCGGTGCAATCATAGTCTCCAGCTGCCTTGACATCCGTGGCGTCGGAAATATCGAAGACATCGAGCTGGCGATAGACGGAAAGAGAACTATCGGTACCGTGGCCAGCGTCAGAGTCTCTAGAAAGGACGAAGAATTGACCATTCTCGAGGGCGTGTATCTCGGACTGCGCGGCTACTTTGGGATTCTTAGACTCCTTCGCCGTCGGATCATTATAAAGGGGCAGAGGCACAACCCATTCCCCTGCGTAGACCGGTGCAAGTCGATTCGAAACATCATACTTAAGGAATCTAGTATATCGCATGGTTTGCTTCTCCAAGCCCTAGTGCTATAGTTAGCTTTTAAACAGTCCAGTCAAGTATCAATCCGTTAATAGGCATTCCGCCGTGTCCTGCTAGGGCCATAGGCTATCGTGGCTTGGTAGAGTACTGCACTTACACCATCTTGGACAGTTGCGGCCTGCAGAAGTACCCACAACGACTTGCCGTCTTCCGAGACAGTGAGGCCCTCGAAACCTACGTTTTGAATATTTTAGATTACATCCACCTCATATCGCACATACAGAGCATAGGAACTTACCATGATTGTTGTCACGGCCACTATCAGGATCCGCTGGGTCTACATCATCTCCTTCACCGTTGTCGATATAAAAAGGCGGGCTATCAGCAGAGAACGAAGTTTCGTCGTTGCGCACCGGTACGATCGCGTCATTGGGACGAATTGCGCTGAGCATCTTGCCATCTGGGCTAAATAGATCTAACCATTCATATTAGTCAAAGATTTCGTTCGTTTTAGATACAGGATCAAAACTCACATATATAGGGACCATATTCGTCGGACACCCAAAAGCTGGAATCGTCATTCACATAGAGTCCCTCTGCATCAACAGGGATACGTTTACCACCCGGTCCATCTCCGCCAAAGCCGTCGCCCGTATAAGTAGCAACTGGAAGATCGGGGAAGCCAGAGAATGATATGTGCCCAGTGGCATCGGCATCCAACCCAGTGCAAGGCGTCCCGTCAGGTCCGGAGAAGAGTATCGTGTCTAAGTACTCAAAGTATAAGTTCGGAGTAGAAGGGTTGTCCACGGTTGCATCAGGTTTCGGTGTGGAGATAATATTGAATTTATGGACTCGGGGGTTGAAGTTAAGCGTCCCTTGAGTGTTCCTAGTAGCAATAAGTCAACGCCTCTGATCTTCAAATGAGTAGATACTAAGGCCCCTTGGATCCGTAGTATTTTATAACAAGCTCCAACAGCTTTAATAGCCCAACTTTAACTGCATTCATTTCAAGGGCATCACAAAACAGGTTGAAAAGGGTTACTTACCAGCCACGATCAGGCAAGGACCACAAGACGCCCGAGTAACTCCCATTATCAAGCTTCTTCCAAGCACCCGAATCTAGATGTATAGAGGAGCCAAGTCCGCCGAGCGTGTCGCCGAACTTGTCAACCGCATCAGAGACAACGTATCCGTAGCCAGCAAGCTCCTCATACTCATAGACTATGCCATTGCAAGTAGTCTTATTCACGCTTGGCGCTGTGTCACCACTAGTCCGGTATTTTACACTGGCACCGATAGCGCTCACAGCTAGGGAGGCCGTGAGTAAGAGTACGTTCATACTTGAAGCTAAAGCTAATGCTATGAATAACAACAACCTACAGATAAACGGGAACAACTCGTTGCGGGTTAATACTTTATTAAATACTTTTACCTATATAATTAGTATCTAATAATCAGCTCCTGCTTTCGGCCCGGTCAGTCTGCGCTTGCGACACATACGGCAGGCCGTTGCCGGAAGATCAGCCAGCCAGCCATCTCGACTCAGCACGATGCCAAGGACAACTTTTTCACGAGTAAAAAAGCAATAAGAATGCCGAACTTGGGAGGTGGTAGCATTTTGCTTTTTGGATTATCTGGCTACCCCCAGCACGGTGCGGGGAGAGTAAGGGAGCACGTTGTTCTCTTCCGAAGTCTTATTCGTCGAGGCCCCAACCAACCTGTCGCGCTGAGATGCTAGGCGACGAATCGGGCGGTAGGGGGGCCCCATGTCACACATTTGACAAGAGAAAATTGTTAATTGTATTCGAAAACGGCGGGCAAGCACGTGGGATCTTTCTTTGATTAGAGTATAATTATTCGGATGTAAGCTCGAATGTGCTCAGTTATCAATGCACTTGAAGATTTTCATTAGAGAATTATGTTCACAACAACTCCATACTCTCTTACCATTTAAATCTACGAAACTCTATCGACTATTGATTCCATAATTAATTAGGAAGTAGATATTGCCGGATTATATTCTATGAATAGGCCTTTTCCACTTACCTAAGCTAATACGTGGGTTGCACTATAGTCTCCTGCTGGACTCATCGCATCGGAATCAGCGAGTCAAGGCTGCTAAGAAATCACAAGATTAATATTTATCCTATCAGTTGCGAAATTGAAACCTTGTTGTTAACTAGGTTTCTGCTAGATACACCATAGGCTTCATAGCAAACTATTTTGATGTCATTTATAAGTAGTTGGGAGTCAACAGAAGGGGAGACATGCGCGCCGCCCTCTTCGTCGCGATCTAGCCATCCTAAGGCCATTTAATGATGAGCCTAAGAGTGGTTCACCAGCAAAGATGGATTAGCATACCTCGGGACTATTAATAGGCGACCTATAACTAATAATTATAGTTATCTGAATATATTCAGCAAGTATAAGTGATTGCTCGAGTTGAAGCATTTTATTTCTACGACATCAGCCAAGAGTAAATCAAGTCCAGGAATGCTAGTTTCAGTTCTCTAGATAGCCTAGAATAGCGTCGTCATAAAGCAACATTACGTAGAGAGACGAGGAGTATGGAGTAACGATGGAGATGCTATCTATAATGCAACCTTAATGCGGGGAATAGGGAGCCAATAATCCACCAATCCTCGTGGTTTCAGCTCTTTCAGTATACAAATCAAGACTATTGATTATACAAAGGCCATCATCACATACTCTATCCCTCATTTTATACATATAGCAACTCGTGGACTGGCTCGAGTAATAGGTCGTTCTCCGCCTGAAAAGGGAGGTATTCTAACCGACAAATAGTAATATCAATTCCGGTTCTCCCGGTACCTATATATCTGAACAAGATTGCGAGGTTATACGGGGTAAGGTACCTCCTAGTGTGTCTCTCCTCTGCCCCAGACCCCGTACCCCGGGTTATGCATAAATCGGGGCTTATAACTTGGTCGTGGTCTGGTTGTTAAGCTGTTGATCAACACTAGCCTAAGTTCAATATTGAGATGTCAAGATTATATGTAAAATGTTTGGCGTGTAGCTGTCTTCCTAATGCATCTTCTAACTACTCAAAGTCCTTCGTTATAACCGCCGCCAAACAACCCCACCAGTAGACTCGACATACCCATCATGGCTGTCTTCGGCCATGACATCAAAGAAGCCTCCGAGCAGGTCCACAATGGCGGATCCGAGCATGTCGAAAATAATGTGAAAATTGCTACTATGATTGATCAGCGACATGCGGAAATGTATGCCGAGGCCTTGCGGCAATATCCAGATGAAGCTTCCATTGACAAAGAAGCCGAGAAGAAGCTTAAGCGGAAGTTGGATAGACGCATACTGCCTCTACTGGGAATATGCTACTTCTTCTATGTATAGATATCCGTCTATATCGAGAAACCAGCGAGACTAACCATGTTGTCCAGTATGTCGACAAGACCACCCTCTCCTATGCTGCTATTTTTGGCATCCAGCCGGACCTTCACTTGAAGGGGGCCGAGTACTCGTGGCTTTCGAGCATTTTCTACTTCGGCTGGCTCTTCTGGTCCATCCCGTCGAACCTCATCATGCAACGCTGTCCGCCTGCCTATTACTTGGCGTTCAACATATTCATGTGGGGAGTGCTCTTGATGGCCCAAGCCGCAGCTAGCAACTTTGCTGGCCTCACTGCTTTAAGGATACTTTCCGGTGCTTTCGAAGCTATTGCGGACCCGGCTTTCATGCTTATAACTTCGATGTATTATACGCGTGAAGAGCAGCCTTCTCGTATCTCGGCGTGGTATGCTTGGAACGGTATTGGGATAGCTGGTGGTGGTCTTATTGGTGAGTGGCAACCCGATACTTCCGTATGTACGAACGGAATCGTAGCGATTAACATAAATACCTAGGGTACGGGATTGGCCAGATCGAGGGCGCACTTCGCTCGTGGCGATACGAGTTTATCGTCGTAGGAGCGCTGTGTACTTTCTGGAGCATCGTCCTGTTCCTGCTCCTGCCGAACTCGCCCACCACATTCCGGGGCTTCAGCAAACAAGAACGATTCCTCATGATAGCCCGTATTCGCCGCAATCAGACCGGAATCGAGCACCAAAGAATCAATTGGGGCCAGATCAAGGAAGCTTATCTCGACTACAAGACTTGGCTCTTCGTATTATTTGGCTTTCTCGGCGCGATCCCGAACGGAGGCATCTCTAATTTCTCAACTTTAGTTATCCAGGGGCTAGGGTTTGATACACTACACACGGCCTTACTAGGCATACCGCAGGGTGTTCTCGTCGTCATCTGGATCGGTCTCGGGGCTCTTGTTAATAAGTATATGCCGGCTAACAGCCGCACGATTGTTTCTGCTTTGTTCATGCTGCCTACCATCGGTGGAAGCTTGGGCTTCTTACTCGCGCCTACTAACGCCTACGTTGGACGATTGATATGCTTGTAAGTTTGGGAGTCCGCTCAGAGAAATAGTATTTCAACCAGTGCTAAGAGTTACTAGCTACCTGACCGGTTCCTACCAGGCATCGTTCGTAATTTCTCTGTCTCTAGTAACGAGCAACACAGGAGGACAATCTAAGAAGATGATCGTGTCTGGGATGGTCTGGTTTGGCTCGTGCGTCGGAAACATCGCCGGACCCTTCTTTTACAAGTCCGAACAGGCGCCATCTTACCATCTCGGCATCGGATCTCTCCTTGTCGCAAACGTTGCCGAATTCCTCCTATTCTTCGTTTTCCGGTGCGCGTTCAAGTGGGAAAACAGACGAAAAGAGAAAGTCCGTGCTGTTTTGCGAGAAACCGGTGTGATCACGGATAACGCAGAGGGGCTGAACGCGACGGCGTTCCAGAACTTGACAGACAAGGAAAATCCGAACTTCGTTTACGTATATTAACCCCGAAATGCGAAATTTGATATTTGAACATTGTATATTATGTAGCTATTTCGTACATACATACCTTACCGAGCGTTTTCATATACTAATAGTCGAGTCGACCCTTTTCCTTTTCCTAGGATCTTATAAGTGCCCTAGGTACCTATGTATAAATTGGTGATGTGATCTGTAGCATGAATGTATCCTGCCTATCTTAGGTAAGACTTGAGAGATCCTGTTCGGAAATAGTAAACGATGATAGCCAACGGGGCGTTTATTTCCACACAAATCCGAGCAGCCACTCTCCAAGAATTTTCTGATACGCTGTCTCTTTCAACTTCGCATCCTCTAACCCCTCTTCCCCAAGCCACCGAGGTGGTACCTGATCAAATCCGTGGATCTGATCGGGTATCAGTAACCAGCGTACACTGCTCTTCCCTTCATCCTCGATATGTTCGAACGCAAATCTCTCATCGTCTAAAATGAGCTCCCCTTTTCCTGGTCCTAGCTTCTCCTGGCCCACAATATCCGTCAACGGCGGCTCCGGTCGTCCTGCTAGTTTATTCGCCATGCACCACTTGAAAATACGTTAGTAACTTGGTAGCTGCTTTGGACTCTTATGACCTACAGTTTCGTGTGCAAGCTGATCCAGCTCTGTTCCGATAAAGAAGATGTGCGGAGGCAGGGTATTTCGAGGAGCAAAGTATGGTGATAGCAGCGGGTCTGCTGTGTTAAAGCCCGGTTCGATATAACTCGATAGGAATAATGGAGATAGCGTCGCTAGGTAATCAACCGGCGCAGAGCGCATACCCGGGCCGAGACCAGGCTTATAGTATCGAGTTTTGACTTTGACTTCGGGAGGAATAGTCTTGTCTATAACAGCATATATAGGTACGGCGGCCGAGGGCCTAACCTTTTCTCGGATCGAGGGCAGCTGACATACACTGAGGGTCAAGCTACCACCTGCGGAGAAGCCGCCGATGGCTATGCGGGTCTTGTCGATCGGAAGGCTATCATCGTCAAGTATGGCTAAGATGAGGGCTTCGAGATCGTAGGTTGCAGTCGGGAAAGGATGCCACGGGGCTTTACGGTAATTGAGGGCGACTACAAGCACATTGTGCATATTGGCGAAATGCGCATTCCAATCATCATTATCGCTTACCCGGCCGAAGCAGAACCCGCCGCCGTGGATAGTAAATATGGTCGGTAGAGTCGCCTTGGCGGTCTCGGGGTTGTACGACTTGGGGAAAAAGACCCTAATTGGCAAAGACGGTCGACACGGATATGTTTTTACATAGTTCGGAGGGATCTCCGGGGGATGAGCCCAGTCTCGGAACCAGTATAGCGGCGCTCCGAATATTTGGATTGCGTAGATGACGGCGCCTCGGTAGACTCGTGTAAAGATGGGAAGATGCGGCTGTTGAAGAACGCGGACGTCCAACTTGCTGGCTTCATTCGCCATGGCTAGTCGGTGTTTTCGTTTCGTTTTGTTTTGCTAGACACAATTCTATTTCATACGACAATTACGAAGTATGTGTATCAGTGTGTTGTATCTAACCTAGGGTAAACCTACCTAGGTAGGTATGCAGTTGTCTAGCCATTAGGCATAGACATCTAGGCATACCGCCTTACGCCATACGCCAATGGAAGACGCGGCCTTCGTAATTCTACCCTGAATGTTGCATGATGGTATCTTTACCCCTGTTGTATTGAAGGTTGTATTGTACGTGGATTGCGTCGACAAGTGAAATACACTAACGGTTAGCTGCCGCTTCTGGGAACCTTAGGTACTGCGTAGCGCGCTTTAGTTCGAGGTTAGGCTGTTAGGCTGTTATGTAATATTCGGAGCGCGCTATCGATAAAGACCCGTTCTCAATTACGACAACAGAACAGCACATAAATGTAGCGCCTATTTCTGCCACCTATTTCTACCACCTAATACAACATTCGTTACAGCGTCTAGATGCTAACGTCGCGGCTAAGATTCAAATTCAATGCCAAACGCCAGTTCTTAGCAACAGGTCATCTATCTCTCTTCTAGTCTGATATTCACTCTGGCCTACCGTATCGAAGTTAGAATAAGAGCATTTTAGAGAAACCCAACGTGTCGGCCCGTAACAAATAAATGACTATGGAATTCCCCAATCACCCCGTATCCCGGCCGAAACGGCTCTATAGTACGGTACTCTGTATTGTACCATGTTTGGTAACGCCCCGCGAATGAACACTCGGATTCAGACGATTCAGACTCAGACGTGGACTCGTCATGTCTATACCGAACGTAGTAAGACAATTTTTAGTTATTTTACTAAGTGTGAAGTGTGAAGTGTAAAGTGTAAAGTACCTACCTAATATATATCTGTGTATCTCTGGGGAATATGAACATGGAACTGCCCAAGGCTCTGTGCGAACAACTTCTATCCGACGCCGTAGCTGATTGTACCCCCGGCAGGATGTTGTTTTCTACTTGTGTAAATGCTAACGATCAATCCCTGGGACCTAGCGTCGTAGGATGTCGGGGTGACTTCGACTTTACCGTCAAGTTCGAACAGCTTTTTTTCTCTCTCACGCCTTCGGTTATATTCATTCTTTCATCATTATGGAGAATTTATCTGCTTGCAAAAAGACCTACGATCGTCGACGCTCCGTTGTTAAGACTGATAAAACTTGTAAGTGTCCTTTCGATAAAATAACATCTAAGCTACAGGATGAATTTTTATGACCGCATAAACTCACACATCTATCTTCTTAGGGTGTTCTCGGTTTATATACTCTCCTAGAGGTTTCTTCGAATGTCCTTATTAATGTTCTCTCGCTTGGCGCGGACAATGTTGACATTGCTTCTTCCGTACTTCGCCTTTTTACTGGCTTTTGCATGATTGGGTTATCTTACTTTGATCATGAAAAGTCACCAAGGCCATCGATTCTTCTGGGCGCATATCTCTTTTGGACGCTCCTGTTTGATATTGCCCAGGTCCGTACGTTTTGGCTGGCTTCTCAGACTAGACCAGAGATGGTCTTTTCCGCTATTTTTACGGCTATATTGGTTACGAAATTTGTTATAATCTTGCTTGAGGCTCAACGGAAAGTCAAATGGGTCATCTGGAATACTAAAGAACATAGCCCAGAAGAAACGAGCAGCATATTCGACCTATGTATTTACTCTTGGCTCAACGGGCTATTTCTCGAAGGTTATCGCAGGGTTTTGGATATAAAGGACTTATATCCGCTTGACCAGAACATGGCTGCCGATCGCCTCTCAAAAATCTTTACCCAGAGAATGAACGATGCAAGGCTTAAGGGTCATAAACCTAGTCTTATCAAGATTTTAGCTCGGACTCTTTTAGTACCTCTCATACTCCCAATTCCCGCAAGACTTGCCAGGATCGGATTCATTTTCTGCCAGCCCCTATTTATAAGCAGCCTTACGACACGATTGTCGCAATCCGAATCGGCATTTCTAGATAACGTTGGGTACGGCTTTATTGGCGCCAGCATCTGCATCTATTTCTCCATTGCAATTTCGACGGCGCTGTATTGGTATGCTCACCATCGGGTGCTCTACATGGCACGAGCCTGCCTCGTTACGGCCGTTTACGCAAAAGCTACAGAGGCTCTTGAAGACGAGAATGCTTCTATAACATTGATGAGTACGGATGTAGAACATATCATGAGTGGATTTAAGTCTTTACATGAAATTGTATGTGTATTTCTTAATTACCCCTTTTCTACTTACCAAGTTTCTACCCCCTCATCTACGATTATGCCCTCCGCTAAATTAACCAAGTTATCTTGATAATTATTAAAGCTTTTATCTGGAATAAGTGTTAACACCGCTAATTCTATTATCCTAGTGGTCAAATTTTATTGAGGTTGGATTTGCGAGTGTGTTATTGTACAGGTCACTTGGCGCTGCATTCGTGGCTCCTATAATTATAGTCTTGATATGTGCAAGCGGAATTGGTGCCATCGCACGTTTTACGGGCAAGGGACAAAGAACGTGGGTAGCCGGCGTTCAAAAACGCGTTGGTCTCACCTCAAGGGTTATTGCGACGATGAAAAGCATTAAACTCTCTGGTCTCACTCATCCGATTGCTCGTGCCGTCGAAAAGCTTCGAGTCGATGAAATAAAAGCAGGTCAGAATTATCGAACATTACTACTAACAGCCGGAGTCTTTGCCTATATCCCTTTACTCATCTCCCCAGCCGTGACTTTTGCAGTGGCCCGGAGAAGCCTAGACACCGCCAGGCTATTTACTTCCGTATCTTACCTTCTATTAATGACATCTCCTCTTAGGAATCTATTCCGAACTTTACCTCAATTCTTCGGAGCGCTAGCTTGCCTCGGCCGTATTCAAGAATTTCTGGAAAGAAAGTCACGAGATGATTTTCGCATTGCGTTTACGGAATCGCAAGATTCAACAGAAAAGCCCTTCGTGGATGAGACTTCAGCCTTGCTGGCTGCTACTATAAAGGATGGTAGTTTCGGTTGGGAACCAAATAAGATGGTTCTCAATAATATCGATGTTGAGATCCTTGAAGGTTGTCTCACAATGATCGTAGGCCCTGTTGCATCAGGAAAATCGTCTTTATGCAAAGCCTTCCTTGGAGAAATACCGTACCATCGAGGGACAGTCACGATAACTAGCAATCTCCAGCGTGTGGGCTATTGTAGCCAGACACCGTTTCTTTCGAATGGCAGCATCAGGGAGAATATTATTGGGTATTCGCCATTCGATCCTGAGCGGTATGCTGAGGTCGTTGACGGAACAATGCTGGGCGTTGATTTCGAGACGCTGCCTCTGAAGGATATGACGAATGTCGGTAGCAATGGTATAACTCTTTCCGGAGGCCAGAAGCAACGTGTGTCACTAGCGAGGTGCCTTTACCTGCAGTCTAACCTCCTAATTATGGATGATGTATTCAGCGGCTTAGATGCAGACACTGAAGATGTGATATTTCAGCGTGTGTTTGGGTCGAATGGGATCATCAAAAGACGCCAAACAACCGTTGTACTCTGTACTCACTCTGTCCGTCATCTTCCTACCGCCGCGCACGTTATTGCTTTGGCTCCAGACGGATCCGTCGCCGAGCAAGGTACATTTGACGATCTTATGCTTAATCGAAGCTATGTTCATAGTCTTGGTGTCCAATCCTCATCTGCAAGCCAGATGGCCTGTGAAAAAGCCGAGTCCGAATCCGACGCCCCTGAACCTTCGCATAACTCATTAGAAAAGATACGTACACTGCCTCCCGTGCTGAAAATAAACGATAAGAGACGTCTCATGGGCGACAAAGTAGCCTACATGGTATATCTGAAGAGTATGGGGATGGTGCTCGGTACTTGTCTGATCGTTTTAGGCATGCTCTTTAGCTTCTTTTGCAATTTTTCAATAGTGTGGTTGAAGTACTGGTCGGATGATGCTACACTTTCAAATCCGTCACACTCTTTTGATTACTACGCAGGAATCTATGCTTTGCTCCAGACGAGCGCCTTGCTGACGTTGTTATTCCTTGCAGTCCTAATCTATATTACAGTTATCAACCGGTCAGGAAAGTCTCTTCACGACGATGCTCTGCGGACACTTACACACGCACCGCTAAGTTTCTTGACTACCACCGACCAAGGGATCATCACGAATCTGTTTTCTCAAGATCTTAACCTCATCGACAGCGATCTCCCTCATGCTCTCTTTAACGTGATGAACGCCGTACTTGTCGCCATCGGCCAGGCGGCCGTTATCGCTACTTCGTCGCCATTCCTAGCAATTAGCTACCCGTTTCTAATAGCTGTATTATACGGAATTCAAAAGTTCTATCTTCGAACTTCGAGACAGCTCAGATTACTAGATCTAGAAGCGAAAAGTCCACTCTAGTAAGTAAATTCCATCTTGAATTCGTGGTAAATCCCGTGGTGGCTTAGCCTCCATCTTTAGCCAGACTGGTTCGAATGAATTTATCGAAACCTAGCAGATTTTATTAACACGCATAGCACTCATTTTCTTGACACGTCGAATGGTGTCGTCACCCTTCGAGCCTTTGGTTTTATCGCCAACGACTGTGCAAAGAATAGATACCTCTTGGATACGTCCCAGCGGCCTGCATACCTCCTAACTATGATTCAACAGTCAGTTCTCCTTCCCCATCTGATTCCCCCATCACCACAATTCAGCTAACCACCGTCTCGGATTTCCATGAATTCACATATCCGTTTAACGTTGTGCTCTCAATATCTAACATAGTCTTTCAGGTGGCTTGGCTTAGTGCTAAATTTCGTCGTCGCTGTAATTGCCGTTATACTTACAGCCCTTGCTATCAGCTTACGCTCGAACTCCGGCTTCACCGGCGCGTCTTTAATAGCTTTGATGGGATTCGGAGAAACACTCACGAATGTCGTCGCGTACTATACGCTGCTTGAAACTTCGCTTGGTGCTATTACTCGACTAAAGTCTTTCGAGAAGGACTCTGGATCGGAGGACAAGGATGAGGAGGATATTATTCCGCCTGAGGAGTGGCCACAGCACGGGGAAATCTCCCTTAAGGGTGTCTCAGCCGATTACGGGTACCAATACCCCCTTTTAGCATCGAACCAAACAAGAGCTTACATTCTCTAGTGCCGAAAGTGCAGGCGAAATATCAAGTATGGCACTGAAGAATATTCAACTCGAAATTTCTCCCGGGGAAAAAGTCGCGGTTTGTGGTCGGACAGGAAGTGGCAAATCGTCCCTCGTCGCCCTTTTGATGAAACTTCTAGACCCAGTCGACGATACACCCGATCGCATATCCATAGACAATACACCTCTCCACCGTGTAGACCGGACCACTCTCCGACAACGTATTATTGTTATTCCTCAGGATATTGTATTTCTACCCGATGGTTCTACTTTCCAGGAAAATCTAGATCCTTCCAATGTTTCGACAGCCGCGGATTCTAGAGCCGTCCTCGAAGCAGTGGGCTTATGGACATTTGTGCGCGATCGAGGCGGGCTTAAGACAGGGCTGACAGCCAGCACGCTAAGTCAAGGACAGCGACAGCTCTTTTCTCTTGCTCGGGCAATCCTCCGCAGACGTATCCGAGCACGTAGTCTTGGGCTTGGTGGTGGAGGTACTGAGGGTGGTGTTTTACTACTTGATGAAGTAAGTTCGAGTGTCGACAGAGAGACAGAGAAGGTAATGCAAGAGGTGATCGGCGTCGAGTTTAAGGAGTACACGGTTGTAGCCGTAAGCCACCACTTGGACATGGTCATGGATTATGATCGTGTTGTCGTTATGGACAAGGGTGAGATTGTCGAGGTGGGCAACCCGGCCAGGTTGGTGAAGCAGGCGGGGACCAGATTCGGCGAGCTGTGGAATATCGGAGGGAAGTAGTCTAATAGTGATCGCACAACTCGGTGTACAACCCGGTGTAATAATTGTAATCGATAATTTAGTAATAATATTTCTGTGAAAGTCTTTCCAACTTTGGACTTTGGTACTTACTATTATTCTAACGTTGAAGCAATATGGGGAAGACCTCATCGAATGTAATGTACGGCAGCGTTAGACCATACGGGCATTAAAATAAAGAATAGTAATGGAAGTTCTTCTTCATATCCCCAGCAAGCCGGAGATTGTGATGAAAAAAACAGTGATACCCGTGTTTATGGCCTTGGAGGCAGTGTAATACCAAGGTCAAGGGCCACGGGCAACCCACAGAGCAAAAGTAGAAGTGCAATCCAAGAAATCAGGTACAGTCAGACATCACTAGATGAGACCACAAGGAGAGACGCTGGGCTAAGAATAACAAGTATTCGTCGCATTGGCATATCCGAACCAGCCAACGCTCCCTCGCCCTCGGAAACAAGTATCAAGAACGGGAGGATAGCCGACGATGCATGAGAATTTCTTTGCTACTATGGATCAGAGGTCTAGCTCAGAGGCGATGTAAAACTGACGAAAGATCAACCCCCCCAGATCTAACGACGAGATTTTACTAGACGTGAGTAGCGCAGTGGAGTCCCCTGACCAACCGAACCGGGCGCCTGCACAGTGGGCTGGCCGACTCGAGGGGGCGAGATGATCCGAACCTGACGCGCATCGGTGTCACTATAAACCGCCGGGAGGCACATAATCGAAGGGATGCAACCAACGATGCGCCGCCCAAGGGAATGCAACCCTTCGTGCAGGGAATGGGGCACCCTGCAAGGACGAGTGAGATGCAAAGATTGGCCCCTGAAAGCCACGGCAAGGCGCTGGCAATCTCAAGAGGGACTCGAATCCGAAATGACCCCGAAGGTGAATCTTTCGAAACACCAGATAGGCCCGGGCGAAGGTCATTCTTCTAGTACATGTGTCTGGACTGATTTTTTGGATGATGAGGAAAAAAAGAGGAAAGGAAAGGAAAGTTGGTGGGGAGGGGACCCTTGTTTATATATTGTCCCACGTGGGGGAGAGGCGGGAAGATCACCCAGGGCGACGGTACGCTTGGCCTGATTTGGATGTTTTGCTGCCTGAAAATTTCCGATTGGCTTACCCCAGATTTTCCCCTTGATCCACCTTAATCAATTCAGCAAAATTGAATCACCCCTCCTCATTGGTCCCCACTATTTTTTATTTATTTTCGTTTGTGGAACTAGTCTTGTAAGTGTTGCTAAATCTAAGAGGACTACGGGACTCACTGTAATGAGGCAGTCGCTGCCTGCGATTGTACATCACATAATTGGCCCCGGGGCCTCGTTCCTTCCCTCGATGCCTCGATCGTGACTACCTCAATGATTGCTTCAGTGACTCATGACTGCCCACAACTGTAACCTAATTGGGTGACGTGGATCCCCAACCAACAATTTATTTTTTATTCTTGAGTTGATTTCAGAAATACGAAATACTTCATCGAATTAAAGGTAGGTACACTGGGTACATACCCAAATGTACATGTTGTTATGAGAGGCAATCGCGCTAGACTTGACAGAATCAACAACGCACTTTCCTGTGGATAAGATGTACATCATCTTAAGTACCTCCTTAGGTACCTAAGGTACTTTACATCAAACACACGATTCCTTATTGTAAGCTGCTACTACGACAGTGATATACCAATTACGCGTACCAGCGCTGGGCATTCTAAGTCGGAAGGGGTGGCAGCATCTTAGCCTTCTCCAGCTCCTGGAATGTATGCTCAAACTCGTCCCAGGTGTCCGCGTATCCGGTCCAACCCAGCTTTCGTGCCTTGCTCATGCTCGCAACACAGCTATAGTTACGACCAAGTAGGAAGCCCACGAACCCCCAAGTAGCTCCATCCCAAGCAGTTTGATCAAGCTTATATCGATCACGCAGCGCCCCCCATGCTTTAATCACTTCCGGACGCTGGGCCCACTTCTCGAGGTCGATCTGGCAGAAGAGCTCAGAGGGCTCTTTGAACTCTTCTTTAAGCCCGATCTTCTCCGCAACCTCAGCTATCGGCGGCCGCGGGTGCAGTTTCGTATGGCTGCCCACGTATCCGGGGTAGGCTTTAAATTCATCTCCGGCAGGGAACATGTTACCAGGAATATTGCACCCAAAGCGTGCTGCCATCCGTGGCCATAGGTCCTGCCAACTCTGTGTGTCGCCGTTGATGACATTGAAGCGCTGGTTATTGGCGTCGGGTGATTTGCCTGCCCAGAGGCAGAAGTCAGCGTGCAATCTAGCCGACGTCCAGCCGTTGAAGGCTAAGTAGTTGAACTTGTTCCCGGGGAACACGAGCTTCGAGCCCTCGAGTTCCTTGCTGACAGCGCAGTACTATATAGTATTAGTATCGTTTTATTGGCCCGAGTTGTAGTGGTAGCATATGTGTAAGACATCACACTTGAGCCTCGTGCACCATACTTGAATGACTAGTACGAAATCAAGATTATACCTACCAAGCCAATAGAAGTAGCAAGGTTCATAAAATTTCCCCTAGCGAAACCGATGACATCCTGGGGGTATGTCACAACCCAAGTCCACTTGTTATGGTGGTCCGCAGTATACTTCTCTAGGATACGCTGTTGAGTGTAGTAGAAGTTGGGCGGGCGATCCTCTTGCTCAAGCCAGAAAAGCGAGTCTTCGTCATCTTCACGCATGGGGTTCTTAGGTTGTCCTTGATGTACCCCATACTGTTTGAGGCCACATGTGAGACTGAAACGTTTCAGTTCACGAGTTCGACCAGATTTGATGAGCGCTTCAAGGAAGTTTGATAGCATAGAACCGTTGATTCGCGAGGCTTCTCCCTCGTCTGGGTTCGCCAGATAGGCACAGAAGTAAATGTGCGTCACGGGCGGGATGTGCGACAGGGACTTGCTCATCTCTTCCGCCGATGACTGCAAGTCTAGAATTGCATGCTTGACTTTAGGGTGCTCTGAAACCTTTTGGAATCTAGATAGTGTGTAAATTTCGGTGTACTCAGGTGCCTTGATTAAAGCCTGACACACTGCCGTTCCAGTTATACCTAAGCGGTCAAGGTCATTAGCCCAGAAGAGGTATTGCGCCGGTCGGACGGACAATAATTTAATGACATGTCCAAGTCTAAGTCATTAGACTTACCCGTGGCGCCAGTGACTATGGCTGTCGGCATCGTAGAAGTATAGAACTTTTAAGTACAATTTTAAGCTGTGCGTATTTGTGGTTGATACTCCAAACTTACGTAGGTAATATAGGAAATAAAACAAGATCAGTGAAAATTATTATCAATTAATACGAACGCGGCTTCTAGTTGAACATTGCTAGTCGCTGTTATCATTGGAATAGTACTGTTGTCAGTATGACGTCGTAGAGTAGAATACGATGTGGGGGAATTCTCCAGTATAGTACAGTCTGTTACTAAAACAGAACATGATAGAATATATAGTCCTAGCTCTAGTCGGAAATAGATTGATGAATTCACCCAACACCCGAGAGAACGTCAGTTTGATGTGGTTAATGTTGGTAAAGGTGGCGTATCCATATTTTGTAGGTCATATGTCTCCCTCCATGTAACATTACGTAGAAATGTCGTCCGATGTAGGCGTGTTTTCAACAAGATCTTTTTTATTTAGAAGTCACCTACTATTGAATAATTATAGCCCAAAGTTATTAACTATTAGGTTAAGGTTTATCGTCTGATACTATTAGTTGTGTGTTGTGTTTATTATCTGCGATTGATGTATAATGATATTACTTAATATTTTAGCTACCTGAAAGTTCCTGATTTCAAACATCTATGTAACATTATAATCGTCTATTTGGTTCATCTTTCGATTACTAGCTTTAGGCGACTAAGGCCTATAGAACTACGGACGGTCAGGGAAAAGTTAGACATTTTTATAGAAGTGAAGTACACATGACTAAGAATGGTATTCATTAAGAACATTGCACGGCCGTATTAGTAACCTCTATGGACTGATTAAGGAAGAGAAAGTAGAAATATAGAGACTGTCGAAAAAACCGCTATACCACTAAAAGGTTATTTGGTAACAGATTTTATTCTATTACATTTTATATGTCGGACAGATAGTAATATCTGACAGAGACTGACTTACCCCTTAACCCCTTTTCAATTTTGAACTATCAGCGTATATAGTATTGTGGAGGGCTCTATGAATTTCCGCACTTCCAAAATAGCTAAGTATATATATTATCTTCAATATCATTCTCCGTATAAGTATGCTTTCGAAATTCGTTATCGTCGACGTATAGTAAAACTACCTACCTAACAAGCCAATTCTACCAAAATAGGAATTGAATCTATACAACCCACTAGGTAATGACAATAGTCAACTAATACCCATGATAACCCCTATTCACCAAGCCCTTGAGAATAATAGCACATATTACGGCAAATCTACCCTTCTTGTGTATTTTCATTTTTCTTGTCGCTCTTTCCCACTAGACATGCCACATGATACCTACTTATCTCTACCATGGGATGAAAAATAAACAATACTGTGTAGGGAAGTAAGTACCTAAACAAGTACTTCAGGTACCTACCTCAGGTACCTAAGATACTTCTTAAATATTCACCAAACATACCTAAGGTAGCAACCACCTGATCCTAAGGTAGCAACAACCTGATCTGATCAATGCATTGTAGCAGAGCTCAAGGGAAGGTGCAACTTGGTTATGTACCTAGGTACTACTAAACACTGATACTATAGCGGTCCAAGCTTCATTGTGATGGAAGTACATAAAAGCAAGTGACTGGGAAAACACCATGCCAAGAACAAACTACTCTACACTACAACTGCCTAACATAACCAACCTACCTAACCTACAAAGAAGTCGCATTGTGGTCCAGATGACGCTGTTTCCCTCACAACAAGGGTTTCAGTGAATCAGAAGGCCCGTGATTAAGAATATTTTATTATTATTATTACTTTATCCGGAGTTACAACATATCCTGACGCATTAACTGAGGCGCTACTCTATTAGCGCGAAGCCTTCGATAAGCTCTGAGGAAGCAACGAACTTTATATACTTTACACAGTACCTACACGGACACAACGCGACTTCCGTGATCACCTCAACCGATACATGGATACATCTAACTCTAAGCCAAATAATTACACCTTGGCCACATATAAATTAATCCTCCTACCTCCACCCAACCCATCCACCTAACTCACACTTACACACTCGACCACACCATCTTCCCGACTCTACCTTCCCTCCTACCAGCCTCCCGCGCACAATAAACTTCATTCCTCAACCCTACCTATCACCTAACATAACGTCGCGGGATGGCCAACGACATGGTTAATCGGGGCATGACCCAGGTCTTTACCGTAAGTCAACCCTATTATTTATCGCGATGACTCTCTAGAAACAAAGACGTGGGTATTAACATCATGTTCTTACAATAGGGACTTGGGATTCTTCTCGGTGCTGGTCGCATCAGTAATGCCACCCATGAAAAGATCATGGAGCTTATTGATGCAGACCAGGACCGCGCCAACACCGATGCCACTATCACGGCGTCGGAGACAACAATTGGCCTCCCAGGTCCGGGAAAAGAGACGCCTGTTTCCATGCAGTCGCAAGATCTCCTCGGGTTGGGCAATGAGTTTGGGTAAGTCATCTTTTCATATTTACTAACTACATACCCAATGAATTTATGCTGATCCCTATTACTAGTGGTATGTCTATCGGAGACACTCACAGCCGTGGCTCGACAAAATCTGCTGGTACGAAGTCCGGAAGCCAGGCCAAGATTATCTGCCCTTGGTGGTCCACGGCTGGCTACACCTGCCGCGATCACGAACATGGTGAATGCAAATTCTACCATGAGGATATTCCGGATGGACTACGGCAGCCGCTAATTTGCCATTTTTGGGCGGATGGTAACAGGTGTACTAAGTCCCAAGACGCCTGCCGATTTGCACACTACCAAGCTCAGCATCGGGCTATTGCTCCTATGCCTACCAAGAGGAAGCTTGAGAAGACTTCCACTGGGCTAGACTACAGTGAGCACTTCGCCATACCCCGTCCAGCCGTGCTATCCAAAGATAAGGACGTCGGCAAATGGCATAGCCAGCCGCGACCTCCTCCCGGGGACGACTGGTAGAGCAGGTTTTAGCCAATGAGCGGTATTTGTGTGGATGTGAACAGTGTGTATACTCGAAGGTTTACCAGGATTGGGTGGCAGGCGGACCGGAGTAGTGCCTCAGAAAGGGAATTGTGGAGTTGGTTTACCCTTATAATCGTTAGTTTTATTCCGCTTAATTCATCATCGGATCCCTTAACGTTAACGACAATCAAGCAACGTCGCCCCTTCTATCCTATCATGCGGTGGAACAAGGAGAAAACAACAGGGTTGTTACATGTAAAACTCTAAGCTAGCTACAGGAGCCTACGGATATGCATACCTCTAGCAGTATCCTTTATTCTAGATGTCTCATCTGGAATGCTAATACATCCTACCCATAACATGTAGGTGAAAGTCTACACCAATGATTATCAGCTGAGAGACTGTACTCATACAGCTCTGCGATAAAGAAATAAGTAGATGGCTACTTAGGTAGATATCTAATTGAACCTAACCTACCTCCTAAATCATGCATTAAAATAAATCTCCTAAGCTTCTTGAATCATCACCCAGTTTGACCAATCCTTATCCTTTAGGTAGGTACGTTTGTGTTGGGACCACACTCATCCCAGTCATATGACTGATGTCATGTGACTTGGATTGGACCCACACATAACGCGCACCCACAAATGTAAATAGAGATCCCTCCCACTTTCATAGATCTTCCCAGCTTAATCATCAACCAATCAGTAACAGTCATTTCATTCATTCCTATTTCATTACGTAATTCGTGCATGCTCACATACCTTGTCACAGCAAGTTCGATGAGCCAGGTCAAGCCAAATAACTGTAAAGACTTGACTTGAGACGAGTCAAGTCAAATAAAATGAAAAATGAGGCTTACCTGGCCGTATCGTGGGCTTGGCCTGAGGCACCTGCGGTATCGATACCGGCAAAAGTCCGGGTAATGAAATCTACGAAATCCGATTGGTCAATATAGCCACCCAACCACCCCCAACGCTTTTTTACTGTCCAAAACACCAAAAAATTACCGTGATCTTAAAAAAGACGATTACAAATAGCCTCATTACCTTGTACGTATAAGGGTACGTACCCCGATACGTATTTAGAATAGAATAGAATCATCTTGATAGCTTATTATTACGTCAATTGTATAAAGGTGTTAGAAAAGACCCTGTAATTACTTTAATGTAAAACGTTACCGATCATACAAACAAATATTATTTTTAAATCGACCAATAATATCCCTTAGATATACCCTAAAGTAGGCCTGGATAGCTTCAACTTATTTGCTTAATAGGCAAATAAAAAGATTTTATACCTGACCTGTATAAATATCCCGCAAAAGCTATCTACCCAGGCTAAGTTAAGTCAAGTCCGAGTCAAGTCAAGCCATTAATTGACTCGTCGAACTCGCTGCCTTGTCATTCCAACAGTTCGGACAATTAATATGTGATTAGTTAAAAGCTTTTTATATTTTTCTTTAATTCTCCTTGTACCTTATGAGGTAGTTACTACAGAAGATTATTGCATCTTAGAAAATATGTAACACTTTGTCCACTGTTAGGAACTCATTTTGGTGACTTGGCCAGTCCCATATATACGAGTACCCGGATGAGGTAAGTTAAAAGCAAAATATTAATGAACCCCTAAATTCGATCATGAACCTCGGCTACCCAAGGTAAATACATAGCCTTATGTATCTACTTGAGGTAGATACATGTGCCTGGGTGGGTTGCTATATGTATGTGGTTGATAGCTACAGTTGTACGCGGAGATACAGGGCAAGTGATTTTAAAGGATAGAAAAAGCAAGTAACGACCGTATATAATGTTTAATTGGTATAAATATTACATTAAGTTAAGTATAACTCAACCACTTGTTGTTCAATTATCCAGACAGAGCAACTATGGCATTAAGTTATATCATGGTCATTCGAACGTACCTGGATATCCTCATATACGAAACTACTCCGTTGTTTCATCCATAGACTTATAGATGAGTTTTGTCATTATATATCTTCAAATGGCGTTTAGATATGGGATGGGAAACTTTCAAATTAATGCTTAACTCGAGACCTACTTAGGTACCTAACGCGACCCCTTTTCAGATTCGACACAAGTATAGCACAGGGGTACATATTGAGTCGAAAAAGCGCTCTTTTAGAGGCCGAACCTAGCTGGCGTGGGTTCCTGTTTTCTTGTTGCATGACAGTGAAGCGAATTACGCGCCTCGATTCGTAATGAAACATTAATAGTCAGCCACTTAAAGTTCCCATAAAATGGACCAGGGCTCAGAAGGACCGCCAAGTGCTTGGGCCCCTAGTATTTCTAGAGGGCCGGGTTAAAAAATCTTACTATGAGTTCGCGGGAATATAAAAGAATGGCCATGTGCCATCTGAGACCCTGAGAAACTTCCTCGCCTGTTCTGTTCCGTTACTTTTGGCGCTGGGTTTTGTGTCAGGCGCTTGATACTCATGATTGATGCCGAAGAACTTTTTCGACACTGTCAGTCAGCGTAGAGCTGGTCACATCTGAAATATCTGGCGCTCACATCGCGACTCCTTCAGTAAGATTGGGAAAAGCGCAGGCAGATTGAGGCTTTGCTATGCCGAGCCAGTGTCCTTTCACAGAAGATGCCCAAGATACATAAATTTGTGCTTTCATATATCATATACCTAGACATAGATAGTGCCTCTGTAACTTGGCGCGGAACGTGGCATCTAGAGTTGAGTCCTCCTCTTGCCAAGTCATGGCAAATCGATGACTCGAAGCTTCCATTTCCTGAACTTCAACTCCAACCAAAGCAGGAGTCTATTCAAGGGGTCATATATTCTCATGGATATGCAATCTATCATCTAGAACTTCCTTGAAAAGTATTGATCCTGCGTCACTTTGGCAGATTCTGAGGGAAGGATGCAGCTTAGCGCAGTGATAATATAACTCTCTAGATATCATCGCCTATGTTATCCCTCTATGCATCAGCCCTGGAACTTCCCAACCCCAATGCCAATGCTAATTAATACAAATTTAATGCAGATTTAATTCCCTTGTTAGATAGGTAGACTTGAAATCCAGATACCTTTAAAAACCATGCTCACGCATTGCTCGTAACTACCTTCTCTGCCACCCTGCCATCCTCCTGTACGATAACCTTGTCGACATGGAGCGACGCTTTGACGGGATTAGGCTGGTTGTAAACCCATTCAAGCTGCTCAAGAGTTCGTCCTTGTGATTCAACACTGTACAGAATCAGTCAGCAAACGTTACAAGGGCGCGGTGGTATGGGCCTACGAACCCAAAGAAGTACCAGAGTATCGCTTCAATAACGTCCCATCCGACAAAGACCTATAAAGAGTTAAATTAGTATTCTTTTGCAACAATCCATAGGTATAAGGGGTAACTTACATATATATACTTGTATTGAATATTTCCTAGAGCAATCGGTCCGGCAAACTGGTTTATGAAACCCATGGCATATACAAGAACGCTGGAACAAGCAAGACCTTTAGCTCGAGTGGTAGTTTCCAACGCTTCTGTGGGAATGACACCTTGGAGAGGTGTATAAGTGAAGGAGAATATGATATTAAAAAGAAAGTAAGACGCCAATGCACCCCTGGCGTAAGATTCCTGTATATTATCTCCTTGGGCATCTAGGGCGGCGGATAGACCGGAGTTGGTAGCTAGTGCTGCAGCGCAGGCTATACGAAACAATTCGTTATTAGCAAAAATACAATGACATTTACCTAGGGTAAAGGGTGACAAACCGAGTGTTCCGATTATCAACACCTTTCGCCGGGGCATAGTATCTGTTAGAGCCACGGCTGTCAAAGCCCCAATGGCAGATAGCACGGAGTTGAGGAGGTTATAGGCTAGCTGCATCTCGACGGATGTAACGCCGATGATCTCGAAGATAGTGGTGTTAAAGTAACCCAATCCATTACCGGAGAATTGGCCGAAGATGGAAATCATTAGGACTTGAGCGATTCTCCAACGTCCGCTATGACTGAAAACAAAGGGGCGGTCTATTATGCTGATTAGTCTCTGTGGCACAGGTCGTTTGGACCTCGGTATAAAAAGGGGGAGACATACAGTCCAGGGGTCTCTTGTCAATGCCGTCCTGGCGAATACCCTCCTTCATTTCCTCAACCTCAAGCTGCACAAGTTTAGAGTTACGGTCGCCATTCCCATGGTACCTCGCCAAGAAGTTAATGGCCTCCTCCTCGCGGCCGTTGGCCATGAGAAATCGAGGTGACTCTGGGACGAACCAGACACCAAATAGAACAACCACACAAGCAAGCGCCTGAATGATCAATGGGATTCTCCAAGAGTAGTCGCTGTCTATTTTGTTGCATCCGTACACGACCGCAGCCGCAGGAATGGCACCCCCAAACCAACCGCAGTTATAGAAACCTGTGGGGAGACTATTAGCACGCCACGATTATATTCGCATCTATCAAGAGATGTCTCATACCAGTGGCTCGACCTCGCCAGTGAGGAGGCGCTATCTCAACAGCATAAGCCGGTGCGGCAACAGTCATGACGGAAATGCCGAATCCTAGAACAAAACGACCGACGACGAATTGCACGATTACAGAAGCAGTGGCAACAATGATCATTCCGACGATGATGATAACAGCGCCACTGAACATGCCAATCTTGCGGCCCCATTTATCAGAGAGAACCGCAGCGAATGGAGCGCCGACCATCGCACCACTGAAGCAAACCTGTCAGCTTATGAATACAGACAAAGGTGCAATCAGGGGGAGACAAACACAGTGTAGAGAGAGAACATAAGTGCAACTATAGTACCAGTCTTGCCGCTATGGAACGTGTTCTGGAAATGTTCCATGGCGACGATACCAGTAAGGAGTGATCCTAGACGATGTCTGTCAACGACCTGCAAACCTCGGAAACCTTCTGTAGAGTATTTACTTACCATCGTATCCATTGGCGCAAGCGCAACAGAACGAGATGCAGATGGAGACTACTAGTCGTCAGTAATCTGCGAAGAGTGGGATGACGCATGGGCCTCGTCTTGATGCATACAGTAAAGATGTATCGAATATTTGCTCTTGTAATCGATCTTAGTTTCTTGGATCGCCGCGTATAGCTCGGCCTGGATATATATAGTTAAACATTAAACAGTGAAACTAATAAAAGCGTCGAACGAAAGAAGGTCTCGCGTCCTAATAGAAGTTGAGTTGGACGTACGTTGTGCACTACTTTGGCCTTGGCACGCGGAGTGTTTGTCGTCGTCGAGCCTGATCCCTCGCTCACGGGAACCTGCTCTTGGGACACGAGAACACCAGCCGCGTTAATTTCCTTTTCTTCCATATTTATCGAATGTCTCTGCGACGGTCCTCCTTCACGTGACGTGTCGGGGAGGAACTAGATGAACAACAGCCTTGCATCTATCCATATCGATTCTGGACATGGTGATGTTTTTATTATTCTTCATGGAGCACCCTTGTCCCTTGTCCCCCAATTCTTACCCCAGTTTCTCTAAGCAGTAACTCCCGAAAAGGGGGGCGGGGGAAAGGCTTCCGTGATCCCAAATTGAAATGCTGTGCCACCCAAATAGGACATTCTCTGCTGTTAGTGATTACACTGCAGAGACTAGGCAGGGGTAACACTCATATGGGTTCGAGTTCTAGATGCCAAGGCACCCCGGCAGTGGTTCGCTTCTACGGCCTTGGAGATATCTTACATAGTAGGCCACTAGCACGCGTAGATATAGATCTATAGGTATGTACATAGCACTCGTGTAGCGAAGATCGCCCGTTACTTGTAAGCACTTGAGAAGAATCGGTAAAGAAATAGGATCGTCACGCGAGTTAAAATTCGAATCGCCCGTTTATACGCGATAGGAAGGGTCGCGTCGACAATGGACATTCCGAACATCTCTCAGCGCTAGAAAAGAAATGTACCCTTAAGCTTACCATTTAATTGGTGAGATCCGGGACCTAAGCAGTCAGCAATCTCGGTGACTATATTGTATCAGATTATGCGCGATATACAATAATGTCATAGCTGAAAGGAAAGATGCGTCTTGACCCAAAGTTCCCAACGGGCCGGATCAGGATCACTGCCAGGATCCTCGCGGGGGGGCTCTTAATTGTATCCGTACGTTCCGCGGCGGTAGGCTCTATAAACCTCGCAATCTATTTGAGCCTTTCAGCTCGTTATATCTTCGGAGTATCGGGTTGTAAGCTTTTGAGCCTACTTTTGAGCCTACACTTACATAGTATCATCTGCCAAAGCCTGACGAGCGAACCAATCAATGATGGAAGCAAATCCAACCGAAGCAAGACGCGAAAGCAACATTGTCCTCATCGCCCGGTCGACATCGATAATACAACTTCGCAGTCCTTCTTTTCGCGTATCTGTAGGGCCGAAGAGTTCGGACCGAAGCCGTTGATTGGTTTAGGTATTATCTATTAATCTTCGGCTCTTGCTTTGGCGGACTTGGCCCCGATGTAATCTGCAGCTCGCTGCTCATAACGGAAGCCCTGCAAGATCGATAAATGTACCCGCGGCACCTCCGATCGCACTACGGGATATTTACTCGGCCGGTAAATTAAGATGCCGTACTAGGTATAATTGTGAAAGTTGCCAAGACACGTCAAGGTGTTGCCAATGTTTGCTCGATTCAATACGGTGGGATTGGCGTTAGTTACATTCGGCAGTAGCTGAAGTTCCATCTGCGTAGTTTCAGCCTACCATTTGACATACTACTCTCCACTTTACTGCAATTACAGCTTAAGACTATTCGCCTTTACTAAGAATATTCGCCTTTACTAAGAATATTAATAAAATCATAGGAGGGCAATCACACATTAGATATTTCTGTTATAAAACAAAAAACTCTTAGCAACGAAGAAGACATAATAGGCTACCTAGGTACCTGGCCTATATAGATGAGTCCATAGCAAGCATGGGATTGAATAGTTCTTGCTTCGGTTTTATAGAGTAACCCTTGATTCTAAAGTTTACTTATAGGCCTAATTACCTCATAAGAGAAGTAATCACAATTTGACACAAGATATGTTATAGACATCGGGGACCTCTTAAACCTAGGCATAATCATACTCAGTCTTCCAACGCCATAACCCCTTTATCAGAGTCAACTAGTATCTAAACTATCTATATAAATTGCAACTTTGCATGGGTACCTGTATAGGTAGTTTCTCTTATCAGTGCGTTAAGGCCTCCTCAAAGAGCCTCCTCAGCTGGTCCCTCTCCTGTTCGAGTTCCTTAGCCAGACCAGGCGCCAGCATCAGAACCCTAGCTTGAGGTATCGTCCCCTCAACTAGGGCGTCAATGTGACTTGAGTCAAAGCCCAGCTCTTTAAGTCCCTTCGGTTGGTCTCCCAACTCAGCAAGGAACTTCGTGATGGCGTCGGCCAAGACTTCGCCAGCATCCTCACGCTTCACGTTCGTGATATCCACACCGAACGCTTCTGCGGCTGCGAGATGGCGGTCGGGGTTTGATGCACCTGTAAACCGGAACACTGCAGGCGCTGACACTGCGACCGAAACGCCATGAGGAATGATAGGCGTTGTTACATCATATCCTGCGTGCTTGTAACCTGGATTTTGGCCGGAGATGGGATAGGACATTCCTGATATTCTCTGTTAGTAAAGACGCCCCCGTTAGCTTCCGCTTGAGACTGCATCTTACCGTGACATAAGTGAACACCGGCATTTCCAAAACCAACGCCGGCAAGGGTGGCGGCGAGGAGCATCTCGCTCTGGGCTTCGTAGTCTTCTGGGTCCTTGACTGCTCTTGGCAGATATTTAACAGTACTTCGGAGTGCATTTAGAGAGAATATGTCACTGATAGGATTTGCGCCCTGGTACGCAGGCCTTAATATGGGGTTCGAGGGTCGGGGTACTCTCTCATTGAACGGGATGGCTGTCCACGACTCAAGCGAGTGGCATAGAACATCTAGTCCAGAACTTGCCTTCACCGCCGAAGGCATCGTTCTAGTGTTAAGCGGGTCGCATATACCGAGGGTCGGTTTTAAGTTGCGATGCGCGATGCCAGTCTTAGCCTTCTTTTCCACGAGGTCGAAAATGGCTGTGCCAGTCGTCTCACTACCAGTACCCGCCGTAGTAGGTATAGCGACTAGAGGTTTAAGTTTTTTATCAATTGGCCGTCCTTTGCCTAGTGGTGCATTCACGAAATCTAAGAAGTCAGCATCGGGATACTCGGTGTAGAGGTTCATCAATTTAGCCGTGTCGATCACCGAGCCTCCGCCTACAGCGAGGTAAGCGTCCGGCCGATATGGTTTGGCAAATGCAATGGCCTCTTTGATACTATATTTAAGTAAGTCAAGACTCGAGATACGTTCCGGAATTTCGTGTTAGCTTACGAACTATCCTTTGGCTCAACCCGTACTTTATCAAATATCTCATATTCTATGCCTTCTCTCGATAAGGCCTCCTCTACTTGCTTGACGGCAGTGAGTTTTCGGACGGTCGAGTCAGTTACAACACAGACACGTTTAGCAGCCATGTTCTTAAAGTCCATACCAACTTCTTGGGTGACGCCAGGGCCAAATCGGATTGAAGAGGCGGCCATCTCAAATGCGTACTCCTTCTGCTGAGAAGGGTCTATAGGGGAAGCGAAGCCGCGTCTTCCGATCCGCTTATTGGTATGCTGGGCGTACGCGTCAATTTGAGGTTTTGCATGATGATGGTGATGACCCGGGTTTGAATGACATGGACAATTTGGCGGGTGAGCATACTGAACCGTCCGTAGAAGGCTAACTGCTCTTGTAGCAGCCTTATTACTTGTATATCAGCATCCGTTCGATACGATATTTAACCTTTAGAACTTACATTCGGAGCCACTCGAACTGCAGCAACCATCTTTATAATTAGAGGTCTATATGTCTCGCGTTAAGAGCAGTATGAGTATATGGGTATTAATTGACTGCGCAATGAGTATATAATATTTTATCGTAATTGCAATGGCTCCCCTTCTCACGAACTAGACTTATCGTATATCCTCTTTTTATTAGTGTGAGCTGGCGAGATGAATGGAATCTCTCTTGACCTAGGACAAAAGTAGAGAAGACAATGTGGGGTAAAATGCGTCCCGCTGTGGGGGAATAGGCTTGTTACCGGTCTGCCGGTTCGAACCGGTAATAAATACCTTCTCCGCATAATGGAGGCAAAATACCTTCCCGACTCAGAGTGAAACTTGGACTCGAGGTTAGTCTCTGAAACTTCTAATGTACGGCTCTTTTGTACATTGAAATTGATTTAGCGTGGACTCCAATTCGTTGTATACTCAAGGTTACAACGAATCCCACGAATAAGCTAACCATAACGTCACTAACCTCCCAAATTGAGAAAAGGTCCATTCATATCAATGATCAAATGACATGATTCGTCAATGTCCGGCGTGAGTCAGCCGGGGGGTAATTATCAACGATCTATCAATCTTACGAGGATATGTTCGAATATAAAGGGAATCCCTCGGTTGGGGGAAATGTTAGTAGGCAATGTAAGGAGACGAGAAGCGAAAAGAATAATATAAATTTCAAATTGAACTCAACAGTACCTTCTTACTATGTCGTCAACAGCTCCAGGCATAACCGCGGATAAGGAGTCTCGCATGCGGCTCCGGGATCTTTTGCCAGACTTACACCTCGGATATTGGAAACCAGGGCCTCTCAATTCGCTTACTGATGTTCCTGGCGTTCTGGTCCACACCCAGGAGATCTTTGCCGATGACGGTGCTGTGAATACCGGTGTTACGAGCATTTTGCCCCGAGAAAACTGGTTCTATAACGCTTGTCACGCCGGAATATTCAGTTTCAACGGTTCCGGTGAGATGACCGGTAGTCATTGGATTAATGAAACGGGCTTATTGCATTCCCCTATCATCATCACAAATTCATTTGCCGTAGGTGCCGCATATCAGGGCATTTATGAATATACCATCAAATCTCAGGGCGTGACCAAGGGAAATGTCGATTGGTTCCTACTGCCCGTGGTTGCGGAAACCTTTGATGGATATCTAAATGACCTCACTCAATTCGTGGTCAAGCCCGACCACATCATCAAGGGACTCGAGAGCGTATCGAGCGACCGCGTCAAGGAGGGTAATGTCGGCGGTGGAACTGGAAGTAAGTAATATCCATGCCATATTTAGCTAGCGAAAGGTCCCAATTGATCTATCATAGTGATATGTCATTATTTCAAGGGCGACACCGGTAGTAGTAGCCGAGTTGTTGAGGGCTTCGACAGCAAAGGTCAACCAAAGACTTATACCGTCGGCGTGCTAGTGCAGGCCAACTATGGACGCCCACAGCATCTCCGGGTCGCAGGTGTACCAGTTGGGAGGATCCTAGCTCGGGAGGCCGACGAAGCTGCCGAGAGTAATCCGGCAATCAAAATGGCACGAGAGGCGCTTGAAAAGGAGAAGAACAGAAAAGATGGGAGTATCATTGTAATTATCGCGACTGATGCACCTCTTCATCCTTTGCAACTACAAAGGCTTGCTAAGAGAGCAACAGTGGGACTGTCAAAGGTTGGTGGTTATGGTCACAACCCTTCCGGGGATGTATTCTTAGCCTTCTCAACCGGAAACGAGATTCCAGTTCAGTCAATCTCGATGGAGCGGAAAGCAGTCGATCCGTTCAAGCCCACACCTATCGCAATGGATGTTATAGACGACTCTTCAATCAACGGGATATTTGAAGCTGTTGCGGATGCTACCGAAGAGTCGATATATAATGCTTTATGTATGGCGGAAACAATGGTAGGAAACAAGGAGCACAAGATCGAGGCTCTCCCTCTTCAAAAAGTGAAGGAGATCATGGAGAGATACAATTGAAGAGGGGTATTAAGAAATATATACAAATAATATAACCTACCTGTTGTGCGTTTGTTCTGCTTAATGTCTTGTATGTAGTAGTGTAAGCCTACGACTCTATGGTAATTTGTAAATTCACGTATTCACTTCAGTTGGCTAGTACCTTAGCAGCTTAGGTAGCAAATCAGACTGCTTACATAAAATAACACGTGAAATATGGCTTTTTAATCGTGGCGTCAGGGCGTTTGAGTGCACGCTCCCTCCAATTGAAGGTTCTGATATACATGTACCAGGTACCTATGTAGGTAGGTACCTTGTACCTTGGGCAGGAAAGTGGGATTCGCGACCTTGAAGCTTATCAAACGGTAATGCCAAGAAGCAATAACCTAAAGACGCTTTGGCCTCAACTCCCTGAGACACTAAATTGTACACAGTACATCATCAAAACGTTCCCTTCATTAAGCATACCCCATAACTCGACTATCCTCCTATCACCACCACCATCGCGCTCGTTAAAAGTCGACCCTTAATCCTAGAGACCTACCGACAGGCTCAAATAGTTAAACATTCCGCAGGCTCGGTCGCAATAACTCGCGCTATCGCTCATTAAGATACTGAACGGATTCGAAAATGGTCACTGAACCTCGGCGAACCGACCTGGGCCATCTATATTCATGAATTCGTCAGAAGATATACTCCGTTAACAACCATGGATTACCAGCGCCAAAATGGCGGACCCGGCTTTGGCCGTGATTCTAATAGAGCTGAAAGATTTGAGGACGAGAAGAGGCGCATTGTGGAAAGTTGCTTCAACAAGAAGGATGTTGATGGGTCAAGTAAGATTGTCCTTGGTGTTTTTGTGTTGCCTATTGCCTGTGTTCTACCCAACCGTCCAACCGTCCAACCGTACCAGGCGCTGACGTATATTGTGCGCCCGTGTAGTACTCGAAACATATATTACCCATATTAGAATAACTGAGTATTCTTCCCACCCGTCCTCACCTCCGCCGCCCGAAGCACGATCGCAGTCCGAAAAACCTCGAGTCATCATTGTGGCAGTGCGGAAGTCAGGCCGGGTGCGCATGCACAAGTCCAAAGAGAATGTAAACGGCTCATTCTCTATTGGAAAGACCTGGGACTTAAACGATCTTAGTGCTATCGAGTCCTTTACTTCTTCGAATTGCGATCCGCAGAAACGAGAATGGGCTGGTGAGACCGGGTTTGTCGTTAACGTCGGGAAGCCTTACTACTGGCAGGCCCAAGCCGACAAGGAGAAGAAATTTTTTATTGCCAGCCTCATCAAGATTTATGGGAAGTACACAGGTGGTAGCGTACCAGAGTTGAAAGGCTTCGACTCCCGCGAATTAGAACAAGTTTTAGGGTCACGAAGGCCACCACCAGGTCGAGTACCTACTTTACCTACTTCAGAATCGAGTCCCTCGTTGCGAACTGGCCCTACTCCTACACCTCCTCCTTCAAGGCCAATTGCCACTCCCCCACGAATGGAACCTAAAATCTCAAGACCCGATCTCACACAATCTCAACCCAATATTGCACCTATTCAGAACAATGTTCCTCCTGCAGCCACCATTAGCGGATTCCAACCCTTCCGCCCTAATCAGCCTCCTGGTTCACCTGCGCGTAAGCTAGCCCCTCCTAACGGAACTTCTTCGCCAGCACCGTCACTCGGTGCAGACTCCGCTCGCACAGGGAACCAAACTGCCGCTTTACGTAGACTAGCTGGGAATAATAAGAGTCAAGAATCCATAGCAGCTTCTATTTCTACAACGAGAAGTGATGATACTTCAAGCATACCGCCGCGATCAAGGGGAGGGTTAGCTGGGCCTGGTGCCTTGGGTAGATTTGGTGATCCTTCTGGGTCGACTTCACAAATGGACTTACCTGATAGGAAAAGACCGCCAATGGATCCGACGAGGCCGAAAGAAACCACAGATGATGACCTTGTACCAGCACCATTAATGAGCCAGGGAATGCGAAGGGAACCACCGCCAAGAAATACAGATCGGATGTCGCCCCGAAAGAATTCCGCCGACAGTAGGATGGAGACTGGCTTTCCCGCGGTGAAGCAAGCACCGGCACCGGCACCGGAGCCTATTCCTGATGTTCCCTCGAGTCCAGTAGATAGAACAAATGGCACGGCATCTGCATCTGGATCGGTTGTCGAAACTAAGGCACCCGGATCACCGCCTGCCAGTCCACCGGTGAAAGAGGAGACCCGTCCAGGATTAGGACCTATGATTAAGCCGAAGTCTCAGCGCGATCTGGCTGGGGCCTTGTGGAAAGCGGCTTCGGCAGCAGCAGCATTTAAACCGCGGCCTGGCGGAGCTGGGGAGCGATTGCGCGAAATGCAAAGCAAGACAAACCTCAATGGTCCGGACGGAATAACGAGCGTCGTCCCAGCACCGCCAAGACCAGAACCCAAGCCGGAAATTCCCAAACCTTTAGACCTTGAGAAGAAGCCCATTGATAAAGCTTCCCTCGTCCCTGAAGTGAAGGTTACGGTGCCTAATTCCAGCCGGCCGACTAGTTTACAAGCTTCCGCCAAAGAAAAACGGAGGCAGAGTATGGAGGCAGCTCGTCAGCAGGAAGCCTCGCGACGCCTAACCGTAGCCGGTAATGATACAAAATACCTATCCGCTCTCGGCGTGGATACGAATCTATTCCTTGATAAGACCTCAGAATTTGCTAGATGGCTAGATCACTTTGGTTGGGTGCCTGGTGAGCAAATGCGAGGTCGTAATTTCGAGGAGATGAAACTTGATATAGACCGGGAGCTTAATAAAGCTCAGGCTGGAGGTTGGGTCGTCCGATTCCAAGAAGAGGATGATCGAGTGGAAGCAATTAAAAAGGGTCTTGATGTTGCCATCGCAGAGTGTGATGAGCTCGACAACTTACTAACTTTATACAGCGTGGAACTATCTGTGAGTGTGAGCCCACACACCTAAATAAGTCTTGCTAATCACCGTATAGACATTATCCGATGATATCGCATACATAGAGGCGCAGGGCCAGGGTCTGCAAGTACAAGCAGCAAATCAAAAACTACTTAGGAAAGAGTTGGAATCTCTGCTTGATACATGTGCCATCACCTCCGATGATCTGCGAGCTCTTACGACAGCACCCCTCGAGACGACCTCAGGCCTTGAAGAAGTCGAGACAGCGCTTGTTACCTTGTACAAGGCGATGATGAAAATTGACTCCTCTGCCGCAGGATCAGAGCTTCGAAAGAGCGAAGACGCAGGACAAAATTCTACTCTCAATACTGATTACGGCAAAATGCGTATCGTCCAAGAGAAAAAGGAGATGTACCGTGCAGAAAGCGTAGCATTCCTCCAAAGATTCAGTGCTTTCATGTCCCGGCGATTTGATGAGGCAGCCCAGGAAATCAGGTCGGCCGTAGACGGAGCTTTATCAAAAAAGATAGATCCCGCACACCACGACATCGGGCGAGAGTTGCTCTGGCAATATAGTCCTCTTATACTCTACGCTAGGGAGGTAAACCTTGAAGGTTGGAATAAGTGCTTACAGGTATACCAAGAGAAGAATCTCCCGCTCTATAAATCGAGATTCAAGGACATACTCGATTCGTGGAAGCGGAATGCCAGGAAGCCTTCGGGTGACGAAGCAGAGCTTCTCTTCACTGCCGAAATCGAGAGACAGCAGGAAGGCACAATGGCTACCGCCAGAAAGATCACCGTAAAACGAAGCCAGACTCTGGCTAGGAGCTTGCGGGGTCCCCTTGGCGACGGTAGTAAGACGAACCTTGACAAAATTTCGGACGGTCGTAATCTACCGTACGAAGTATTTGCAGGCATGATGGATGACCTTGTACCCCTTATCGAAATCGAGCAAAACTTCATCGTTGATTTTTTCCATGCGACCACTTTAGAGACAGCGGATTTTCCTGATCTTGTGGCTGCGTCAAAACCACGAGATCGACGAGGCGGTGACCTGAAACGACACAGGCTGATGGAACCTGACCGGGAATTGGCTAGGAGAGTAACACGAGCCATGGAAGCAATATTCTCATTCTTGGAGCAAGACTTGCAGAATACGATCGACTGGGTGTTATCGCAGGATCCATTGTAAGTTCTATAAGTGCTAAATACTCAGGTTGCTTTGAAATGACCGTAGCTAATTCAGAAACAGACAAGGAGTCGGCATTCTCGCAGTACTCGAGCACAAGCATCTAGAAATAACGCAGTCTAATCAAGATTTCTTAAACAACGTGTTGCAGAAGCTTCACGGTAATCTCGAGGGGCGTTTCACGAAATTCGTGGAGGGGCAGATTCGTGCAATCGAGGATACGAAGGTTAAGATTAAGAAACGCAGGGGTGTAATCTCCTTCATGCGAGTCTTCCCCCATTTCTCAAATGCTGTGGAAATGATGCTAGTGACAGTCGATACGAATTCTTCTGTTAGAAAAACTGTAGACAGAGAGTACGACCGTATCATCAAGACTATGTTCGATTCCCTTAAGGTTATTGCTCGCGAGAACCCCTCCACTCTCACAAGTAGCGGAGCCGATCCAGAGGACAAGGAAGCGCTGAACTACCATATCCTCCTTATCGAGAATATGAACCACTTCCTTGAGGAGCTCGATACTCATGGTTTGGAGATACTCGAAGACTGGAAAGAAGCTGCGGCAGGCGAAATGAGCGAGCACATGGGTCTTTATCTCAATGCAATCATGCGCCGACCGCTGGGCAAGTTGCTCGAATATCTCGAAAATATCGAAGCGCAACTCGCCACGGGAAAGAGTCCCGCAATTGTGGCCGCACAACCGAGCAACGCAAGGGGGACGTTCAATAAGATCCTCAGCGGCTACGATGCTCGCGAAGTACGCAAAGGTGTCGAAGCATTGCGAAAACGAGTCGAAAAACACTTCGGCGACGCTGACGACCCAAGCTTAAGCCGTGGTCTAGTCAACAGGGTCCTCCGAGAATGCGAGAAGTACTATGGAGAAATCGAGGTTCGGATTTCCACAGTTACAACAACGGTATACGGCGGTGATGTGCTATTTGAATGGCCTCGCGCCGATGTAAAGAGTGCCTTCGCCACTACCGGTCGGTAGGTCGGACCGAGTGACTGGAAGCACACATCTTCTCTCGGGCGCAAGTCGACAAGCAGCGGACGGTCCCGTATTATAACATCGATGGATGGTTGGCATGATGGGAGTTCGGGCGGTAGTACATATTCACGATAATTGTATAAGATGACTGATTCATCCATGCGTGACTCTACCGCGTGTTGCGAGAAAATTGCAGACTAGGTGTACGAATAGCTATATACCTGGATCCTTCACTGCTAGCAATTAGGTTAAAGGGTTATATCTATTCCTACGTCTTCTAATTCTTGCGTATCAATCTCGAATTCTATATGGTATGAGTTTCGACTTGACGTTGATACGATAATGGTAACCACTAGGAACAACACAACCCAGTCACTCGTAGGGGGTAAATAGTAAGATCGTAACTAGATCATTATGCTAGTGAACTTGGCATGGGACCTTTATAATGACAATTCGAATTACCATGGTCCTTAACTCTAAGTAGAATGAGGCATAGTCATTTACCTATATGGTAAACTTGTATGAATTTATTTATACTACGACACTGAATGTAGTTTAAAAATTAATTCCCTGGATATGTGATTACGATTTTCCGTAATTAATGACCCCTGATTTCTCCCCAAGCCGATATCGCTCCGGCCTAGCTTAGTTCTCGGACTTGGTCTCCATGTAGACATATAGTGGTCTTTCATGGCCTTTGTCTATATATATAGACAAAATAATTTGTATACTATTATTGATTACCTTCGGTAGTTATAAGATAAACCTACAGACAGCTTATAGCCCAGTATTAAGGAAAATCCAGCCTACGTAAATTATCGGGATGCAGTACCAATACGAAGAAGCACGTCGATCAAAGCTATCATCGTGAGGTCAAAATCTATGACTTAGGTGAATACTAAGGAGAAGCTATAAATTCATCCATACGCTTTGATAGTGCTATGAATTTGACACAATGCTTGGTTCGATAATTATTCCATAATTAACAACTCTACACAGTTGGTACTATAAATCTCTTTTGGCAATACCGAGAGAATCAATGCAGTCAAGGAGCCGACCTACGAGGAAGTCCATCTCGGTCTTCGAGTCTGAAAAGTCACCATGATTTGTCTTCCCTACAAAGTCGAGACGTGGCAGTGTAAGAAAATGCAGGTGTACCAAAGGGTGATACAAGGAGAACGGCCGGAAATATCACCCAAATACTATAAAATGCGCTGTGGAATAGCCATTCGCCTTCAAGACTTCTGGGAGAGCCTTCTCCTATCGCGTAAGACTTTGAGGAAAGCTAGCCGGAACTGATTGTAAACAACCAGTGCGAGTCGGATGCCTGCCCGTCATCAGAGCTGAATGTGTCGACACGCAGTCGCTTTCAACATTGAAATTAACTATGTAGAAGCAATCCTTCTTTAGCGAAAGCATCGATTCTGGGCGTAGCTGCACCGCCGAGGATGAGTACGACGTTAGGCCTTTCTAGATCCTTTGACATGATTCGATTAACCAAGGACAAAGTTGAGGATTACTCTGAGATGTGTATAAAAGGGGGAGTTGTTACCTGGTATAGTAATAAGAAACGTCCCTGACTAACTCGAAGATAGCCTCCATAGATACAGGAGCTACCCAAGTCAAGTATAGGCTAATCCGACAGCCCCAGGTTACTGCAGCTAAGGGAAGATTTTGTCACGTCTTAGCCGTTGCAGTAAACCTTCTTTATGTGTTCGGACCTGCCGTATTGTCTACGCTTCGACGATGTTGGTGGAAAGTCGAGACGGACATGAACTTCGTAGGATCCACTGCCTTTAAAATAGGTATACTACGACTATACGCATACTCTAGGCGTCTCGCTATATTGGTAGGTATGTATATCGTATGTATAGACGTGCAGGGGCTAATGGACTAGGTAGACTACCAAGCTCCTGGATCGGACAGCTTTTCTAGCCGACCCCTAGCCGACTTACACTGAATTGGTAGATCACGCGGGGCGCTTTCTTACGAATGCCTCGGAAAGAGGCCCTACGCTGGTAATTCTTGTTGTTATAGAGTTCTAACGTATTTCTGAGCTCTGAGAAATACGGCCGGTCATTCTTTATTTATATGTTTCGAAAATCATCCAATGAGTATCTCAATGGCACAATCCAAAGGCCATCTTTTCGTTGGCGGGAAAGTGTTCCTGCACGCCAAGAAACCGGGGCTCGAGACGGAGCCTCAGTTTGGGGACGCAATTTACATACGCGACGGAATCATCGAGCACGTTGGTTTGGAGGACGATGACGCTATTTCCCAGTCCCGAGCTGCGGGTGCTATTATACACAATCTCGACGGTCGAACCGTTCTGCCGGGCTTTATAGATGGTCACATTCACTTGCTAAGGCTAGGACAATCACTGAGCAAAGTTGCGCTGGACCATTGTGAGAACTTGGATGATATTCGCAAGGCTATTAAGGATTACGCGGTTTCAAATCCCAACGAACCTCGTATCTTATGTAAGGGATGGATGAGATATATGTCAAAACCTCTTGCAAGTCTGGTCGATGACTTAGACCCTCGGCCTATCTATGTAGATTCTAAGGATCTTCATACAACCTGGTGTAGCACCTCTGCTCTTGAGGAAATTGATGCAAAGAATCTAGCAGATCCCGAAGGAGGCAAAATCGAACGAGATTCGGATGGAAACCCTACGGGAGCTTTCGAGGAGGCCGCCGTCTTTACTATTATTTGGCCTTTCCTTGCCTCAGTTGCAACTAAAAATGATCGCGAGGACTGGATCCGGGAAGCAGTACAGACATATAATAAGTCTGGTTATACCGGGGCAATAGACATGGCTATGGAAGAACAGGCGTGGACTACTCTTCTCGAGATACGCGAAGAACAGGGAGAACGGCCATTGCCATTCCGGCTTGCGGCTTACTGGCTTATGACACCCTCAAGCTCAGAAGCCGACTGTCTTTCTCAGGTCGATCGGGCCATCGAGGTGCACAAGCAACTTAGCGCCAAGGACTCGCCAGACCTTCACGTCGTCGGCATTAAGGTCATCTGCGACGGCATCATTGATGCCTGCACCGCCTACATGTCCGAACCTTATCTGAAAGGGGCTGACGCTACGAAACATGCCACGGGCGAGCCGTTCTGGAACCCCGAGATACTCAATGCGGTTGTGCGCAAAGCTGATGCCGCGGGTTTGCAGGTCGCGCTTCACGCCATCGGAGACGCTGCTATTACCATGGCTCTCGACGCCCTGGCTACGTGCTCTCCAAAGAACCGCCACCGCATGGAACATCTCGAGCTCGCATCCGCCCGGGACGCCAAGCGCCTCGGCGAGTTCGAAATGTTAGTATTTTCTTAAGATCATCTACAACTGCTTTATAGTTGATTATATACTCACTCACTATATCTATAGCACCGCTTCGATTCAGCCTGTACACGCTGACCCATGGATCCTCCGGGCGTGGCCAGATCTTCTAGGTCACCGCTGCGAGCGCGCTTTCCCCTACCGGGAGTTCTCGGACAGCGGCGCACCGCTCGCTCTCGGAAGCGACAGTCCTACATCACCGTGGGATATCATGGGCAACGTCTACGTCGCTAGTACAAGGAAATCCTACAGAAACAGGCAATACGAGGACGTTGTCAACTACAACTTCCGCCTCGGCGTATGCGAGTCTGTCGTTGCTGCGAGTTATGGGTCGGCCAGAAGCGTATTCTGGGATGAACGGCTAGGTAGCCTAGAGGCGGGTAAGGTGGCGGATTTCACCGTATGGGATATGGAATGGGAGAAGGATAAGCTTCTTGGTGCTGCGGTGAGGGAAACGTGGTTTAATGGTGAACAAGTATGGGGTGCAGAGTAGGTAAGACATAAATACCTTATATCCCGATCTAATCTGGAAGCTCAGTTTATAGAAGCGATGGATTAATAAGTCTATAATATAATATGAGTTAAATAACCTTACAACCTCTCCATGTATAGTATAGTCGATGAATACCTAGGAGGTATCTATATAGATGAATATGTGGCCGCTAATCAGCACTTACTGCTCGAAGTTATAAGATCCCAATAAGAATCATTTAACAAGGCGATCAAGAGTGGGGGTAGCAATAGTAGCTGTATTATTGTCACACTAACTGCCAACTGCCAATGGAAAAAGCATTCATTCTCTTTGGGAATGCCATCTACGTCACTACGAAGTCGTGACATATTCGACTCCTAAAGCAATCCACCTATACGATACCGGATTGGCAGATATATTAACATATAATGTAACCTTGTCAGTTGTTTAATGACATAGCCACCCAGCCATTCATAGTGTTTACCTACCTACCTAAGGTATACCTAATCCATACCCCTGACCCGACCATCCATCTTCACGATGGCATCAGGCGTGCTACACAAATTCCTCCACCTAACCAATTTCCGGAGCCCTTTCCTTCGCACGGCAGTGCCTAGCGTCGCAGCGGCCTTCGCCTTGCAGACAGCCGTAGCTATCCCGTCGATTGCCGCCCAAAGCGAGCGTTTCTACGATGTTTCCGGCTCCGCGACGTTCCTGACTGTTACTCTGCTGAGCTTGTACCTTCCTAGCCTTCGTGCCCGCGCCGCTGCATCGCTGGCCGGTGGTGCACCGAAGCCGCCGTTGCCGAGTCTGTTGGGTCCGTTTGCGGCGGGCGCGGGCTTCCATTGGCGACAGGTGGCGCTGAGCGCTGCGGTGGTCTTTTGGTCCGTTAGGTGTGCGTAATCCCCGTTCTTTTATCCTTATACCCTGATATATATAATATATTATTGTTACCTATGTACAATTCAAGGGTATATAATATGTGAGAACTCTGAAGTATTAACACGCTCACCTCCGTAGTGGGCACATACCTCTTCCGCCGCGTCCTCCACCAAGGCCACGACTCCCGCTTCGACACGCTCCGGGGGTCGCCGGGGAAGTTCGCAGGCGCCTGGTTTGGCCAAGCGACGTGGGTGTCGCTGTGTCTAGCACCCGTGTTAGCCGTCAACGCGGTCCCGGCCGCGGCGCTCGCCGCCGTGCCGCTACGGATAACCGATATTTTGGGCCTGTCGCTATTCGTCGGTGGATTCGCGCTCGAGATCATCGCTGATCGGCAGAAGGGCGAGTGGCTGCGCCGTCGTAAGGAGAAGCTGCATGATGAGCCGTTCATGACGAAGGGTTTGTGGAGTCGGAGGTAAGCGTGCCCTGTACGTAGGTAGTTGTGAAAGGTTATGAGATGCTGATGAACGAGTAGCCAGTACCCTAATTACTTGGGTGAGTGTACGTTGTGGACGGGTATAGCTACCACAGCCGCCGGTGTCTTGGTAGCACGTCCGGTTCAGATTGGACTTGGGTTTCCGGGTGGCTTGTTGGGCAAGCTCCTGGTCTTGGCAGCGTCGTTTGTTAGCCCGGCATTCGTAACCTTTTTGCTATTAAAAGTGACGGGCGTGCCGTTGAGTGAGAAGAAGTATGATGCCAAGTATGGTCATCGCAAAGATTATCAGGAGTGGAAGCGAAATACACCCAAATTCTTCCCTAAGTTATACTAGTTCAGACGTTAAGATGATGTTTAACTATTATATTTGTAATATGATCATCTTTTACATATTACTTGCATGCCACATATACAATTTTGGGTCATATCCTCGTCGTAAACCAGACTGGTGTTCATTATGAAGGGCCAAACGCTCCAATGCTCATTGCTTCAGCGCCAAACTAGTTTCAAGGGGCCCAATATTCAATATCAATTTATCCATTTCAAATCACTTGTAAAATGACTTGACCTTCTCGACCTCGTCGTAGCTACCCAAATAGATACCTGATCGATCGTGAATATGTTCCGGGACGACTTCAAGCATACGTCTCATCTTGCTGTCTACGGCTTGGCCACCGGCTAAGGAACAATCAGTATAAGTACGATAAAGAAAGACGTAAGAGCCACCACTTACCATTTTCAAAAACCATAGCCATAGGTGCGCACTCGTATAGAATCCGCAGCTTACCCTTGGGACTCTTCTTGTCCGCGGGGTAAGCGAAGATACCACCGTACAGCAGCGTTCGATACGCGTCAGCCACCATGCTACCAATGTATCTGGCGCTGTAGGGCTTTCCGTTACCCTGAGGATATTTGAGAGAGTTGAAGTACTCCTTGGTGTGGTCTTCCCAGTAGAGCGAGTTACCCTCGTTGACGGAGTAAATAGCTCTCTGCCTCGGGATTCGCATGTTCGGGTGTGTTAAGATGAACTCGCCGAACGAGTTATCTAACGTGAAGCCGTTGACAGTGCCGCCCCTCATGGTGATGACGAGTTGAGCAGAGGCGCCGTACATGGTGAATCCAGCGGCAAGAAGCTCCGAGCCAGGCTTCAGAATATCCTCTTTTGTTCCTGTGGAACCCTCGGCCAATTTGTGAATACCAAAGATTGTTCCGACTGAGACACCGGCATCCAAGTTGGAGCTTCCGTCGATAGGGTCGCAAGCTACAGCATACCGCGCTCCGGTGTGACCTTCAAAGAATATTACCTCCTCTTCCTCTTCCGACACTAGCAATGCACACTTCCCCGACGACCTCATAGCTGATATGAAAAGGTCATTTCCGATGACGTCAAGCTTCTTCTGGTCGTCACCCGTCGCGTTGGATTGGCCGGCGAGGCCTGTGAGGTTTACTAGTGTAGCTCGGCGAATATAATGGGAGATGGCCTTGAAAGAGAATTGAAGAGCATGGCATAATAATCTGGTAGCGTGTTGAATTAGTATAAGTATAAGTATAAGGGTTAATCTATTAATTCTTAAGTTCTTAAATAAGGTAGGACATACGTGAAGTCTCCAGTTGCCTCTTTGTGTTTGGTCTGCTCTTCCGTAAGGAAGCGAGTTAAGGTCACAATGTTTGTGTTTACAGTAGCTGATTCGCCTGAAGGTGGTGCATCACTGCCGTTGCCGTTACCGTTGGACGCCATGATGCTTTAATATAGGTAGGGAGGATCTAAAATTAAGTCGAGGAATAAGAGATAGTTGGGTAGGAAGAGAAGTAGGCACAAAAGGTCTCTGATATGTTTTACTTGGAGTAAGTTGGGTATTAGGTAGGGAGAGGTAGGTACTAATTACGGGGGAATGGAGAGAGAGGATTTGATTTGACTTGATTTAATAGGTTAGACTCCGACAAGTTATCGTGAGAAATGTTAAACGGAAATTTGGTGTTGCTCAGAACTATATGCCGAGGGAGAGTTATTGACAAGTTTATAAAGCGTCTAATACGTCTTTGTCATTGTCATTCTCCACAACTCCTTCTGACTGGTTTGTTCGGTGCTGCGGGTAACAACAAGCACGATGACATACGGCATCATCCCGAGCCAGACCGCCATGCAGTCATTCTACATACACTAGACCCCAGGACCCAGAAGCCCCATTCATAGATTCATAGTGTATGTACCTACATACACCGGCTAAGGGGAAATGTGGGCTGGGCAATAGTGTACCTCTTAGTAGCCGGATGGATTCTAAAAAGAGGATTTTTCGGGCCATGGCATTTAAGCCGCCATCGATTATACCGAGGCGGGAGATGCGGAAGATGCCGGTAAGCTCGGCCTTTAAACGTCACCAGGACTTTGACTTGCCTATCATTTTGATTCGCGTCGTGTGAGATGTGAGATATCGGGCTGAGATAAGTCATCTTGATTCGTCTGAATTATCTCCATGTGACACGGTAAGGTTTCTGTTACTGGCGGTTATTTAACTCAGACACATATGTAGAAAGACCTTGACCGCGGAATGAGGTAATACAAGTATATATTGCATTATGTAGGTATGTATGAGTTTGCAGACGGTAACAGAAATGATCGGAGTTAGTTGAGATAGTGAAGTAACACAGAAAAATTGACATCCCTATGATGCAGATGAGGGGTAGGGAACAGGGAGAGCTTCAGAGCTAAGACCACTAGGTCCGAAAGAGGGGCAACTTCTTAGTATTGGTCATGGTACCTGGACGGTGTTTGATTGATCCGAACTTCTCGGATTATTAACTTTCCTTTTCCCGGCGCGCGTCCACCAGGCACGCCCCACTTAGTTTGAAAGCTTGGGAGCTAGAAATAATTTTTTTTCTTCCTCCAACCATCGTCAATTCTTCCTTCCTAACAACATCACCCAGATGATGTTTCCAGGAGCGCAATGTAAGTACGCAGAAATTCCTTTTATTCATCTTTCGTTGATGACATGTTGTAAACCGCAAACTAGAGTCTTTGACCTACGGGAATGAAACTGTTTTTACACGTCAGTCTGAGGATAAATTTGGATCTCAATTTCTTCATGAATCCGTCCTGGAGCTTCATTATGCTAACCCGATCCCAGGTAAACCTGCCCTCTTTTAGAGTATATTGGGTCCGTTGCGATCGAGTCCGAACGATGCCAATAGGTAAGCTTCCTTCTCTAAACTGTCGTCCACGTTACCAAAATGATGATTCTTTCTATGCATTTGCATAGCTGGAAATTACCGTCCGAGGCTTATGCTCTTGAGGAAAAAAACTGGCTGTTGTCTGATACAATGTTCTCTGCATCTCGATTTTACAAACCCCGACTTATACATGATTGCTAATATCATGTACAGAATGTCCCATTGACTGATTGCTAAATGGTATGCAAATTTTCAACTCGATATTATATTCTTGAATGATGAAGCGGCACTGGGCTCCGAATTATTATTACATGAGTCGATACGCCATCTTGTGGCAGGCCTAGAAAACCTCGCCCACTGATCACGATATCCTCGTCTCGGTCGATCTAATTTCTTACCGAGCATGTCGACTAACATGGGATCTCCGAAACAGTATTCGATGGCCAACTAGGAACATTGTTTACAATTGTCCTGCGACAATGAATGTAGACTTTGATTTCGTGCCATTTGCTGTCAAGGTAAGCAATATTTTTTTCTTTCAGCATAGCAAAAACAACCTACCTGATGAGCACAGATGACGAGTCTGATTCGGGTTACCGTTGTAGACAACCTAATTACTACCATTCATGCATTTTCTGAACTCTTGTTTTTGAATCACTATCATCATTTACTGTATAGTCAAACGTATTCTAACTTTCAGTTATAGGCGCAATATCTCTACCTGTTTTACAGTTTCGGTTAGTACACACTCAAGATGTGAAAGACGACATGCTGCTGCAATATGATGATCCGACTAAAACAATTGACAAGCATATGTCAGAGCTTTACGGCGTTGATGACTCCGGTCATGTCTGACTGCAGCAGATGGAATCTATTCACTCTCGCTCAAGCATTGCTCTGGGCTAACTTGTTGAGGTGATAGTATCTACTGAATGCTTCTGATGGTGGCCTTTTTGTCTTATCTTTTGTTAACAAAGGTAAAGGTAAGAGCTCGTTTTTTTTTATTCTTACGACAAACCCTATAATGATGAACCAATAATTTCACGACGGTCAACATAGCTCGACAGCTTTGATGATATTGCCTTTGACAAGGCTGTGGATCTGATATAGGGTTTCAAACTTTGCTGTTTCTCCTATCATTTTGAATCAAGCTGACTGATTCTAGTGCTAGCTCGTGCTCTTATAACCAATATGCAAGTATATTACCGCTTTGGATAGTCTACTGTGAGTATCAACAGGTAAGTGATATAAATTAAGGTTTGATTTCTCGCTGCCTGCTATTCTGTAAGTTGGCATAATAAATAGGAGCAGCTCTTGCATATATCATTTCCACTCAATGTATAATCAGAATAGTTAACAATATGAATATTATCAAAAAAAAAAAAAAAATTTTTTTGAAGTACTGCTTTTTATCTCCGCAAAGTCGATGTTCGACAAAATTGCAGGTGTATAGAGGAATTTAGCTATGTTTATGAGGTATGAATTAGAATTGTTACCGAAATTTTGATTTAGTACCTAACCTAAGGCATCTAACCTACCATGTAGGCAGGCAATGGGTAAATCAGATGTATATGGCAGGAAATCTTGTTTGATATTAGACAATCTTGGGCACATGTTGACCACATCGACAAGGCTTGATAGACAATATAATATCATGAATTATCTATTGCTCGGGTATGGGTATCTAGTATGATGATTCAGTCCAAGGTGGATGACTCCAATGATAGATATGCTGTGCAAAATACTGTATAAGGTGAGAGTTAAACTTATGAACCAATCAGTATCGCAACAATAACACCGCCGCCGACAGTTAACCCTAAGTCAATACCAAGCCTTACCCTTGGCATGGCTACACTTGACGGGGTTGCGGTAGCTGTAAACAAGCCGGTGAGCTGAGTTGTAGCTGTCGAGGGATCGGCGACAGCAGACGCTGGTGGCGTCGTGACGGTTGGACCTGTTTGTACAACACCATTGACAACGAAACCATGGCCGTTTAGAATGGCGCTCTGCTGCTCCTCATTACAGCTGCCGGGCACGTCGCGAAGCCAGCAGGTTGGTGATGGGGCGGCGGGGAGGTCGAGAGCGCTGTTGGCCTCGGCGGAGCCAGTTGTGTTATACGTAGAAAGGTCGATGTTCTCTCCCGTGGACACGCTGTCGCCGCGGATGACCCGCGCGAATATTTCGAAAGCCGTGGCTGGCTGATACGCTGGTACGAAGTGGCCGGCTTGATATACGCGGCTGAAGGACAGGTTGCCGAATTGCCGCACCGCACCGCCGACGTAGCTGTCGTTGACGATGATGGGCGCGTATCCCGCGGACGCGAAGGCTGATTCGTAGCCTGCTGCGGACGAGGCGAGCGCTAGGGATACCGCTTCGCCGCCTAGCCAGTTGCAAATATAATCTCGGTCGCCGTATATCAAGCCTACGCGAATACCTGCGTTAAGGAGCGAGGCTAGCTTGGGCACCATTGCCTCGCGCTCGTAGTCTCCGGTGGAGGCGAAGGCCGTGGCAACTTGGCTGTTTGTCTCCGTGTAATTGAGGCGCGTACCGATGGCCTTTTGGAAGGTTGGCGTGTTCACGTACTCCAGATATCGCCGAGGCGGGAATGAGTCGGGCAGAGGCGCGGCGATATCATAGAGGCTGCGACCGGCATCCGAGTAAGGTAGCATGACGTTATTGGTACAGTTATTGTAGGCGGACTCGCAGATGTGGTTCACGTCTGGCACCGAACCGCTGTTATTCGGGTCTTTGCTAGCAACTGCAGTCCGACATTGGTTGATCAGATCGCGGCACCCACCGTCATTGTAGAAGCTAGCATTGGCCATTTTTGCTCTGACGGAGTTGATGGCAGGAAACCCATAGGGGTTGTTGACTGCCATGATGGGATAATACGGTGCTTGGATCAGGTCATCGACGCAGCCGTTTACAATACCAAGTGAGACAAGGCGAATCTCTACGGAAGTGCTATTTGAAACAATCCCGTTGCCTCGAACGGTGTTCATCTGTTCCCATTTCTGCGCAAACGCGGGGCCGTACTTCCCTCCATAGCTTTCCGAAAACAAATTCACGCCTAGGACATTATCCTTTGGAGGATTCAACTCCGGGAAAGCCCCTAAGAATCCTTGTAGCATATGCCATATGGCAATGGCTGCCGTCTCGGTTGTGTTGGCAGTATGGTTGACATTCATAGAACTGAATGTGCCGTCTAGATATGCGCTCGGCGGTAGCGAATCCGGTCTCTCGTCAGGTGGGGTATAGATCTCGTTGGTGAGCAAGTTGATAGAACTTTTGGTAGGGATATCGTAGGAAAACCCAACCTGGTTCGGCTGGTCTATGAATAACATATTTGACGCCCTATCCCAACCCCATTCTCGCGCTATAGTGGTGAACTTGTCGGTGCCATTATCAACTACCTCGCAAGGACCGTTCTCTGCGAAAAAGCCGAACATAGAACTTGACCCCGGGCCGCCATTGAGCCAGATTGTTAGGCTAGAATTGGCTTGCTTGTCCCGCGCGCCAACAAACCAGAAGAAGGTATTGGTAGGGAAATCACCCGGGAGGCTCACCCAGCCGGTATACTGCGTCTGCGACTCGAATGCGGTATTGCAGGCTCCATGAGGTACTTTATAGCTGATCTTGATATTAGGGTCAATGGGGGAGGAAATGGTTGTAAGATTCAGGTCTCGAGACGTAGAATTTGGAAATTGACCATTGACAATGACGAGACTTGATAGTTTTATAGCAGCAACCAAAACTGCATTGGCGCAGTTCAGTCGCATTATCGCCGTTTGACGGTCGTCATTCTTGGTCGCAATTGGCTCTCGAGCCGATGAATATAGGTACCTAGGTAAGAGGGAAAAGGTTACGAGAACCAAGACGAAACAAGAATTAGCGATATAAGGTAACTTAGGTAGTTAGGTGTATAAGAAGTTATAGCTAATGTCTTAGAATTCAATGTGTGAGCTGATATATGAGGTGCCTAAGCTATGGTACAGATGAAGATTGTAGTGGGCAGGTTCGCAATGGCGGGCTCCTGCGGGATCCTGTGGGGATGGGGATTGAATCGGACCCGTATGTAAATCGATCTAAACCCCATATTACACTAACGTCGGGTACCTTGCATTAGATATCCCCCGATTGCTCGATGGCATTGCATATATACATATATAATATTATACTTATGTACCTAACCTAACATAATCCCTAACGGAAAAGAGGTATAAATGCTTGGAGAGTTATTAGAGTTTTAGGTCCAAAAGACTTCTTTTCTTATAAGTTCGTATAACTAAGAAATATTACCTATCTTAAATCTTATAGCCTACAATATGATAAATCCAATCGGGGTATAAGAGGAATAACACGCTTCGCGTCGTAATATGCATCAAGCCCAGAGCACACTAATTTTCAGCTCAGCTGAGGCTGAACTTGACCCGAGTTGATACCAATGTGGTAGATTTTCTATCATCCTCTCTTTGGTATATAACTATTTATAAGAAACCGCGGCACAATGGCATCGACAGGTTCATACTACTCGGCTATTGACATCATCACGTTTATTGGTATTCCCTTAGCCGTCCTTGGCGTATTGCCTATCCTATACAACACCGTCGCGACGCTAGCCGCCCTATCTAAGATTAAGCGTATGCTTAGACACGGTCGCTTAACGGCATTAACACGCAGCGATGTGGTGAATCGAGTAATCGAGGTGGAACTTCCAAGATATGCCGTCACGCCATGTGACCGTTTTGAAGAGACTGAGCTATACTGGCGGCCCTCTCGGCAACCTAGCTCCATCCCCGGCGGATCGTGGACTACATTTAACTGGCAGACTCGCGCTATCGGCGCTAAAACTCAGCGTGTGGAATACGCGGACCAGCTCCGACAACCACAGGTCGACGTAGCATTTGACAAACTCGTCGCCTATCTACTCGACCTAGGTGCCATCCCTGACGCGCACGGCTGGAAACTGTTACGTTCGACAGGGCTATGGACTCCTACAGGTTGCTCATTAATGAAGTCGCCCGATAGGCAGCATGAGGCATTGACCATCGCTCCTCTGGACGATTCCGATGGCCATCTATCTCTTAAGGTGAATTGGTCATCGTATTGGACAACTCGGGATTTCTCTTCCCTACCCCCGTATTGGATAAGCCTTCCACCACCTCAACTAGAACCATCTGAGATCACTGAAAGTGTTGATCCCGATGAGACACCCCCTGTAGCTCAGGGAGAGGTTGCGGACGGTGATACGGAAGAAGCTAAGGAGAAAGGGCATAGTAGCTTACATAAAGAATCTCTCGACTCGATCCAGAGGCAGTCTGAGAAAAACACTAGAGCAACTATAACATGCCAGATATCTGTTGACGGCCTAATCTCCGCGAAGAGCCAGGGGGACGGGGCCTTGCTATCATCTATTGATTTACGAAGCCTTTATATTGAGCATCTTCGGATTCGCCCTGGCAAGACCGATGGTATTTGGTTTTCCAGCGTTGCGACAGCTTATGGGACTACGAGCCAAACCGTGCTATGGAACTACAAGATCCCCGATGAGATCCTTACCTTTGCCCGGCGGGACAGCATGCCCTGCGGAGTGCTCGTGCTACTAGGCGTTGTGGATGAGTCCCAGACGCCTGAATGGGCTACTAACTATAACGTACAAGAAGAGGATCGAGAGCTATTCTATAGACGCAGTGCCGACCATCGCGTCGCTGTAATGGCCGAGTTAAAGATGGCCCCTCCCCAGAGGGAAATCGCCATTCAAGAGCGGACGCGAAGGGAGATGAACCAGAATATGCAAGACAGTAAGTACCTAATCATCATAGCAACCTACCTAAGCTAAGGACGACGCTTATCTTACTCGTTAATAGTGCGCGACCGTTCAAGGCTCGAGAACCAGCGTCGCGAAGCGCGCACATCCGAGGCGCTGCAGAGCCCAAAGTGGGACACGAAACTTGTAGCAGAGCATAATCTGCACTGGCTCAAGCAGAACAAAGAGCGTGCAATCGCTAGCGGTGTCAGCATCGATTCCAACCTAACTCTTAGGGATGTCGTGGGCTCGCTACTACATCGGATGATCCTCGATGGTCAATTCGCCTCGTCGATTTGCAAGATGCTCGATCTGTGGAAATCATGGGCAGATAACGGCGGCATGAGGAGGTCTGATTTAGAAACGTTGCGTAAAGATCAAGTTACGTTTGCCTTGGCTAGTTTTCTAGTTGCCCTGATCAAGGATACTTCTACGGCGCATGAGGGCACGCTGTCGTTGGATTTGCAGGAATGTTTGCGGATGTGGAAGATTGTAAGGCTAGGATGAAAATCGCTAGGGGGGGGACCGCCCAGTAAGGGCTGTACACATTCGCCATTTATCTTCTTGGTGTACAATTATAGCATGTCGACTTAAAGGTGGATAGTTTCGAAGGGATGGAGTTGAGATCAATAGACAAACAATATGATGCTCTATTTCAGAACTATCAACACTAGCCTATATTATCCCTTAAATAGGTTAGAGAGTTGCCCTTACAAAAAGATAGCGACGACCTAAGCTACATATATCGTGATATTGATTGCTACGTGTATTATTCTTGATGGGATCTTCAAAACTTCAACTTAGGCAGGTTAGAAATACACATAGCGCATATGCCTAATTCTGATATTTGATAGGTATGTTGATGTTCACGTATAAGCCCTTACGTCGGAACGTTATAATCCTAAGTACGAGGATGCATTTAACTCATAACACGCTGCAATGCTATAGCCTATAACTAAAAACCATACGTTCCTTTTCTAACTTGCCATAGCTCCAACTGCTCGCCCTCCTATACTGGCACCATCGCAGTGACTGTGTGGTCTAGAAAGTCGAGTTTACCTTAACCTTATAACTAGAGACAAAGTTAGAACCTACTTAATATATATATGTTAGTTACTTCAAAATAGACGATATAACTAAGTAAAACCGATAATTTCTTAGTTAATCATTTAAAAGTTTGCTCTTCGAATTCCCTGTCCGATCGACAAGTCTACATCCCTCGTACCATCGCCACTCTCCGTCGAAGTACTTCACATTCGTAAATCAGACCCGCCTCCCCCCATTCCTATTTTTTTTTTTTTTTAGAAGCTGTCCGACCAAGGGACAAGGCTTGTAATATGTTACCTCTCTATCGGAAGCTGGTCGGAATGTTGTTGGGAATATCTCCGGGGGTACAGTACAGCCGTGTCTCGGCTCCTGGCATGAGACACGGAGAACATATTGAATTAGTCTTGGTAGCACATGCCAGACATTGCGATCAATGGTGCAGATACATTGGTAGTCAATAATCCTAAGTTGTTAATTTCGAGTGAATCGCCCGGGTTGTTTTTCTTCTATACATGAGATACTATATACAATTCAAGCTTGAGAAAGCTGGTATGGACCGAATAATACGGAATCTGGTGGCACGACACGGGGAGGGTGTTGAATTCAGCCGCACAAGGTATTCAAAAATGTATGGTATATTGCTTAATAAATATACGCCTGAACGATATTCCCAAATATATACAAACGAATTGATCAACCAACGCCGACCCAATGCAAGATTAATTAATCCCCGACTGTTACTGCTAGATATCTTATATCAAAAATGCACACGCCTCTTAGCTTGCCCATTTCTATATGTATGTGAGTCTAAATCGGGCTGCCCTTGACTAGGACGGGGTGTGCCTCCGTGTTGAAAACCCACGTGTTGTCATGGCCAGCGTTGACCTGCCACGCCGCGTCATCCGCCTGGATCAAGTAGCTGTACTTCAGGACCTCGGCGAACCAGAAGCTCTCTTGGAAATCGTCGAACCCGCCGCCGCCTTCGACGTTTACGTTATCGATAGAGCTGTATCCGACACCTGCGGCACACGTCTTATTGATGTTCTGGAACGCCTCCCAAGCCCAGTCCTGGTACTTGGTGTCTCCGGTCGCGCGGTACGCGTAGTAGAAGCTTTCGATGACCTCGGGTCGCAGCACGTAATCCCCGCCGCCGGATGGGATCCAGAAACCAGCAGTCTCGTAAAAGCTGGCGGAATCCGATGGGGGCGGGCTGTTATTGCTAGCGTTGGCTGCTACTTTGCTGTCTTGCCAGTAGAAGACCTCCGGCCCAATGCCAGTGACAGTCGCGATGTAGGTCTCATGACACGCATTCACAAGGTCGAGTCCGAATTTGGTGTACGTATCATTATCGAGGGTCAAGCCGCCAAGAATGAAGCTGCCTCCGTCGAAGCACGCAAGATGAGTCGACACGAAGTCAAGCTGGTCATACCCACTGTAGGCGGCAAGGAATGTCAAATCGGGGCGAGAGGTCGGGTTAGACGCTAAGTACTGGATGCTGGAGTCGACGGCAGCAATCCATCGGTCCTTGTAAGCGCCAAAACGGTCCTGGTCGTAGACGTACATCTTGATGAGATACTCGTAGAAGGAGTCTGTGCCGCCATTCCAACCACCGCTGGAGTCTGCGAAAGTGCCATCGGAAATGTTGACATCGGTTCCGATCAATCCAGGATACGGCTCGCCCACGTCCGGATTGCGTACGTTGAGAAGGTAGTCCTCAGCGACCTGTGTTAACTTTGCATATTTATCATCTCCCGTGATGTCACTCAAGTGAGTCCACTCAAGCACCAAAGTTCCAATGGTAGCAATACCGTTAGTAGTATCACTACCGACGTGGTACCCGTCTGAGCTGTAGATCAGCGTGTTTATGGGGATTCCACTGGGGGTATCGAAAGCCACGCTGAGAATATCAGCTAGATTAATTGCTTGCTGAAGAATATTGTCAACCGAAGCCTGGTCCTTTGCGTACTGTTTTAAAGGACCGTTTAGAAAATCGTATGCTAGTGTACAGTGAGCTTATAGTTGCGTTAAGGGTAACCATTACTGGCTTACCCGAGAGGAGGCCACCCAAGTAGCGGATGGTAGTTTCAAATACGGAGACGCTCTCTGAGCCAGGAGCAGTGGCGTTAAAGTTAATGGACTGGATATGGTCTACGATGGCGTTGATGACATCTCCATTTCCCATTACTAGAGCTGTAGAGATGGCGTCAACCGCGCTGGCCCCCCATCCATTTCTAACACTTTAGTCAGTCTATGCTCAAAAATGACCTTAAAATATTCACATACCGATCATTCTGGTACGTCTTTGAGATAGGCCTCAAGGTATCGTTAGGGAACGCGTATTGATAATAGCCATCCCAAGAACGCTGAAACGCGGCTTTGACAGCATCAGCTCTTTCAGGATGAGACACGTATGAAGGTTGGGCTATAGCATAAGAGGCACTGCCCATAAAGGCGAGGACCTGTTTAGTGTTTACCATAGTCGTGTGATAATTATGCGATAATTCCAACTATTTCTGAATATGATCAAAACGCGAGAGAATAAGCCTGCGGACTGAGCCAAGGGGGGTTTAAACGGCTGTCAGTAGGAATGAAGAAAGGAGATAAGAAGAGGGAATAGGTCCGAGTCTTATACTACGTATGAACGTTGCGGTATGTGAACTACTTAGACATGGGGCCTCGGGGTTGTGATAATTTGCTACAGAAAGCGAATATTTGTCACCTGCATAAGCCATATCTACTAACTAAATCAGCAGCCAGAGGGACCAAAGGCTTGGACGGAAGCTAATTCATAATTCGACTGCAATAGGTAACAGGGGGTATCATGCCTGTAGATTATGCCTGTAGATTATGCCTGCGGGTTGAGAGAGAGAGAGAGAGAGAGTGTGTGTGTGTGGATGTGAACGTATGTGGCTTGTTAACCCAAACCAACATTGCGACCAGCCAGCCAACCTTGGCTTATAGTCTTATCAATATGTATCAATATGATGTATCAATATGGGTGAGCGGTGTCTTTGCGGCTCGCAAGTTTATTGGGAACTTGGGAACGCGGATCAAATCTCTAGTGCCGTCCAACAAAGACAGGGAGGTTAAGCATGCCCGGTATGCAAGCTAAGGGTCTCTGCAATGCAACTTTGATGATCACAGACTGTAAGCACGAGGATCCCGGGTCTCACTCAAAATGGGCCATGTGGCACAGATTGAATATCACGAATATGTTACCCCGAATAGCTCATGCTCATATGATAGAGCGCTTAGACAGTGGCCTAATCAGGACTAGAAGTCCGTCCGACGAGGAAGGGAGAAACGTTACCAGTTAAAATCCCAGGTCGATAACCACTTACTAGCATACTAGTAAGGTATTCTGGGCAATACATAGTCGAGATGGCGGATACTTGATAATTAAGAAAATGTATGACCTTCCGAAAGGGGTAACGGATCTGCAGGCCCAAGAGATGTCGCCTAAGAAGCAGGATTAAGGAAGAGGATAACGGGCCGTAAACAATATGGCAAACCTGTGGAGATTCCAGGTTCGATGTCTTGTGACCAAGACACAAGCAAAATGTCATAACTAAAATGTCATAACTATTGATTGCATTTTGTAATGGTGGTTTTTTTTGTCTTTGTCTTAGACTAAGTACCTCTAGGAACGTGTATCGGCGGAAGATTAAATTAAGATTTTTAACTATGTCTGTACTATGAGGTCAGCGCATGTCTCCTACAATTAATAGCGTATATAGCGTATAGACGGAGGCGTCTAGGGCTGTTTGATGTTGGTAAGTTGGTAAGTTGGCAAACATCTGTGGCTTTTATGGGATTGTCAGAGTTAACCTAGGTACCTTCATCCGTTACTGGACGAGTGCCTGAACTTGATCTCTCCCCCGCGCTAGGTATTTAGGGGTATTTAGCGCCTCCCCTCGACCCCAACTATTTTAATTAAAGTTCCGGTACCTTACCCCAAAACTCAAGCTTATCTATCGGCATTTCATAGGCAAACTTGGTCGAGGTGAGAATTAACTCAGCTCTTATCTAAGCTGATGTGCGGGGAACCCATGTGAAAGGAAAAAGGGGGGGATACAAACCGCCGAAATTAAAGATTCGCATTCTTGCAGGTACCGATCGATGATGGGCTCGCCCATTAGGTACCTACCTAGGTAATATGCACAAGTCAAAGGAGGAGCACACAACGTATCGTATATGCACTATTAAAGGTGAACCAACATATGTCTAGCTAGGCATATTATAGTTTTCATGCAGGGCCTTTTCTGATCCGATTCGTGGTTGACTTGACGTGTTACTCGTGATAATTTAACCCTGGATCTGCTGCTGCCAGGGGCTTATTCTACAACGTCATATTTTTAAACCCGGATAAGGAATATATAGCATATTTCCGGAGAATATCCAAGGGATCTTTGAGAAATTGTCCGTGGAATCTACACTATGCATAGTGTATGTGCATAGTTCTTACGAGGATCTCCCAAGCTAAAGACAAACCTGAATTACAGCTAGTAGTTAGACCGCCTCGACCAAGATTCCCTGGGGAAATCCGCCAAGAAGACCCACTAGCGCCTTGCATTGTTATGTAGCTCCGGACTTCAAGATGATTGGTTACACTAGAAGATATATGACTTGACCGAGATCATATGGGAATATGCATCGTGAACCACATGTTCTTCCTTACTGTGATACCTTCTCATGAACGCCATAGCTTTCTGCTAGGCTATTCGAGTCGTACTCTCGCATCTTAGAGGTAACACTGCTCGGGACGCTCCGAATGTTAGGCCTAGTCTGCCCAAACTAGGCAGGTATCATCATCGTACCTTATCCCTTATCCCTGAGCTTTGCGAGTGCCGCGGCTATTCCCTCGCTCAGTTTGTCTTCCTCGCGTGCTTTTGAAGTCGAGCCAGACGGCTGTTCCTGTATCGCTGTCTTCTTGGATTCTTCAATGGCCGCCGCTAGCATTGCTTCCTCATCATACTCATCTACAGCAGTATCTCGACTTTGGTCCTCCTTAGACTTCGAGGGCAGTCCGCCTTGTGGTTCTGTAATAGCACTGGCTCGAGACAGATTTGCTGATACACGCGGCATATCCCTTAGTGGCACTCGGCTCAACGGAATAGCTTTGTCGACTGCGCTATTACTCCCGTCGACAAGGCGTCTCTTGGCTGCGTGCTGAACTCGAAACGGCTCTTCCACAACGCTGCACCATTTCTTGACTTTCTTCTCTCCCCAGCCGCCAATAATAGCAACTTGCTCGGGCTCGGCATTGATTGCGTTCTTCAGACTACCAAACGCGCTAACAAGAGAAATAGCATCGGCTTTGTTGATTCCTCTAGGTACCGTGACGAACTCGACGAGCTTCTCAGCGTAACTCGTAGCTTGCTGCCCCTTAATAGCGCCAAAACTCGCGTGTTCGTAGGACTTATATAATTCGAGGTATCTCGCGGCCTCGGCAGCGGACCAGCAAAGAATGATGGTGACGTTATTGATTAACGAGGTCTTGGAGAGCTCGCGCAAGGAATCTTCGTGGTTGGGTATATCGACCATAGTTAAGAGAATGCGCAGATTGTATTTTCCCTGTAAATTGCGAATTCGTGTATAAATGTATTCGGGATGCAACCGATGATACTTGAGGCTTAGAAACAAGGCACATGTCGTCAGCCCCAGTCCATAATCGGCTGGAATATCACTGTACTCCCACGCCACCGAACGTAGGGATGCTAGTACGGGATTCCCTTTTTGGCGCGGCGATACTAGAATTGAGGAACCGGATGAGCGCTGTGGGAGAGCTTGAGGTGTCGGTTGGACAATCTTAGGCGCGGACGGGTTAGAAGTTGGTGGTGGTTTGTCTAAACGTTGAGGCGTCGGCTGCTGTATCTTCTGGGGAGTTGGTTGTTGTATCCTCTGGGGAGTTGGCTGCTGGATTCTTTGGGGAACGGGCTGCTGAACACGGTTCGTGGTGGGTTGGGATCTGGCTTGACTAGAGCTACTTTCAGCTGCAGAGGAGGCCAAAGCAGATAAGAAATCTGCATCGGCACCGAAATCATCATCGTCGTCCATTTTCGCAAATATTTATTTACTATGTAAGAGGAAACTCCTACGCCAGCAATTAACGAACAGCCTTGGATATGCAGGCACCCGGAGTCATCGACCTAGACCGGATATGTCTTAGCGCCCGTCAGAATGGATCTAAGGCGATCCGGTTAACTTAGCAGCTTAGCCACAATTATGTACCTTGGGTTAGGTACCTAGGGACACTGCCACAGATCCACCAAAATGGCTAGTAAAGAAGTCTCGTCTTATTGAATTATCAAGACATCTGTTCACTTCGATCCTCTTAGCCTATAAAACACTACAACTCCATATAAGAAGTAAAATAAAGGATATGAGAGCTCTAACAGCAGGCTGTTAAGAGCCGAAATTCCTATTATTCATTTATTTTATAGCTAATATTGTTCCGCATGTTTCATAGGCATTAACTGCAGGTGGCGAATTTAGCTGATTTTCATTTATTCTTCTCATGATGCCTCCACGAAAACAGACCCCGAAAAAGGGGGCGTCCAAGACGGGAGGTGGAGGTGGAGGACCAAAGAAACCTGCGGAGACCAAGGAAGAGTTCGAAGAAGAGCTCAAGGTACTAGCTGGCCAAGCTAAGGAGGAGAATTGGATCAATTGGGCTATTGAGCAGGCTATTGTTTATGTAAAGGCCGCGGCCCTCATCATACTCATGGCCGTATATGCCAACGTCTCCATGCTGACGCTGTCGCCTGTCTACGGCCAAATTCCCGCGGCTAGACTACACCAGAGGGTAGTATGGTCGGCTTTATTTGTAGGATGGGGGGTTAACGTTGTTCTAAGACGCTCCTTGCCCTTTAAAACGATTTCTCTACTACCCCTGGTGGCCGCATATATCCCTATGGCACAATTTTTCCTCTTCCAGGCGAGTGAGACCTTCGGTGCGAAGCTAGGACCAGCCATCACCGAGGCTCTCACGTTATTCCCGTTGGTCGTACTTAGTACGGCGTGTATAGCAGACGTCCTCGAAAACGCTGATCTGAGCATCTTGCCCAAGTCCATTGCTGGCTCCATGCCGGGTCTAGGCTCCTATGCATTCTTCAAGTTTGTCGAAAAGGAAACGCTACAGCAACTGTTTGAACAGATTGGCAAATCGCTGCCGCAGACGCGTGTGGGTTTGGAATTGGTGCTAGCTACGACTTATAGCATCATGGCCCGATCGAAACTCCTCGTCTGGGCCATCCCGGCGATCCTGCATGCTGGTTTTTACAATACGCACCTCATGACCCCAATGGCTACTAGCTCTCTAAACACAACCCTACAGGCTAGTGGGTGGTCATTAGTTGATCGGTGGGAGTCCAACACTGGGTATATCTCAGTCCTGAACAATCATAAGGACGGATTCCGAACTATGAGATGTGACCATAGTCTACTTGGCGGCGAATGGACCAAGTTTGGGCGGAGAATAGTCGCAGAACCCATCTACAGCGTCTTTACTCAGCTTGAAGCAGTGCGTCTTGTTCCAACTCCAAACAAAACACCTGACAACGAAGCAAAAGCTCTAAATATGTAAGTATCCCCTTTTTATGAATATTCTTTGATAGTCACTAATGACATCTCAGTGGTCTTGGTATCGGAACTACACCATCGGCTTTGATAGCGCATGGCATAGATACGACCATTGTCGAAATCGATCCCGTAGTTTATGATTTTGCCAAGAAATACTTCGGGCTACCCCTGAATCATACCGCCGTGATCCAAGACGCAATCTCTTGGAGCCAGTCTAATAAGGATACCCTCCACGAATTTTACGACTATATTATCCATGACGTCTTCACGGGTGGCGCAGAGCCAATACCTTTATTTACCTACGAATTCTTATCTGGGTTAAGACACATGCTAAAGCCTAATGGTGTAATAGCTATCGTAAGTCTTCCTGAGTATATGCATACCTTATCCAATACTACCAGAACTAATAATTTTAGAACTATGCTGGTGATTTCACTCTACCCCCGCTTGGAATTGTCATGAACACGATTAGGGAAGTCTTCCCCTCATGCCGCATCTTTAGAGAAAGCGAGGCGCCTTCCGCAGAGACACTTGAAGAGTCAGGTCGCGATTTCGACAACGTCATCGTCTTTTGTACCAAGACGGGAGAGAAAGTCACGTTCCGAAAACCCACCGAAGCCGACTACCTCGGTAGTCTGGCTAGGAGGGCGTACCTCTTGCCCAAGCACGAGGTGAACGAATCGGCCTTCTTAGCTGCTGCCGCGGACGCGGGGGTCCTTAGGGTAAACGAGACCGAGAAGCTGGAGAAGTGGCACGATCAGGGCGCTCTAGGCCACTGGGCTGTAATGCGGACCGTCATACCGCACTATATCTGGGAGAACTGGTGAGCGCGGTAACGTTACTGCGAGTATTTCGTGCACTTGCCTATGATACAACTACTAGATATGTAGTATATATCCGAATAATCTAGTACGAAATATCGAATAGGTATATTAAAAAGTATGTTATTTCGTTATTATGGGAAGATTGTGATCGTTAAAGACAGAGGTAGGTTAGGTAGGTAGGGAATGATTTAACAGCAATGAGACCAATATGAAGCCGGCCAGTTTCAACTCTGAGATTATTCAATGGTAATAAATAATAAGCATAATTCTTAAAGATTAGGAGACAACGCCCCTGGGCTAGACCGAAATTAGTCCTCATCATGATGTTTCGGCTTCGCTGCCATCGGCTTCATAGCATCCTCAACAGCAAGTTCCTTCGCATAGCGGTTAGAATCCGCGACGAACTCTCGCAGGTACGGCGGCACCTGCTCTACCCTATTATACAGCCCGGGGATCGGCTCTCCCAGAGTGTAATGCACGGGGACCACACCTGTCCATACCTTGTCCAGGAGCTCGCCGTTCTCCATGTCTGCTTTGTCGTCGTTGGGCATGCCGGTCCTGAGCTTGGCGCTCCCGGCGGAGATCTTGACGCGTAGGACGCTGGTGCTCTGCATCTCGGCAGCGTTGGGCGGGACGCGAGTGTGGCGGTAACGATCGCGGACTACGGAGTTGGTGATGAGTTCCATGGCGTATTGTTTCTCCTCGATATCGGTCACTAGCTTCGCGTGCCCGAATAGTGATGCCGAACGGTAGTTGTAAGAGTGCGAGTTGGGAGTGAGTGATAGGACTAGGCCATCCACCTGGCTGGCGGCCACACATATCGGCAGTCCCTCTTCCTCCCCTGACGAGGCGGTGTCGTTGGTGGCGTTCCGCGATAAGTTCACGAAACGCGATGAAACGTAGCCGTGAAGATATAACTCGAGTACATCCCCCGTATCCGCGCTAGGCCGGTCAAACGAGCCCATCTGTCCTATCATAGGTAGGATTGTAGGAAAGGGGGAGTTAGGAACGGCGAAGGAGACGTGAAGAATAGGACAGGCGTTCACTATCTGGTGGATAGTCTCTAGAGCATAGGTAGCTTGAGGAATATTAGCCAACTACCCAACCTCGGATGCCATTCATATGTGTGTATTACCTCGAGAGTCATATCGGTTAACCTTGCTGTAAGGTTGCTTGGGGTATTCAAGGTCGACAGAAGGCATTTTGAAAGGGTTATTTGAAGTTTACTCTTGAACTTGTATCTCAAACTTGTCAAGAAGGCCCAAGATTATAGGTTATAAACAGCGAATCCTCGTCGGATATAACTGGTAACCTAGTCTTGTGTCCTATCAACAATTCCGGGGAGTTATGCTTGAGTCATGAGACTATTCTATTCCAATTCTTATATCGGATCCATCTTAAGATACTCGTTCAAACCCCTGGACGAGATGAAAATACACCTACAGCATCAATACCAAGAACTAAGGATATATCACGGACAAATAGGAAACGCATTATTGGTTGGCTTTTGATGTAGATGAAAGCTATGCTAGATCCGATCGATAGGGATGACCTGGAGAAAACCGGCAGCTAAGTCCATTCCGGAAAGTCCATGCGATGCTTAAGTTAGCATGTTTATAAATCCCTAGGTTATATTGACAATTGTATCTAGACCAAGCAGCCAAGTACATACAGGGCGTGTTGGACCAAACTTCCAGAGTTCTAGAAGTGAGTCAAGAAAAAGGTGTTGGCGTGCGAAATCGCAAATTGGTTAAGCCCGGGATTTGATAAGATGCAAGTTCCAGTCACCGCCGGCTCCAGTCCGGCCGTACATAGATGCCTTTTCCGCAGCGGGACCTTTATATCAAATGTGGCTTGAGCATTCCGATAGTGGGGGTAAGGTTCCGCACAGCCCGTTACCAGCACTAACACTAGCACCAGCCACACGACCAAGCTAAGCTCCACCAAAAACTTCGTCGCATTGAATTGTGACATCGTGAACAATCCGCATTTGACTTCCCTTCCTCGTCCAATTCGATCCCTCAAACCCACCCGTTAACCACCCGACGCCGACGGTCGCCCAACCCTAGAAAATGGCGAAGAAACGTACGTCAAAAGAACCCCGACACAAGCTGTGACTCAGCAATAGCATCTTGCTAACTCCGAAGTAGCGAAGACCCGTCTGCTCTCCGTGCGCCTCTTATCCATGGCCATGACCGGTTTCTTCTACACATTCTCCCGCCCGCGAACATCACGGCCTATGAGCATGCTGAAATACGACCCTATCGGTACGTTACTTCTTGCATGGATTTTACCCGAATACCCCGAATGCGAGACCAAAATAGGTGGAGAGGATGGATATCTATGCAAGTCCAACTCATAGCTAACTTTCTGGCGTGTACCACAGTTCGGAAAAAGGTGCTCTTCCTCGAACAGAAGCGGAAAGGAAAATAAACAAGTCAATTAAACCTCCGTCTTAATATACGAAGCTTCCCTTTTCTACGACGAGTGATGAAGCCTCGAATATCATGCGCCCATCCTACGGAGCCGCGACCCTCCGGCCGCTTCAAAGATTTAGATGCGTAGAAGGATTGGTCTAAACAGACTCTTTGCGAACATCTCCAAGGGTTGTATGTATATATATCTGTACAGTACTCGAGCGAGAGCTATTATATTATGGCCTCTACAGATATTCACCGTATATTAGGCGGCGCATATCAAGGAAAGTAAAATATTCATTACTACATTAAGCTTAGCCGCCGCCCTTCAAAGGACCAAATTGAAGCTCTGCTGTGAATATGTATACATCTTTACATTTTATCATTTTCGAGTGTATCTCGAGCAAAACTCAGCAACGATATAGATACTATTCCCATCTTCCGGAATATACGCCGTTGCCAAAGTAAACCCCTCTAAGCGCTTTGGAAGCAAAATAGGAGCTTAAGCGGGGTTCTGGTCTGCTGATGTTCAATGAAGTTTCTAATTGCGAAACTTACTACGGCCTTAGTCCTCTAGAACATCTTGCTCCCAAACTTGGTTGTCTGTCGACTCTATGGTCTGGCAAGAAGCTGTAGTCGACTGACTATCGGCCTCTTCCGTAGTACCAGATATAATGGATGACTGGCTGTGCGATAACTCCTGACCAGGATCTTGCGAACCATAGGTCACCAGTCCAGAGAGTTTCCTTTTTATTGGACCTCCGCGACGTGAGGGTGCACTTGAATCTAATAATGCTCCCTTTGTCGGTTCTTTGTTTTCTAATGTCCGAACCGGAAAATAGCTAGACATAGAGCGGGATAACTTGACTCTTTCTGCGATGTTAGACCCCTGTGCCTCGTGCTGATTGGTGTTTGAAATTCGCTGCTTCTTCGCCAGAGGCTCATTAGCACTGCCGTCAAGGCGTACCGAGTTGGAAATGATAGCATTGTGAATAATGTGCCCGCTAGGACCAGCCTGGCTCACTTCGACCTGTTCACTGTTCGTTTCTAGGATAGATCCGGCCACGGGCCGATTATATATGCTATGAGTAGTAAGAGGGGGCTTTGAACCACGTCTCGCTATCTTCCGCTTGAGGGGGAGCTGTGATGCCACTGGCACATGGGTGTTCGCTTCCAGTGGGTTCTCTCCTTCCGTTTCTCCCAAAGTATCATTAGTGATGACCTTCATAATCCCTCTCAGGGGTGCTGCGTGTCGTCTGGTACTCCTTTCTTGTTCAACAGACATAGGAGATACGTGATCATCCATAGCAACCGGAGACTTGACCATGACCTTTCGCTTAAGATCTTGAGACGCTTCTTGTGCATGAGATATGTTTTTCTGTAGATTGCTCGTCAATATAGAAGGTTTTCCAGGTTCTGTTGATCGGCTTTGGTCACGAGCAGCTATTTCTGCATCGATGACCTTCGCTTGGTGATACTCCAAAGTACCTGACATCTTTTTCTGAACCTCCAAGAGTTGCTTCAATCGGTCACTCATTTGAATTGCGTTAGGTTGGTCCCTTGCTAGTCGCTGTAGTATATATTTCATCTGATCAATCTCAACTCGACCGCGCGACCATCCTTCAAGAATCTCTCGTAAATCCTCCTGCGCATTCTTACTTCCCTCTAAATCGGTAGTCATCTTCTTTAATGAGGTAGTTGCCGTCAAAATTTCGCCCCATATTTCGCGTACGTCTCTATCAAGATTGACTCTACTCATCTCTCCTTCTTGTCGTGATCTGGTTAGCTCTTCCTCAAGCTGTGCGCGAACCACCTGTACTTCTTCGAGCTGCTTTTCTGTGGTTTGATATTTCTCTGTAAGCTCCTTCGTCGTTTCGGTAACAGCGCGGGATACTTCTTCCCTGCATTGATGCACATTACGCTCGATTGCTTTTTCGTGGTTCTCGCGCTCAATCTGAATATGCCTCTCCCTGTCTTGGGCAACGCGGGTTTGCTTTTTTAATTCTCCTTGAACTGACTCGAGATTTTTATTCGACTCCCTAACTGTTGCTTCCTTCTCGCTTAGTATTCTTTGAAGACGCTCAGTCTCCTCTGCCAAAGTCTCGATCTTCTCATTTGTAATTTGCTCATTGGCCGCAGCAATTGCTAATCGTTCCTCGAGATCTTGACGCTCTTCTGTTTGTTCGTTCATGCGGATGTATAGTTGGTGTACTTCATCCTGTAGGGCCTGAATATGCTGGATATGGCTATTGATAGCCATGTCAGAGTCATATGCCCTCTCTTGCCATACTGCAACATCATTGAGACCAGTCAACTTCTCGTAAATGCCTTCGCATAGCAAACGAATTTCCCCAATACTTTCATTTGAGGTTTCTCGGTCCTCAAGTATAGAGTTCTGAGTTAGCACGACAGAATGTTGGAATTCTGCGACAATCCTAATGGCTTGTTAGCACTGGTTATACTCTTCAGAATTGTTCAGAAGCATACGCTGCAGCTATACTACTATGAGCTTCTCTTAATTTCTCCATTACTACCATGGGGTCCACAGTTTTCGAGTTCGTCTGTTCCAACGTCCTTAGAATCATGTCAAGTCTATAAAGTTAGTAATATTCGATCTGGGTCGAATAGGAAATCCTTACTTCTCTTCCTGCTGTTGAATGCGGGTTTCGGTATCCTCAACATGCTTCCGATCTTGTTTCATTTGGTCTAAAAACTCTTGATTCTGTGCCGATACTGACTGGAGGGAGTGCTCGTTTAGTTTTTGAAATTGGGACAGCTGCTCGGTAAGATCCTGGTTATGCTGTTTTTCGCGTTCAAGTTCCATCTCACGATCTCTTAACTCGCCTTTGAGAGATTTGATGATCTTCCTCACTTACCACACGTTAGTATCAGTGTTTTAGTAGGAGTTATTTTACATACATTCGTTAGCTTGTCCATTGGTATCTTTGACAACTTCAGCAACCTCTTGCCTAATCCCCGTTCTTAGGCGCTCAAGCGTCATAAACGCCTTTTCTATGGACTCTTTCCGTGCTTTCTCTTCCGCTTCGATGTCTGCAGTTGCTTTTTGGCAATTTTCTCGGCATTGTAAGAAAAGTCGTTGCTGTTCGCCGATTGCATCATTCAAACGGGTTCGGCAAGACTTCAGTCTATCCTCTAGTTTCTTGCGTATATCAGAAGATATATTTATCTTGTTCTGAATCTCTTGGTTCTGAGCACGAAGATTTTCAACTTCTGTCGACAAGTCGTTGATCTTTTCATCACGACACGCGATTGTTTCTTGGCACTGCTCAATAACTGAATCTTGAGATGCAATATGGTCTTCCAGTAAAGCCATTTTCTGCTCCCAACGATCTAGGAGTCTTTGATTGTAGAGGTAGTTCGTGTTCCAAGATTCTGCGAATTTCTTTAGGTTCATACTATTCTGTTCGCGTGTTGGAGTGTATCGCTTGTAATCGACTCCAGGAGGAGCTCGTGGTTTCGAAGTATTTGATGCTTGAGAGCACGGTCTTGCCGCGGAAACTACATCATATTGCGACGCCTTGAATGATATGGGTCGCGTAAGACCCTGGACTTTATTTCTCTTGTTTCGAAGATCCTTCGCTGAACCACGTTTAGCTTCATTGACATTAATGTCTTTTAGAAGTTGATGATGACTTCGAGGTTGCTTGTGGGTCTCCGAGCGCTTCCTTGTCTCAGATGGAACTGCCCTATCTGGTGTGCTTCTTGGTTGCGCCGATTGGGGGTTAGCAGTAGGTGATAATGCGACTTTTGTTGGTGGCAATACACTACGAGGGCTTATTTGCGCAAGAGCCTTTCGGCGGGTATCTGAGATTGCCTTCGGGAACTGGGGTTTTGTCAGAGAAGAACAGTGAGATGTCTGCGTCTTCCCACCAGAATGTGGTCGGCCCGTATTTTCTGGGAAAGGAAGGTCAAACGAGTCTCTAGTGGATGTTGAGCCTGATGGGTCGTCGACTGGCGGCTGATCGTTACTGAGAGTGTTCTTTGGGGCTTCTTGGGGGTATACTATTAGATCAACTCCATCATCATCGCTACCGCTTGCTGATTGTAGAGATTCTGCTGGTCTTTCATGATTATTAAAGCCAGAAACCTCGGGATGTCGACCACCATGCGAGACTCTATTGATCATGGGAGGCGGCGGAGGCGGAGGAGGGGCTGGATTTATTTTCTGTCCGACTGGACCATGGGATATCATACGAGGAGGGGGCGCCTTTTGAAATTGGAATGCAGCCCCTATCTCCTCAGTCGTCTCTAGTACTGGACGTGTGAAAAAGCTTGCCTCTGTAGCCCGAGTAGGGAGAGCATCCTGGGATGATGCCTCCAATGGAGTACTTTTGATTATGACATTGCTCTTTGTGTCTTGTGAGTCATCTAGTGGCTGAACAAGATCGGTCTGACTTGACATTGCTTGAGAAGCAGGATCTGCATATATATCAGACATTTGGCCCAGAACAGACGCCTCATACCTGGGGGCCTCTCGTGTATTGCTGAGTAATGGGTCTTTAACACTCGATGAAATCATTAGAGGCGAAATGTTAGGAGAATAGTACGTCGCATCTCTCGGTGCAAGGAGCGAGAATGATTGTTGCGCTGAAATATTTATACCATTCGGCAGTTCAAAGCAGGATGGATGATGTGAGGTGAAGATGGGAGGTAGATAATTTACAGTTGAACTAATATTTTGAATTTTCAATAATATTATTAGGTCGAGGAAGTAACACTCAGTAAGGTAAGTGACCCTCACCTCCTGAAATTGGCTTTTTGTGTAACTGCCTTGGATACATCTGAACGATTTTGCCAGTATCCAATGACTAATGTGACTGCCCTGATAATACATGGACAGAAGGCCTACCTAGTACGAGCTGTATTGCAAGAAGAAGCAATACAAAATTTGCTCCACAATATTAACACCGCAGCCGAAGCCGTCGCACAACGCCCCGCAGAGAATGACAATTATATGATGCATCCCACTCGTAGACGACCACCTAAGGTTCCTAAACAGGCGACAAAGCCTCCTGACGAAGATGTAATCAAGCGAATCCTCGACGAAGCCGTCAAGAACTTGACTTGCCGAACCTGTCACGATGAGTTCACGGACAGGAAAGCATTCTTCTTGCATAGCTTATCCAGAGAATGCGAGAAGAATACCGTTCATACATATCCGTTGTAGACGGATCGAAATTCTTTCATCAACTTCCCGTCTGGCCCGGCCACAGAGACCGTATGGGAACTCGATCTCACCAGCGAAGCAATTGAAGCGCTTACTTCAGATGAGAAGACACCAGAAGACGTATGGTCAGCCATACGAGGAGATAAGAATAAGACAGAAACAGTACCATCTTTAGGCGCACAACGCCCAGAAGACATGCCGTACATCAAGACGGAAAAAGGCGATCCATTTTCAACCCCTCCGTCTTCTAGAATGCCCTGGCCCCGATGTCAGACGACAATACAAATGTAGCAAACTGTTGTCAAGCAGCCGCTTTTCTCCACGAGAACTATAATCTCCGCAGGTTTCAATCTCCGCAGGTTTCGAAGAAGCCAACGCAATGTTGACAGTAACTTGTAAATCCAGCAAGAAGTGTCTTCTGATCCCGGTTACGCTCGCACGTGTACGATTAGTAATTAGCTCAGACCTTAGCTTACACAAATCTTTCTGGCAGATTGCATCTGCCAGAAGATTGATTTAATTCAACAAGTTTAGTATGCTTATAATTCTACCCAGGTAATTGCTACAGGGACTTAGGTACTATAAACACCTTATATAAAAGAAGCAGTCGTGGAAACTAATGTAGTGTAAAACAGAACTAATCAGCTTACATGTAGTGACCTAAGGGTTCATAGATGAAATGATATCACCATGTTCCCCAAGAAGACTGTTATGATCAAAATATATGCGTGAAATATAAAAATGGATAGACAACCCCTATATATCTAAGTACCTAGGTATATACCTCCATATAGTTTCGAAGACTGGTTCTCCATAAGGAAGTCCGACGAGAATCTAAGTATTTTCGACACCCTTGGTATGGATATAAACAGACGAGATTAAAGCTAATAGAAAGGTTAATATATAGGTAGGTAGGTAACAGTAACGTGTTAAATTGCAGTACTAGAAGCGTGGCTCTATTTTCGTTCACAAACGTGTCGGAACACTAGGACTTAACTGGCCTACGCTGCTATATCGTGGCTAATCGCCGGCGTAGATGGCTGCATCTCCGGCAGTAGTGTAACAGCAACATCGCGAAATTTGTTGCTATAGATAGATAGCATGGCACAGTATGACATCGGTATCTCTGCGATCCGGTTAGGAAATATACGGCTTGGGTGCTATTTAATAAACACAGGCCATTATACTGGCCTGTCTCAGTTACCGATTTCTAGAAGATGAAGTCTAATCTAGACGCAATCAGACGCGTCTTTGAGACGACACGTGTGAGTTGGCGTCTGATATCGGAGACGCATTATTAAATAGGCGCCCTTTAAAGAGAGCAACGGGTAGATAATTCTAAATTAGGTTCGATGGGAGGTGGCTGATGGGAAATTACTGCGATCAGAAACATCCAAGTTCTCGTTTGGCGAGTCGACGAAGGCCTTGATGGAATACACCAAGGTCACATTAAACAATAACCGTTACAGTATGCTTTACTGTGGAACCTCCTACATAGTATAAACCAAACGGGCGTAGCTATGGCGAAGTGATTATGCCGATTGTATTAGGTAGTGCTTTTACTGTATTCTACCCGGGTCGTAAATGGGGGAATTTTTGAAGCGTTATCATAGACTTGGAAGTGTGGGCGTATGCGCCCTTGAAGGTCGGCATTAGCATTTATGACGTGCTGTTCTAACTGTCGTGATAATTGATCAAATATATAACTAGGTACCTTGAGCGAATGACTATTCTACCAGAAACTTTCCGTGATAAGAATTTCTCCAGCAAATTACAAGCAAACTCCGAGGAACAAGCTTGGGCGACAAATGTGACAAGATGCAGCGTTCGGAGGTCACAAGAAACGGGTACTTCCTAAAATCCCTGTAAACACACGCTGATTGGCCAAATAACCAGGGGTCAAGTCCCAAAGCCCCCCTTGGTTAAGCGCTTGCTAGATTTCAACCACCAATAATAATTCGATTCGATCTAAATAAAAGAGATCTTATTGCTTAACTCCTGCATCTGAGTTGGTGGCACCCAATGAGGACTATGGAAAAGTGCCGGGACCCCTGAGGTCTCAACTGCCAGTGGTGCATTAAGTCTCTACACAGAAGATCTAGAGACACTACCTAGGTTCCTATCAACACCCACCATGCATATTCTGTCACATCATTAAGAGATGTCTTTACAGAATGGTCTCTCTAAGCGCCTCAACCAAGTACCCCCACTAATACGAACTGCTCATTCATAAGTACCAAGAGCCCCGATGTGGCGTGATACAAATCCTAGTTCTCTTTCTGCTCTCAATATCGTCCCGTATGGCTGGATGAGATTTGCTCAAAATCTGCAGCGGCCGCCCTACGTCGTCCCACGTCGTTCCACAAAGAATTTTTAGTACCGGCTCTCACCTACGTTCCTTTCTTTATCGCTAGTGCAAGCTCACCATGGCGACCTCTACTTCAGACTCATTCCCGCTGGCGACGGATGAGCCCTATAACGAAGGCGACAGTGGACCGGGCTCGATCAGTTCCGGCGGCAGCATTGACGATTCTGCGGGGGCATCTGGAAGCAGCCCTGGCGTTGTTCAAATTTCCCACGGTGCGATAGTCGCAATAATAGTTGTCGTTGCCGTTGTTTGCGTACTTGGAAGTGAGTTTTTCTGCGCCACGGCTGGTTTCGATGAGCTGACACGATGTAGTTTCTACAGCGGTGCTCTTTTACCTGGCCAAGAAGAGGGAATGGAAGGTTAGGGAGAGCATTCGTCGTTCGGCAAGGAAGGTAGTCACTGCTCTCACACCCCGTAGATCGGAATTCCCAAGGTCGGCCAAGGAGTCCTCTGGTAACTCATCTCGAGGTCGTCTTCGCTTAAATGATGTACCACCAACACCTAAACTGCGGCCCGAAGACGTTGAGAAGGGCCTTGCCCAGTCAACTACCAGAGAGGATTCGCAGAAGAGAGGCAAGAAGTGGACAAGGAAATAAATAATCGTACGGTGCGGACTATTTCGGATAGGTCATGGTTACTTGGGAGAAGACATGGGCGTCGAATCGGTTGTGGTATTTAAATGGCTTCACTTGTAATTGGAGAATGGAGTCCAGGAAAGCGAGCCAACTGCCTATTAAATTTGTATCAATATCGCTAGTATATCGCTGGGTATCAAAGCCGCCTGAAGACGTTAGTACTAGCACTTCGTCGTGGGTCAGTTCGTCTATCTTTTGGTTGAGTTTTCGGAGCTTCATCGTTCTTCCTCCTCCTGGACTGCGGGACGAATGTAACTTGTCTCTCTCCAACTACTTCGCCATTTCGGGGTTTGTTGACCCTGCCTGACTTCTGAGCTCTTGAGCCTAGAGAGTCGTCCTTTGACAAGTGACTACTCTCCTGATTAGACGAACTGACTCGCATAACCATTTTCTTCTGCGTAGTCTTTCTAAGAGACACCTCATCATCACTCTCGCTAGCGCTGCTAAGCTCTTCGCTCTCGTCCGAGAATTGTGGACCGGGGACCGTAATTTTTACACCTGTCTCCGGGTCGACCTTTGTGCTGGGATTTAGGACCTGGAACTCGCGGCTGTGTTCATCGATCTTGAATTCTTCGTCTTCGAATAGACGAGTGAATCGTTCGTCTCCCAGCACACCAGCATTCGTATCGACGTGTGCCCTCCGTTCCTGTCGCTTGAGCAACTTATCAACCAATTTTTGATTGACCTTAACCTTCTTATTTCCGCGGATTCGGCTAGCACGCTCCTTTTCGACCTTCTCCTTAATGCGTTTCGCACGTTCCTCTTCCATAGCGTAAGGGTTGGCGATTAACCGGGCCTGGTCATATAACTTCGAAGCGACGAAGTAGCCGTGCATATAAGGGCGCAGCAAGTTTGTCTTGCCAATCAAGTGAGCGAGGCTTAGAGATTTCAATTCCGGCAACGTCAGGAACTTGAAGTTGTCGTATTGATCAGTGCTGACCTCCTCAGCCATCTCTTCGACCATGTTATCGAGGAACGAACACCACCGCGGCGCAGATCCCAGTTGTGGGATGAAGAAACTATGAAGGGGTTTACCCTCGTTGGCTGTAAGGATCATGCCTGTATTCTTACACCATGTGACGAAATTGATATCAACTAGTGGTTCAACAGAAGTCCAAGTCTCGCCGTCGAGCTCGTCCCAAATCTTGATCATCTGTTTATCGGCGGATAAGACTTTCTTCTCTTGAGAAGACGTAGTCATGTGAATAAGACTTTTGATCGGAAATCCTGGGCCGTGGTCTTTTTGTAACAGCGGCTTCGGACTTCGAAGATCAAAAAGTTTAATAAGCCCGGTGGATGTGCCCGTCGCTAACGAAAGACCCGACGGGTTAAAGTCGAGGGCTGTTATTTCACCCTCCTGGCCACCAAGGATAGCAACTCGCGACTTGGATCGAGAGTCCCAGAATTCAACGGAGCCAATGGATGTGCCAAATGCTAATAGGTTGTGACTGTTCTCTGCAACTGCTGCTGTATTAACACTGCCGACGCCAATGCTTCCCTGTAAACCGCCTTCTACGCCATCGTCGGATCCAACGTCAATCTGATATGATTTCATAAATCTCCCAACCTCAAGGTTCATTCGAAAGACTTCACCATTACCATCAGAATCTAATCCGACTGAGGGAACCAACGCTTCGGTGGCGTGCCGATCGTAAACGAGGTCTCTTCCGTACCTAGGCAGGCGTAACTCGTAGTGGCAACCAGCGGGTGTCTATCATATGTTAACATATTCTGCTCGCACCTACCGCACCAATTTGTCTCAAGGGACTTCAGTGCTTACATGGAACTCAAGTTTTCGGTCGCTTTGTAAATGTAGGGATTTCGTGTAATCGGTCGAGAGTAGAAGAAACGTCGTGTTGAGAGACTTTGTATGCCTCGAAAACGATAGGGAGAGATGAGGTAGATAGTGAACATGGAATTGTGGTTTGTCTGCTAGACATTAATATGTTGTGAAAGAATCTTTTATAGGGCATTATTGCGACGTACATGTTCCAGTAGACATAATCCAGTCATTGTCTTCCGAAACTCTTACACATTGGCTGGCTTCCTCAAACTCAAAGTCTTGAAGTAGTTCAATTCGATTTTGATATTCGGGGTCTGATTTCAAGCTGCGCTTCCGGCGACGTGCGAGCCTGCGTAGACCAATTTAGTATATCAACGTTCTCGTCGGGGGAAGATACCAATTATCTTACCAGTCTGGTAAGGGCCGCGCAGTGTTAGCGCCAGCTATTGTGTACACCGACACATCTCCTTGGTTGGTGACCTTCATGTCGACACAATTCACAATTGTTGCCGGCAGAAGTTGTACGGTGATAGAGGAAAGAAACAACACGCGACAAGGTAATGGATTAAAAAAAAAAAAAAAAAAAAGACAAGGCTGACTGCGAAAGATCCTTGGTAAGAAAGTAGAGGGGCGATAAGCATAATTTTAGTGGAGATTACGGTTCGATAAGGTAGCTCTAGTTCTTGCATAACACAAGATCCACCATCTATTGCGCCCGGTCTATGATTGGCTCCAGCCACAAGAATGGATCCAGGTATTGTACTAGGTTTAGGTAAGGTCCACAGCTGCCCTCGTGCCAGCCTCAACGCCCGGAAATATAGAATAGGTAGGTACGTAGGTACACTTCATACGGGGACCTTAAGATTCCTCAGCCATCCTCAGCCATCCCTTCCATAAAACACCATCTGGCCATGATCACATACTAAGGTATCTATAACCGGCCAATGCTGCGACCAACTCTATGACCTACAAAGCGATAGCTGTTTCCTCGTCCGCTTCAGTACTCACTGTGCGATCCCAGCTTCGCATTGCCCTTTTTCACTAGGCGTAGCGGAGATGGAGTTCGGCATGTGTTCGAGACCTCAGAGATTGAAAAGACATCATCCAACTTGCTCTGTTCATTGTATCCTATTCTTATGTTAGCAGGGACTTAATTATAGGGATTCTGCTGTTTGTTGTACGGAAACGACTACTGCATCGGAATGATTGATACGATTTACGATATGGACACTGGCGAATATGAGACTAATACATTAGTAATTGTGAGTATAAGACACCAAGACATATTGATCTATTCGTATCGGTTCATCCGCTAACTATAACGTAATTGTAACGTAGAATAATATATCATATATTAAATTTGCTTTCTACGAACCCGTTTCTCCAACCTTAACTTCTCTCGGTTCCCATGCGCTCGAGCTCGAGACTACACTCCGGAAAGATGGGTTTTTGGCATATTACGATACGGTTCGACGGGGTATATGGTGCTTTTCCTTGTTACTGAAGAGCAGACTGCAGGGAGGTCAACCGGCAATACTTACATTCCCCAAGTCGATTGGGAGTAATGGGTTCAGCTTTTCCTTGACCGAGGAGGCCATCTTTGACTCGGCGACACTCGTTAAGAGTCGTATGCATGGCCCAAATCCCGCCAACACTCCTGCAAGCTCCTCATCCTCGACTGGACCGGCTGCTCTAGATTCTGCCTATAGAAATATGCAGCCCGCCACCATTTCGTCGACTCAATCGTTTTCCAGTCCTAGCGAGCAGGAGTCTAGGACAGTCCCACCCATCGACTCAAAAATCGCCCCCCCGACGTCAACGAAAGATATCCACGACAACTTTATCTTCGCTGTTCTATCTGCGGTATCTTCTAGCTTCTGTGCTAACACTGGTGCCATCCCGCTAAGTTCCCGGACCCTGCTTCTTTTGAACTCTTCCCACGACGACTACGCCACTGCTCCTGCGACTCTCGCTTCCCTACGCGTATATCTCACGACAACTGGCAGCCTTGTCATATCTTTTTCGCTTTCCATGGCGGAGGGTATTATGAGTCTGTCCGAAAACCTTGGACATCCTCTTCCATCTCTTGGTGTTACTGTCTTAGCGGCGCCACTAGGAATGTTTGCTACTTGCCACCCCGTCACCATGTCCGATAATGTAGCTACTGAAGGTAGCTTTGGCCACTCCCCCGATACTCAGGTTGTGAGGCTCAGGTCTGAAAGGGACGATGGTCCATGGAGGAATATCTGTTCCAAATTCCTACAAGCCCGTAACATACCATCTTCTTTCTATGAATCCCAAAGTTGGATTAGTCTCCAACGAATACGAAGGAAGCCAACAGAGCAAAATGTAGACGGAAAACGGACACCGCTAGTAGGTACTTCTAACATATCGTGGCCTGCTAGTTTGTGCTTTTGTAAGATGTTTTCGCGACTAGGAATTGGAGGTGAAGGAGATGATGTCTCGGGGTCTGAATTTGACCGGAACTATGACACCTTGGGCGTCGCTAAGCAATGGTTTTTAGACGGGGGAGAGCGGGATGAGATGCTGATGAAGAAGAAAAACGAGAGAGACGCTGTAACGGCTCGTGAAGCCACACTAGGAGACGGTCAAAATCAGCATACCAGTGGTCTATCTCCTTTGCCTTTACAGCGCTCCAATAATGCTGGTGTACCACCTGGTTTATATCCGACACCCCCAGACGGTAACATACAAAATGTTGTTGGTGCGACGCCGTCTATGGACGGTACGGCTTCTAGTCCTGGAAATAACGTAGCTACGTCTACGTTAGACATTGACGGGTCTCGTAACGTGCGATCATACGGAGACCATTGGGAGAATACGGATACGAAACGCGAACGCATAGGTGCTTCATTTGAGTCGGAAAACCTCTTCGGCGAATTGGGACCCGATATGTTTGCAACCGATATTACCGAGGCTGATTTTAATTTCTTTGATGAACAGCCTGGCGACGTGGGTCTAAGTTCCCTTGACTTGCCTGGTATCTCAAATTCAGATTCAAGTTTAGGTCTCACCGTCGGCCTTCCAACGGCACAAGAGTCTCAGGTCAAGGGAGGACCTCCGGATATTCGCTTAGTTGATGCCGCTCCGCCCACATTCACGAAGCCTGAGCTAAGACATGCACGGAGCTCGCTAGGAGATGAAGCGCGACGCCAAGCCGGGTCAGACGTTAATAAATTCCAGTCTGCGGGCGTTAAACGGCCTGCTAGTCCATTCAACCCGGATACCGTGTTTAAGAGGATTAA